TCTGTTGAAAGCGAAAACGTATAAGCCGGTTCCAAAGACTTCAGGGAAAGAAGTCTGTAAATTAATTATTGCACCCAGTTCCTTGGTCCTGGTCATTATTATATGCTGGTATGAGTTACAAATCATTACCCATTAATCTAATATCATCCAAGTAGATAACTCATAGACTTTGGATGTAGCACAACTAATAATTGTACGCTGACCTCAGTGATTCTACTTGTTTCTGTCACTTAACTAAATTTCAAATCAGTAGCATTAGTTAAGTGTTTAAATTCTTTTTTAATTTACTTTTAGATCATGTATGACAAGATGTCACACTAGGTAATTACACTACGATTAAAGATCACTTTTAAACAACTTTGAGATATGTTTGACCATCTTTAATGTCCGACAGTTAAAAGTTTAATGTTGTTGTGGGGAACAATGATAGGATTCCAAAAGAAAACCTAAGTAACGGTAAGGTTCGGATAAGTAGCCTCTGAACCATCATTCAAGTGGTCTGCTGTTTTAACCAACACACTAACTGCATACTAGGTCCGGTTCAATGATAGATTATCTGTATTTCCTCTGATATACCATTTTTTCCTATGCAACCTTGACCTTTGTTGCGAAAGATCAACTTTATATTGCCACTAATAACAATGGTAATGATTGCGAACCACGACTAAAAAAATTAAGGAATTAAATATTCCTTCTGAAGTTTCACTTATGAAAACAGCTAGTATTAACCCCATAATCTGTAACTCATGCTTTCATCTATCTTACAGTACATTCCATTGTCAAGTCACTAGGTTATTAACCACATTATGGAATTTAAAAACAGAATTCTACCAGCACAGTGTGAGCTGGACAGAGTGATACTGGATACTATGCAGTGACTGATTATTTTGACGTTGACTTACTTGGTTCTGTGATGAATTCTTTGATTTGAAGACTAACATGTAATGCTCATTTAAGTTTTATGAAGTAAGATTTAGAAATGAGATCTTAATGTGAATAAAATGAGAGTTAACCTTAATATATACAAACATACCTGTTTTGCCTTCTTCTTCGATAGAGGTGAACAATCATGCTCTTTACTAATTATGGTAAGACTTATTCCTGAACATCTGATATTCTAAAAGTCATCCGGAATGATAACATTATGCTTTGATTCATGTTTACAAAATAACCTTGAAGTAGTGCATTTCAGTCACACTTTCACCTTCCTCTTATTTGAGATTCAAGTGGACAGGTACAGTTGGAACTCAAAGATTTATCGTGCTCTTCGTTTTCCAAGCTTCTTTTTCTCAGAAGCTTTAGTGGAATAAAATTCACTAAAGTGGAATGTCTAAGGGCTTCTAACGATTATAGTAACGAAACAATTATGATATTTGAAGGCTTGTGGAGATTTTGTTGATTTCAGGTTGATACTCCAGTGGAACATGAGGATAGGTACTCAACGATGCCATTGGATGGAGGTCGCGCTATATCGTGAACTGACAGTGGTAGGAAATATGGATCATTGGATTCCGACCCAATGGCTCAATGAAAATGTACTGACCACTGAACCCGATGTTCTGGGTTCGATCCCTGTCAGGGTCATGGGTGCGCACTGCTGAGAAGTCCCATCCTAGGATGAAACAGCTGTCTAGTGCTCCCAGGTTTCCAGTGTTTCTGAAACTTACGTCTGTCCATGATAAGTACGAACCTGTAAAAGACCATGATATTTGAAACAACTTTGAGTTAAGATTAGGCCATTGATTTTATCAACTTTATCCATGTTTCTGTGATGTAAGGCTAAATGGTTCTCAGAATAACACAGACTGTTTTTTTTATAATTGGGAAAAATCTAACTTGACGGAACATCAGAGGTCTTCGTGACTGATCTGTCAATATTTTATAATGAAATTGAGATCATCTAATAAGTTAGGTTTTCTTAACCACTCCAATAGCTGACAGTACTGAGTTTATCAATAACTTGACTTAGAGAAAATTGCTTGGCAAATGCTTTTAGCAATTAAATACCGCTGGTGATACTAACTGGACTAAACAAGGAGAAAAACAACTTTCTTGATTCTCGTTGAATTTTACATGGTTTAAGGCTGGACATTCTTACATGAAAGCCAAACTTATACTGAAAAATTCATATCTGCTTCCTTTCTTTACTAGATAATAAACTATGATTAGAAATAATTACCTATATATATATATATATATATATATATATATATATATATATATATATATATATATATATATATATATATATATTCGTTATTATCGCATTTGTTCAAAAAACGCTCATTCCTACATTCTACAGGCTTGGAGAATAACTGAAGTCAGCAGGTAGGAGAGACACAGACCTGACGACATTGTATCAAATAACCAGGTTGCTATCTGGTAGGGAAGAGATCAACTCAGATGAAACCAATAAAAGATGATGAAGGAAATTTAATTACGAAAGAAGAGAAACAAAGGAAAAAATGGGCCGATCATTTCAAGAAGCTATTGAATCGACCACCACCACCACCTGCACTTCGTCCACAAATACCACCTACAACCGCTGAACTACAAGTGAACATAAATCCTCCAACAAAAATGGAAGTCTTGAACGCCATAAAGCTACTGAAATGCGGGAAAGCAGCACGACCAGATGGGATCCCACCAGAGGCACTGAGAGCAGACGCAGAGACAACAGAGGACATGCTCATACCACACCACTATTGAAGAAGGTGTGGAAGGAAGAGAAGGTACCTGGCCATTGATTGGAAGAAGGGTTACCTTGTCAAACTGCCGAAGAAAGGAGACCTCAGTGTTTGCAAGAACTGGCGCGGAATCACTCTCCTGTCCACCCAAAGCCAGCAAAATATTAAGCCTCCTCATCCTGGAGAGGCTAAAGGATGAACTGGATTCAAAACTACGACCCGAACAGGCAGGCTTCAGGAAGTACAAATCAGGTGCGGACCAAATGCAACCCTACTCTACACATCATCATAGAACACAATATAGAATGGCAGTCAACTCTTCACCTTACCTCAACTTTATCGACACTGAAAAGGCCTTTGACAGCGTCGACCGAGAGGTAATTTGGAAACTGCTTCATTACTACGGAATACCACAAACCTTTATCCGCCTCATTCAACAACTATATGAAGATGCCACATGACAAGTAATTCACAATGGGAAGCTCAGTGATGCTTTTGAAGTGAAGTGAAGACAGGAGTGAAACAAGGTTGCCTACTATCCCCCATGATATTCCTGATTGTGGTGGACTGGATCATGCAGCAAACAGTGGGGAGCGAGAAGAGGGGGATACACTGGACTGCGGAAAAGAACCCAGAAGATCTGGATTTCGCCAACGATGACTTGTGTCTAATGTCACACAAACTGGAAGATCTACAGACGAAAACTAACAAGTTGGCAGAAGAGGGAGGACAGCGAAGATGAAACTTCAAGTGAATATAGAGAAGACAGAGATGATGAAGTTACCCCACCAACAACAAGAAGCTCCGATCACCATCAATGGGAGAAACTTCAAGGAAGTGTGCTCTTTCACCTATCTAGGAAGCACTGTTTCAACTACAGGTGGTACAGACGTGGATGTCAAAGTCAGAATAGAAAAGCAAGACTGGCGTTCATTAACCTGAAAACAGTGTGGAGATCTGCACTCAGCATACAGTGTGAACAAGATACGGATTTTCAACACCAACGTCAAGTCAGTGCTTCTGTATGGTTGAGAGACTTGGCGCGTTACGAAAGGGATTTCCAATAAACTACAGACATTCATCAACAACTGCCTACGTTGGCTCGTTACTGAAGATCAGATGGCCAGAATGATAAGAATAGGCAACAACAAATATACCGAAGAAAGTGGAGATAGGTTGGATTGGGTATACACTGAGAAGGCCGACTGGGAGATCATGCACCAGGCCAGGCCATCGAGTGGAACTCGGATGGGAAGCGACAAGTTGGGCGTCCGTGGTGAGGGTGACATGGAGGAGATCGTGAGAGGAGGAAATGAGAGGTTCTGGGCTGTCGTGGAGCTAGGTTCAAAAGATTTCAAAGAACAGAGCGCATTGGAGATGTGCTACTGTAGCCCCATGTTCCATTAGGAACCCAAGGGACAAATAATAATAATAATAATAACCCATCTAATTTGTAGATCATCAACTACATACACCATAATCCATGTTGGTGTTCCAACAGAAATTTGAATCCAGTACCTATCGCTTCTGATACAGAGTTCCTGAATCATCAGAATTATCTTTTGCCCAACCTATATAAATTGCCACTTATCTATGGTTTATTATTTCCCAAAGTCAGTTAATATCAAGACCAATTTGAAGCATACACCATCAAAATTAAACTCCAGGCAATAGTCAGTCATTCTTCCGATGAACTCATACCGTCATCTACCAATCAATTTGGTTCAGTACAACAGTCAGAAAGGGGTGACTTCGACGGCCACTCTAACAACTGACGAGACAACCAATTACATTCCTTTATTTTACGGAAAAGTATTTTCCCAGGGGAAATACCGAAGCCTGATTGGTCATTTCACCAGTTGCTAGGGTAGCTGCTAAAGTCACTCTCAGAACGGAACTAGAAGTATTAAAAGTGACTATTGCTTTTGGGTGAGTTTAAAGGTCACCCTAGCAACTGGTGAAATGACCAATCAGGCTTCGGTATTTCGCCTGGAAAATTATTCTTCCGTAAAATGAAGAAATGCAATTGGTTGCCTCATCAATTGTTAGGGTGGCCTTTAGAGTCACTCCTTTTCAATGCGTAATAACACAGTTGCCATGTTGTGAAATAGGGGGGGGGGCTTTAAGGGCCACCCTGGCAACAACTGGAATAACTAATTAAACTTCCCTATTTTATGAAAATCTACCTATCAAGAAGAAATGGAGGAACCTAAATGAAAGTCGTTCGTGAAATAAAGAAAGGAAAAATAATTAATGAATAAAAAATCAATAATTTTTGGTGCCTGTGTGTGTATGGATGGTTCTAACACTAACCTTTATTTTGGCTTTTATTAGTTGAGACACTGCTTCGATGGTTTTGAGTTGAGCTCATTCTGTTCATCCTCTTAGGTACAGCAACATATAGAAAACAGGAATCTATAGAATGCTCCATAATCAGAAAATTCCAATTTTTAGCTGTTTGTAAACTAGATCCAGGAAGAGTGCTTAAGGCTGACTGAATAGCTTTGGTAGAGTCAAATGCGATTGAAGGATTGACTTCAGTTATTCTCCAAGCCTGTAGAATGTAGGAATGAGCGTTTTTTGAACAAATGCGATAATAACGAATATATATATATATATATATATATATATATATATATATATATATATATATATATATATATATATATATATATATATATATAGGTAATTATTTCTAATCATAGTTTATTATCTAGTAAAGAAAGGAAGCAGATATGAATTTTTCAGTATAAGTTTGGCTTTCATGTAAGAATGTCCAGCCTTAAACCATGTAAAATTCAACGAGAATCAAGAAAGTTGTTTTTCTCCTTGTTTAGTCCAGTTAGTATCACCAGCGGTATTTAATTGCTAAAAGCATTTGCCAAGCAATTTTCTCTAAGTCAAGTTATTGATAAACTCAGTACTGTCAGCTATTGGAGTGGTTAAGAAAACCTAACTTATTAGATGATCTCAATTTCATTATAAAATATTGACAGATCAGTCACGAAGACCTCTGATGTTCCGTCAAGTTAGATTTTTCCCAATTATAAAAAAAACAGTCTGTGTTATTCTGAGAACCATTTAGCCTTACATCACAGAAACATGGATAAAGTTGATAAAATCAATGGCCTAATCTTAACTCAAAGTTGTTTCAAATATCATGGTCTTTTACAGGTTCGTACTTATCATGGACAGACGTAAGTTTCAGAAACACTGGAAACCTGGGAGCACTAGACAGCTGTTTCATCCTAGGATGGGACTTCTCAGCAGTGCGCACCCATGACCCTGACAGGGATCGAACCCAGAACATCGGGTTCAGTGGTCAGTACATTTTCATTGAGCCATTGGGTCGGAATCCAATGATCCATATTTCCTACCACTGTCAGTTCACGATATAGCGCGACCTCCATCCAATGGCATCGTTGAGTACCTATCCTCATGTTCCACTGGAGTATCAACCTGAAATCAACAAAATCTCCACAAGCCTTCAAATATCATAATTGTTTCGTTACTATAATCGTTAGAAGCCCTTAGACATTCCACTTTAGTGAATTTTATTCCACTAAAGCTTCTGAGAAAAAGAAGCTTGGAAAACGAAGAGCACGATAAATCTTTGAGTTCCAACTGTACCTGTCCACTTGAATCTCAAATAAGAGGAAGGTGAAAGTGTGACTGAAATGCACTACTTCAAGGTTATTTTGTAAACATGAATCAAAGCATAATGTTATCATTCCGGATGACTTTTAGAATATCAGATGTTCAGGAATAAGTCTTACCATAATTAGTAAAGAGCATGATTGTTCACCTCTATCGAAGAAGAAGGCAAAACAGGTATGTTTGTATATATTAAGGTTAACTCTCATTTTATTCACATTAAGATCTCATTTCTAAATCTTACTTCATAAAACTTAAATGAGCATTACATGTTAGTCTTCAAATCAAAGAATTCATCACAGAACCAAGTAAGTCAACGTCAAAATAATCAGTCACTGCATAGTATCCAGTATCACTCTGTCCAGCTCACACTGTGCTGGTAGAATTCTGTTTTTAAATTCCATAATGTGGTTAATAACCTAGTGACTTGACAATGGAATGTACTGTAAGATAGATGAAAGCATGAGTTACAGATTATGGGGTTAATACTAGCTGTTTTCATAAGTGAAACTTCAGAAGGAATATTTAATTCCTTAATTTTTTTAGTCGTGGTTCGCAATCATTACCATTGTTATTAGTGGCAATATAAAGTTGATCTTTCGCAACAAAGGTCAAGGTTGCATAGGAAAAAATGGTATATCAGAGGAAATACAGATAATCTATCATTGAACCGGACCTAGTATGCAGTTAGTGTGTTGGTTAAAACAGCAGACCACTTGAATGATGGTTCAGAGGCTACTTATCCGAACCTTACCGTTACTTAGGTTTTCTTTTGGAATCCTATCATTGTTCCCCACAACAACATTAAACTTTTAACTGTCGGACATTAAAGATGGTCAAACATATCTCAAAGTTGTTTAAAAGTGATCTTTAATCGTAGTGTAATTACCTAGTGTGACATCTTGTCATACATGATCTAAAAGTAAATTAAAAAAGAATTTAAACACTTAACTAATGCTACTGATTTGAAATTTAGTTAAGTGACAGAAACAAGTAGAATCACTGAGGTCAGCGTACAATTATTAGTTGTGCTACATCCAAAGTCTATGAGTTATCTACTTGGATGATATTAGATTAATGGGTAATGATTTGTAACTCATACCAGCATATAATAATGACCAGGACCAAGGAACTGGGTGCAATAATTAATTTACAGACTTCTTTCCCTGAAGTCTTTGGAACCGGCTTATACGTTTTCGCTTTCAACAGATTTGTGATTTCTAACGGTAAATTAGATCAGAGTACCATCGAAGGGCATTTAGGAATCCCGTCTCACCAGTTGTCTTCCAATGTGTAGTCGGAAATATTTCGTATGATAATGGTTTTGACTGCCATAATTCAAATAAAAATAAGACGCTGTCGAACAGGTAAACAAAGAGGATATACTAAAGTACAGAAATCAAGAAGAAGTGACATTTTACGGATATCAACTTACTTGTGACTGTGATGTTAAAGTTCTCAGTATACTTGATATCCATGGACTAGCAGATACACTATGATCCTCTGATCCATTACATAATCCTCCTGTTGAACGCAAACGATTAGAAATTACGTTGTATTTAAGACCTGCTATCCAGGCTAGGGCTTCAGGGTATGAAGAAGGTTCTACAGACGAACAAAATCCCCACATATTAAACAGACATATATCATCAAAAACACAGGATGGAGCAGACCATAATAACTGACGGATAAGGGCCTCCGAAGAACTTAGAACAGATCGGTCGGCAAATTCACTTCCGATATCAAAGCTACTTTGAGTGCCACCGGCACATTTACGTGCATCACAGGCTAATAATGTTAACCAGAGATGAGTACGCAGCTTGACAGCCGTTGAACAACTTTGAAATCCAATTAGTAAATCTTGTGTTAAGATTGAAACGCTTTCATGACACCCACCAAGTAGATTTAATAAAGATTCAGTAACCTGAGAAGCCAAACCCTGAAAGAAAACAAAAATCACTTTTTATATTCTTTTGTACTGATGAGTATGAAGGATCTGACAGAGCACTACACTTAAACCTTCAGTGGACAGTCAAATTTAAGTAGTGTTAGGAGAGTAAACTGTCAACTCTTAGTATTCGATACGTCGAAGTAGCAAGTTATATTTTAATATGTAGCTGACTAGTAACTGGTTTATATTTATCAGACCTGTCATCGGAAAGGAAAAGCAGCTGGCAATTTGGTTTTCAGCCAGGTATCATGCTTTTTGACACTCACTTGGAATGACTTTCTTGAAAGTGGGACTCATACCAAGTTTATTTCAGTGCAAGGGAAATGAAAGCACTTTTCAGTTGTGTGAGACAAGACCAATTTCCAGCATGTTATTACTTTGTACACATGAATCAAAATGCAGTAATCATTGTTGCAAATTAGTCTCACTTAATGACTTAAATCTTTTGGACATTTCATCAGCTCTATTCATCCCTCTGAAAATATAGGTGGCGCAGGAAACCGAACCTTACCTTCCATCACCAAATGCAAGATTCCACAATACTGTAGCACTTAGCCTGGTAGCTCTACATGTGGTTTATTGGATACAACAGAAGTCAGAAAATAACATGATTTGCTGTTCGGAATTCAGTCTACACTAAGTTATTTGTTTTTTATAGTATTCTAAGGGGGAAGTCATTGTGTCTGACAAACATTCATCTAAGCAAGCAAATCTTCAAATAGAAGGATTCCAATATTTGTGATTATGGATGATAGTGGATGCAAAAGACAAACAGAAAACTTCCATCAAAATACATAGAAGCTAAGTATCTCACGATATCAGTGTCTTCTGCGTTTTAAGCTAAGAAGGACGTATACTATTGGCTTGATCCTTCGTTAGACATATGGTTCTAGACTGTATCCAGAAGTCAGGAAATGTAAACTACCGGCACTGACTCTGATAGCACATATCAAAGTGATGTGAAAGTGAATACTTTGAACAAAACATTTTTATCGTCGATTATGGCATCATACGTATTATTATTATATTATTATTATTATTAGTCTCTTGGGTTCCTAGTGGAACATAGGGCTTCACTAGTACGTCTCCAGTGACCTCTGTTCTCTGAGATCTTCTGAACCTGGTCCCACGACAGCCCAGAAGCTCTCATTTCCTACTCGCACGAACTCCTCCATGTCATCCTCGGACGTCCAACTCGTCGCTTCCCATGGGGATTCCACTCGAGGGCCTGATGCGTGATGTCCTCAGTCGGCTTTCTCAGTGCATGCCCAATCCATCTCCACTTCCTCCTGCATATTTGTTGAGTGATAGGTTCTTGGTTGGTTCGTTCCCAGAGTTCCTTGTTGCTTATTCTTTCTGGCCATCTGATCTTCAGTAGCGAGCCAGCGTAAGCAGTTGTTGATGAATGTCTGTAGTTTATTGGAAATCCCTTTCGTAACGCGCCAAGTCTCTCAACCATACAGAAGCACTGACTTGACGTTGGTGTTGAAAATCCGTATCTTGTTCACACTGTATGCTGAGTGCAGATCTCCACACTGTTTTCAGGTTAATGAACGCCAGTCTTGCTTTTCCTATTCTGACTTTGACATCCACGTCTGTACCACCTGTAGTTGAAACAGTGCTTCCTAGATAGGTGAAAGAGCACACTTCCTTGAAGTTTCTCCCATTGATGGTGATCGGAGCTTCTTGTTGTTGGTGGGGTAACTTCATCATCTCTGTCTTCTCTATATTCACTTGAAGTTTCATCTTCGCTGCCTCTTCTGCCAACTTGTTAGTTTTCGTCTGTAGATCTTCCAGTTTGTGTGACATTAGACACAAGTCATCGTTGGCGAAATCCAGATCTTCTGGGTTCTTTTCCGCAGTCCAGTGTATCCCCCTCTTCTCGCTCCCCACTGTTTGCTGCATGATCCAGTCCACCACAATCAGGAATATCATGGGGGATAGTAGGCAACCTTGTTTCACTCCTGTCTTCACTTCACTTCAAAAGCATCACTGAGCTTCCCATTGTGAATTACTTGTCATGTGGCATCTTCATATAGTTGTTGAATGAGGCGGATAAAGGTTTGTGGTACTCCGTAGTAATGAAGCAGTTTCCAAATTACCTCTCGGTCGACGCTGTCAAAGGCCTTTTCAGTGTCGATAAAGTTGAGGTAAGGTGAAGAGTTGACTGCCATTCTATATTGTGTTCTATGATGATGCGTAGAGTAGGGTTGCAATTTGGTCCGCACCTGATTTGTACTTCCTGAAGCCTGCCTGTTCGGGTCGTAGTTTTGAATCCAGTTCATCCTTTAGCCTCTCCAGGATGAGGAGGCTTAATATTTTGCTGGCTTTGGGTGGACAGGAGAGTGATTCCGCGCCAGTTCTTGCAAACACTGAGGTCTCCTTTCTTCGGCAGTTTGACAAGGTAACCCTTCTTCCAATCAATGGCCAGGTACCTTCTCTTCCTTCCACACCTTCTTCAATAGTGGTGTGGTATGAGCATGTCCTCTGTTGTCTCTGCGTCTGCTCTCAGTGCCTCTGGTGGGATCCCATCTGGTCGTGCTGCTTTCCCGCATTTCAGTAGCTTTATGGCGTTCAAGACTTCCATTTTTGTTGGAGGATTTATGTTCACTTGTAGTTCAGCGGTTGTAGGTGGTATTTGTGGACGAAGTGCAGGTGGTGGTGGTGGTCGATTCAATAGCTTCTTGAAATGATCGGCCCATTTTTTCCTTTGTTTCTCTTCTTTCGTAATTAAATTTCCTTCATCATCTTTTATTGGTTTCATCTGAGTTGATCTCTTCCCTACCAGATAGCAACCTGGTTATTTGATACAATGTCGTCAGGTCTGTGTCTCTCCTACCTGCTGCCTGTTCTGCTTCACTTGCCAGTGTTTTGTAGAAGTGTTTTTTGTCTTTGCGTGCACTCTTCTTCACTTCTTTGTCCAGTGTAGTGTTTTAAACATTGTGCTCAGTTCCTCTTGTCGTTGTGCATCCTTGCACTTCACTGGTTTATCTTCTGCTTCACCACCACCATCTTCCTCTCCCTGCTCTATCAGCTTCCATGTATCCATTGAGATCCATTCCTTATCTTCTTTCTTCTTCCTTCCTAATACGGTTATGCAGATCTCTTTCAAATAGTTCCAGTGTTCTTCCACACAGGTTTCTTCAGGGATGTTCCTTGATATCTCCCATTTTGTCTTGATGGCTGATGTGAAGATTTTCTTTGTAGTTTCGTCCTTCAGTTCAGTTTTGTTCTGGGTGTTGAACTTGAACTGTGACCTATCGTCACCAAACTCCTTGAAGGCTTTCAACTTGATTTGGAAGGTTCTTTGCACTAGAAAGTCGTCTGAATTTACATCTTCTCCCCTTCTTGACCTTGTGTCAAGTAGGCCGCGTCTGTACTTTCTTCACATTGAGATGAAGTCGATCTGATTTTTAATGTAACCTGGTATCTGGTGAAATTGATGTTGCTTTGTGGATATTCTTGTGCTTGAACACACTTCCTGACTCCAATCACCAAATCGTTGAATGTGCACAAATCTGCAAACAGTTCTCCGTTCTCACTCATCATTTCACCAGGCGCTTCTCGACTCATGGTTAGCTCTCTTCCTGTGTTGTCTGCTCCCAGTTTGGCATTTTATGTCACCCTTTAGAATTTTGATATCGCCAACTGACGTCTTGTCCAGGGTTGATTGAAGTTGTCTGAAGACATCCTGCTTTTTCTCCTGCTCTGCATTATTTGTAGGTGCATAGCATTGTATGATTGTGACCTTCCTTCCTTTTGAGTTGAAGCTTGATGTCATGATCCTGCAAGAGGAGATTGGTTCCCATTGCATGAGGAGAGCCTTCGATGCTGTTGGGGACATCATGATAGCCACTCCGAAATTCAGGGTTCTCGCTCCTGGTTGTCATGTGGGTGACAATATCGGAGTAGATTATTGATTCTCCAGTTGACAGTTTGGAGACTCCACTCCCATTCCATCTGCTTCCGTAAATCCCAAGCACTTCGATGTGATACCTTCTCATGTCTTTTGCAATCTGGGCTGCCTTACTGGGTTCAAACATCGTACGGACATTCCATGTCCCCATGTTTACTTTCGCTTTCATCAAGAGAGAGAAGACACATCGGCCTGGTCAATTGGCTTACCGAAGGCTTTCACCAACTGGCGTCATTTCACCTCTCCGATTCCAGTGAGGAGTAATTTTGTTTTTATTTTTTATATTTTGTGCTTTGAAGTTTCTTTAGCGGTTAGATTTGTTTTCCGGGGTAGGGTTGCTAGGTTGCCCTATGTCCAACCTTCCCTCTTGACCCGGGCTTAGGACCGGCTAGTAGCTAGTGAACTAGTTAACCAGGCGAGGTTGGCGTCATACGTATAACCTAAAAATTGCTGTCATATTGAATTGTAACTGGTTTCATAATTCAAATACAATTCCAGTTAATATCCTAAGCTGGTTTTATACGTATATCCTAAGTTCGATCTCTGACGGGGTCGTGGGTGCAAACTGCCGAAGTGTACACTAGGATGAAACAGATGTTCAGAACTTCCAGATTTTAGCGATGTGGTTCCCTTACAGAAGCACTCGATTTTCCAATGGTGGGTTCACAGTTCAAATCCTGCGACGTCTAATTTGGTCTGGTGCATAAGTGTACTGCACTGAGTACCATTAATTCTTTTTATTACTTCATGTTCCCAAAAATTTGCATTAACAATTGTAATTATATTTATTCTATATTTATTATTAAAACTTTCGGACATTTATAATCAACAATAATTTGCAAACATACCATGAAGTTTTGAGTAAAGCACATTTTCAAGGCGATGATAAATAGTGATGTTGCTTGTGAAAACAAATCCTGGACTGAATTATATAATCTCTAAATGATTAGTAAAAATATGAGAGAAAAATGCAAGGTAAATTTTTAGGTGTTTTTATTATACCAATATATTGGAAGAGTAGTTAACAAACGCTTACACCGTTGTTTATGTCTACAGGACAAAGTAGACATGAGTTATGCGAGGGAAAATAACCAAATGATTTATCTTGTCATCTTGAGAAACACTTTTGTTGATGAGTATCCTCTGGACTTGGCAATTAAGAGGAGCTAAAGGGCAATTCATGCAAAAATACTTCCATTTTTTATCTTCTGACCTATGCTACGAAACAGTGTCATGTTAATGCTATTTAACAATTCCATGTTTAACTGACTTCATGCTAGTCTAAGTATATGTATACTGAGAACATCATCATCATCATCAAGGTCAACAAGGGACCAGGCATTAATGCATAGCAGTCCAAGTTGCAACACTTCACATCAGCACATCAAATAACAAGGCAATAAAATAGAAGATGAAGAAGGACAGGAAAATCGGTGAGAGGAAGTAGAAGTCGAAATTAGTAAAAGAGAGGAAGGAGAAGTGAGAAGGCGATGAGATTACGCATAGCTGTTAAGCTGAGGATAATGTGTATATGCATCTGCCCCCCACTGACATCGGTTCTCAGTCATATCACCTAGAGTCAGTCTCAACCACTAGTTTCTCTTGTCCCGTGGACCCCAACCACCTAGTCTACATCGGTCCACATGGCTTAAACCAACAGTCAAGACTACATACATTGGTGCCATGTTTTGGTCTGGCAGCCTCGAATCTTTCTACAGTCTGAACCTACTTCGGCCAACATCGTGTAACGAGGCAATCAGTGACTAGGCATATGTAACACATATACCAACCAGCCATCTCAGTCGATGAAGCTTCACAACCTCGTCAACTGACTTGCCTCTTCTTCCTAAAACTCTACACCTGACCTCTGCGTTACCCACATGGTGATACCATGGAATACGGCCTATACTACAAAGGCAAGGGTGGTCAAACACCTGAAGCCAGCCTTCTCATGTCTTTTACCTTTTATGGCCAAGTTTCACATTCATACAGTAGAACAGAGCGAACTACGCCACAGTACACTCTACCCTTAACAGACAATCGTACTGAAGACGTAAATGTACTGAATATCTAAGAGCCGTAATTATGTAGATCATCTTCACTCATCACATTCATAATAGAGCCCCGATAATGATTAGCATTTTCAACCTCAGAGAGTTTAATACAAACAATATATACGATAAATACGGTACCACATGACCATTAAACATAGACTGATAACCAAGCACCAATGTTCTCGCTTCACGGATGTCAAACGTTTCCAGGATTAGGAAAATGGACTATAGAAAACATTTTGTGGTTATAGTATGTGAGATTGAAGTATTCTTCTTGAAAATACTTAGGTCTGAATTCCATTCCTAAAAGCTGACACCTCGTTTGAAGAGCCTAAATCTTTGCTACGGGGACATTATGAGATATAGTGTTAAGAGAATATGAGTCATAGCAGTATTTAAAAGACAAACCACTGAGTTAACCATTAAATGTTTTATTGGCTGATCTGAGAGACCTAACTGTTGCTCAGGTTTCAAGCTCTTTGCAGTTTAAATAGAGTCTTCCCTGACTCTCACGTAAATAAGTGATACTTGATCTCTCCTTGGTCACTACCAGCGCAGTCAAATCTCTTCCTACAAGTCTAAATAAAGCTAAGTAATTGCTAAAGTAGGTTCATTTTACACCTACTTTGCATTCTCAAGAAGAGACACCTAACTGCTTTCAGTAATAAAGTACGAGCTAATTATATTTCTTGGATTCGTTAACTAAGCGGTCTCAAACTTTTAACGTAATAAGGTGAAATATCAAGAGTAACATGACTGTAGATGAAGATAACAGTTCTTATTTCCATGATTATCCAACTAACAAGAATAAAATGTTTTCATTCCAGGTGATTTACAGTTACTCTCTTGTGAATAAGGTTTCAAGTGGTCAATGTATAGACTAAATCTTTCTTATACAACTGACTATTCTACATACGTATATAAATATATAAATGTCGTTGAATGACAGTACTAAAGCTCATCTTACCAGGTCATTGATTACATCATTACGGTTTCTCCAACGAAAGCCAGAGTGCAAATTTACTTCTTCAAAACTTTTCTGTGTCAGTTCTTGAGTGAAGTTGTTTGTGAAGGCAATGATGTCGTTATTTTCTGGATTCCAGTTATCATTAAGGTCTGGTATGTGTAGTAGACCTTTCAAATATAATAGTTGCCCCATGCAGAAAAAGCACTGTAATGAGAACCAAAGTAAATTATTCAGTGACTCATATTTTGCACTCAGATATTTAGCATCATTTTCCAGCACTTAAAGCGATTTAATCGTTTTCTACATGCAGAGATGCTTAATAAATTCGAAATAGTAACTCATTTTTCATATAACTCCAATCAATGGCGACAGATGTATACACTATAAGACTTTGTTCTGAAATATATAAACTCTTCTACATACACTAATAAGGATTATTAAAACACTCATGTCTGAGGAACTTGAGTGACCTTATGGTATCTACAGTTGTTTAAAATAGAGTGACTATAAAGGCACCCCTGACACTGACTGAAACAACCAGTTACTCTTCCTTTTCCAACGAAAAACAATCTTTCCCTGCAAAATCCCAAAACATAGTTGATTATTAGAGCAGTTTCTGGAAAAGTTTTTAAAATCACTCTTAAAATTAATCTCCTTCTTATACATTGGCTGCCATTTTCTATATAGTAAAAGACAAATAACATTGCTTTAGTTTAAATTTTGACGCCAATGATTGCTATAGCATGTCGGCACCTATTTTTTAAAACAAGCAACGAATGTGAAGAAAGCAGGATTTAATGAATGTATAAATTTCAGTAGTACTCATCAGCTGGATACTCTACATACTTGGTTATATAAACCAGCAAACAATGCAATGTATAACGTAGACTGAGACAGATTTAGGTGTAACAACATGGAACTTAACAGTTTTTGCAGGTGAGGTGGTAATGCGAAGGGTAGAATGAGTTTAGGAAGCTTTTAAATCTATTCACCTAGAAGATTCAGTTCCAGTTCAGTGGACAATTATCCCACCCAACTGAAGTCACAATGTGGAGCTTTCTGGGTTCCTTTTTCGCTGATTTATTTCTACCAAGTTTGGAAAATAGTAGCTTGAAGTGCTTCATAGATCAGACGGGACTGTACCGGCGTTGTATGGACGACATATTTATCATATGTAGTAGCAATATGGAGGCAGAAGCACTACTAAAGGGCTTCAATTCATGTCACCCAAACCTTTACGATTGCGCACGACGGAAGTACTTTGATTAGTTTCGTAGATGTCTCATTCGTGAAAAGGATCGATGGATCTGTCGAAAGGTCCATCTATAGAAAACCTTCATTGACTGAACAGTACTTTCATTTTAGAAGCTTCTTCCCGATGCAATGCAAAATAAAAATGGTCAGAACGCTGTTCAATAGAGCCAGGAACGTTTGTTCTGACAGCACACTCGACTACGAAATGATAACTTTGAAGAACCTAAGAGTGAAGAATGGGTACCCAGAAAGCTTTTTCAATAAGCAAGCAAAATGGGTGGAAAGTAGAACAGGATTCTCAACAGTGCAGAAAAAGTCAGTCTATATCACCTTGCCATTCAAAGGTGACAATGTGATAGAAGTATTTAGATGAAAGCTAGAGAAATCTATTAAAAGAACTTATTATGCTGTTGAACTCGTCCTCCTCAACACCATCAAAAGGGTACTGCAACAATCATGGATAGACAAGGCTCCTGTTCTTGACACATTTAAATGCATATATCAATTCGAAAGTAACTGAAGAAGAAAATGCATTGGTCGTACATAGGGGCATCTATCTACCCGAAAGGTTGAGCACCTACCTAAATGACTGAAGCATGCCGAAAAGAAGACCTCAAGGAGATCGGTAAAGAAACACCTAATGGATTATAGGAATGATAATGATACCTGTAAGTCTTTCACGGTTATCAGTAGACAGCAAAATAAGAACCTGCTTGGAATTACGGAAGCCTCCGCGATTCGAGATGTCAAATCAAATCCCTGCATTTAGAAGGGAATGGTAGTCAGGTTGAACCTGCCATGGTAAGAGTTACAACATCGTCTAATCATATTCAATCTTTCGTACCTGCTCTTCGCTCTTAACCGTCACCTATCTTATATTTTGTTTTCTTTCCTTGGTTTGTTTCGCCTAATTAACCTTATATTACCATTGTTATCATTAGTATTCATCTAAACACACACCTGTGTGTTTTATATGCCTGTAAAAGTACACCTTGTTTTAACTGACGTCATCTACTCTCAGTCAATTCAGTTCTCATCCCTGTGTCAACATTGTTATTATTGTCATAATTATTGTTGTCATTATTTTCTTCCTAAAATCCACCATTATCCAAACTCATAATTGGTCACGTAACCTATACCCAACTCATTCAACTTTGAATATCCATTTCTACCCTTCGCATTACCACTCACCTGTAAAAACTGTTCAGTTCCATGTTGTTACACCTAAATCTGTCTCAGTCTACGTTATACATTGCATTGTTTGCTGGTTTATATAACCAAGTATGTAGAGTATCCAGCTGACGAGTACTACTGAAATTTATACATTCATTAAATCCTGCTTTCTTCACATTCGTTGCTTGTTTCAAATTTGTATAGGGAAACAAATGGTTTCAATTTTAAAGGTAACACCAGTTTTTTCGAAATTTGGTTGTTATCGGTGTTTTTCCTAATTCAAATATCGCTTTTCTTAAGATAAAAATTTGTTCATTAATTTTCAGTTCTGTCCAAAATATATCAACTTTAGTAGATGTTAGTTGGTTGGAGGCGATCGGCAGGAAGCCCTGGACCTAGGTTTCGTGCTTTTTGGCACTCGTCAACAAGGCGTATCTGCAACCTCGACGGGACTGATGTCCCGCCTGAGGTCCGGACCTGCGTCACCCGGTGTTGTAGTCAGCGACTTTACCACTGAGCTATTCGGGCCGCGATTGACCTCCTGTAGGACAGGCTTACATGTGCTGACTGGTCACGGATGTGCAACAACTTTCAAGTTGTCTAGTCCTGAGTGTAGACGAGTGCCAAAAAGCACAGAAAATAGGTCTAGGGCTTCCTGCCGATTGCCTCCAACCAACTAACATCTACTAATGTGCACCGCGATGCTGAGGTTCCTAGCTTGGTTGCCATATTGCAAATGTGATCAATAGGATTCGGTTTGCACGCAGAACTAGACAACATGAAATTAGTTGCACACCCGTGACCAATCAATACATATTAACTTTCTTTTTCTAACATTACTGTCATCAGAAACACAGAGAGTTTAGTTCTGTAAGAACTCTCCCTTCATGCATATAGTGGCAGTCCAATAAGGCCAGTTAACAGTTTAAGCATTTTGACAAATGAATGAGAAGTTACGCTAAACTTCAAATGCACTGCAATCCATTCGCAGACAGACAGGCCGAAAAAGCCAAAGTAGAACCTTCCATACAAGAACATCGGTTCAAGTTGCTGCGCTTCACAGTAGCATACCAAAAACAAGTGGATAAGAAAGGTTGATATCAGAGCAGACGAAGGTGTATGAGAGGAGAGAGAAATTAAAAATTAATGTGTGTAAAAACATTCAAGCTTCAGAAGAAATCAAAGAGTGAATACATCTAGGCCATTGTGACCGATTTTCAGTCATCTCATGAACAGTCATCAACCATTGAATCTTATGGTCTTGGGAGACCCAGTCAGGTAGTTTACATGGTTCAAACCAACATTCATAGACTTCATGAACTGGTGGTACGTCTTCGTCTGGCCACCCTGAACCTTAGCATGGCTTGTCGAAGTAGGCTGTGGTGGTTTAGCATGCTCGGGACATGTGCAAGCCAACTCAGTCAATGAAGGTGCAGGACGGAAAGAAGTACAGTGCAGAGAATCCATTTGCAGTTAGAATGAAATGGAGTTAAAGGAATATGCTTGCACAATTCATAAACTTAATGTTTATGCCATATCTGAGCACCAAAGGTTAACCGGTGTGTATAAGCGACCTATGGATGACATTTTCATTGTTGAAGGTGAAACAGATGAGGCAAATAAAATTTTGGAGAGCTTCAAAAATGCTCATTCACCGACTAGTTTTATGCTTGAAGTCAAGTCGGAATGTAAACTTGTCTTTCTAGAAGTTCAGCTCTCAAAGATAGGCTTACCATAAACCTAAATTGAAGAGGCAATTAACGAATTTTTGTAGCTTTATTTCTATGAGCAGAAAAAGGAATCTAATCTCCTGTCTTGCTACATTAATTTATCGAATATTCAACGAAGATAAATTAGACAAAAAATTGGGATTCTTAAAATAATCTGTGGTCCGGAATGCATGCATAACATCATTTGTTGATATATAATATATATATATATACTTCATCTACTTTAATATCACCCTTTTTCTATCCACCTGTACTTTGTTTACTACTGTGAAATGTAGCAACTTGAACCGGTATACTTGTGTGCGATTTCCACGTTGGCTTTGTCTGTCTGTCTGTCTATCCATCACTATTAAATTAGAAAGGTTTTCGGTAATCAAGCTTAGCAATAAATTCTTATAGTCTATGCCCGAAATATTCAGAATTAAGATCTTTTATAAAGTCTGTGTATGTGCAATGCCATAATGGTTTCAATTTCGCCCCAAAAAAATGTTTCGATGGATCAAGTCACATGACTTTACTCACAAAGTTTATAAAGATATCTTGAAAAAATCTGTGGTGTATTTAGATATATAGATAACCAGTTACTTATTAAACTGTAGTATGGCGACTAAATATACTGGAATTATTCAGTTAACTTTCTGAATTTCACGTAAGTAGAATTCATTGCTAAGTTCTGACAACAAAAGTCGACCAATTCGACTCAATATAGCAACAGGAAATTACAACTATCAAAGCACAACAACTGATACCTGTTTTATTGAAGAGGTAGCTCCCTAGTGGATAACGCTTTGGCGTTTGAAGCGTTGTCCAAGATTTCAGGGTAAGATATAATGAGATCTGAAGACATTTACTGTATTCTGAATCAAGAAGTAACGTTTAGTGAGCCACTAAGCTCTGACCTAAGAAGAGAAATATTGGTCGATAGCTAATGTCTATCACTAGTCCCCAGATGATCTAGAATTCGCTGAATTTATGAGAAAATAGTATAATCTTTACTTCAGTTTTCGGGATATGCAGAAATCGAAACAACAAGAGTACCTTACGTTGGAAAAAGGTATTCAGTAGACTAAGAATAAAAATAATATTATCAACTAACAGGTGGTCAACAAACATATTTAATTTAAAGACAGAAATATAGCTTCCATCTTAGTTGATTTACTAGATGTATCACACTGCAAGAGTAGTATTATTTACTGGATTACGTTTCGGACACAATTTATTGTCCGTAGTCATATCAAGATAACCAGACAAATTTGAGACATCCTTTATAAAGCTGTAATTTTCTCACCTCCTTTGTGATATGGATAGTAAAATATTTCATAAATTCGCAACAGGTGCTCAGTCATTCTTGTTGCAAGTATTAGGGTTGATTCGATAAACAAAAATTCAGTTATCAATGTCTCCCTGCACCTTGCTATATTATTTTGAAGGATTATCATCCTGTCCCACCCTTTTGTGTGGTTGTGTTTAATTGTATGGATAGCTATGGCAGAGCTGTTTTCTAAATTCTTCATCTTACTAGGATCTACCGGTTTTCATCTGGCTAGGTTGTTGTGCTCGGATAGCCTAACTGATCCGGGTCAACTACTTCAACCTATGGTATTTGACCTCTTGGTTGTTGCAAGAGATTTACTAATCTAAATTATTCTGCCTAAATGGATCAACAGGATCTTTTAACCGGAAAAGCGTACTTCCAAGTGAATTTGTAGGTTTAAACGTCACTCTAATCCCAGCCTCATTGAGAATCCTACATAATGTCTCTAAGATGCCTTCTTCATATGGGACTACAATTGTTTTATGACACATATTGCTTATTTTCCGTAATGACATCAATAAACAAGATTTTTATCCTGAATGACAGTCTTTGAAAATATAAAAGGATGGCGATCTACAGCCTTTGGAATTCTTTGGTATGACTTCCATTGTCTGAGTTTTATTATTTCCCATTATCAGGGGACAAAATCGACGGATTTCCTTATTTAAAAATGTCCAGAGGGATGATGAATTCACAGTTTTACTATAAATTATTCAGGTATCCTATCTGTCAGTGTAATCACATAGTCGGTCATGATCGAAAGAAAGTATAGAAATAGTAATCAAAATTCACTGAAATCCTAATCAACAGTTAGGTTAGATCATGAACACCGACAACGCCGAAAGAATAATCACTGAGAAAGAGAAATAGTAAAAAGGAATACGGTTCGACTCTACCTTCACTATTAGATGAGGTTGTTTATCACTCATAATAAAAATATCTGACAGCAGACAGCAGACTTCATCAAACGCTGTTAAGATAGTAGAATCCCATATCTGTTTCAGCTGATCATTTTTATTCGGAGTCACTGTTAAACTCTCGGAAGAATTTTCACTGATGTAACTTTCGACTGCCTTTAAGAGATGAAGAAAAAGAGATCAAGTTATGAAATGATGGAAATTAGAAGTCTAGACAGTTGTAAAAAGTTGATCAGGAAAATTAAAACCCTCAGTCAATTTAATTTTGAGTTATTTGTGCTTAAACACTAAAAAAGTTACCATTTTTCTATATCATATAAAGCCTTGGTTAGTTATTAATGGTGTTTAATCGTAAGTAGTAAATTACAACATGTGTGTTTCACCCTATTCGCAACTCAACACTTGTTTCCGCATTGCTTCAAATCCATGAATAATTTAGTTCTTCCTATATTCTATAGTCAACCAAAAGTATGCCTCGTGACTAAAAGTGCCGTTCATGCGACTATAATTATTCGATTTATCAGAAGAATTATTGATAAAAGTGAAGCATATCAATGATGGAAGTCAGCACTTACTAAATTTAGCAACTCACCTCCTGAGGAGAATAAAACACTACAAGGTAGACAACCACGAAAAAATGGTATATTTCTAGGTGAATTCATTTCCTACGCCAATCAAGCAACATAACCAGAGAAACAATAAATTTACTCAAGAATTTCCAGTCTTCAAAAGTATACAAATGCGACTATTAAAAACTTGGTCAAAATAATCTACTTGTGTCTCACAGCATACTTTTAGTTCAGTGAGAAAATTTAGAAACCGAACAAAGGAACTACTATGAGTTGCCGATGCCTGGATTCATTGTTGAATTAGTGATGCAAAGGTTAGAATCAGTAGTCAAGACAGTGATCAGGTTCAAAATCTGAATAGGTTATCTTGATGACACTCTTGTTTTGAATTGGAAAAATCACTGTCTTTCATCAACCAAACCTTTGAAGGTATTCAGTTCACAAGATAAGAAGAGGTAAATAACGAAATCGCGCTTCTGGACATTCTTATTGGTAGGACACATGAAGGCACATTACCAACTCAAGTATACAGGAACGTGACATATAGATAAAATCTTGAATTAAAATGGTAGCAAACCACCATCTCAAACACCACATTGGTACGTATGTAGATTCACCACAGTAGTGAAATGGGATAATTTATCCGCTGTTCAGACATACATGTGATGCATGCATGAGTTGTCTGGGCTTGTTAAGGAAACGTGCCCACAGGTGTAACTGTATCCGCATTGATTACTGCTGTTCTATGTCACCTTGGGTAATACCATAATTCTATTGGCTATCTTTTAAATACATCTGAGTTTATGTTATTATAACTATGTTGATGTAAATACGGGTTTTAATACTATGTCACCGAGACAGTGTGAACTATTTGGTGGGACTGCCTGGCAAACTGCTGGGTGAACTGGTTGAGTCACCTGATTTTGGGGCTGTGTAAAATATATGCATTACAATTACGATCCTTGTTTTTATTACGGAGTATTAACTCTAGCCAATTCTAGGTGCGGTTTACTTTAATTCAGAAAACAGCAAATAGACGATTTTATAAACTGATAGAGTTGAATAACTTGAACATTGGGTAAATGGATTATTAATGAAATATATCTGTACAATCTAGGCGAGGTAGAAAAATAAATTTCTGACGCTTTGGCACTTCGTGGAAATCGCTTCCTTCAGTTCTCAAAATGAAAATGTAATTAGCAAATAACCAGTTACGTAAGTCAGAAGAAAAGCACTTCAGTGAAGTGTTGAAAGTCAGTGGCTGTCAAATAAAATTAATCAAATATGGATTCTAGATTAGTATTCATCATGAATTGACATCAGTTGGAGAAACATTGGAAACCTGGAAGCATTGGACTGCTGTTTCGTTCTAGTAGGGAACCTCTCAGCAGTGCGCACTCATGACCCCACCAGAGACTGAACCCACAACATCCATGTTCCGCGGCCAGCATATTGCCATCTAGCCACAGGGTCGGAATCTGGTAGTTTATGTTTTCTACTTCTGTCAGTTCATGGTATTGCCCAACCTCTACCTAATGCCGTCGTTCAGCGACTGTTCTCTTGTCTGACTTGGTTGGCTCTATCGGTCACAATTTCTAGTTGGGACTTCAGGAATCACTTCTTGAAGCCAGTCACCAAAAACCTCCAATTGAATCAATCAAATATTGTCTGTCAACCGAACTGAAAACAGCACAATTACCTTAACTTACAAAATAAATTTCCTTGCCACCAATCAAAGATTTTTCAGAAACTATCCATTTGTTGAGCACAACGTATAAGTTAACGAAATGCCTACACTATATTTTGCCAAAAGTTAACAAGGCTGGTATAGTCTAAAAAATTATTCGTTAAGACTGCCAATGTTACCGCGTTTGTCATTTCAATCGTCAGATAGCCCAGGAAATTTGTGAACGTCAGCTAGTAGTCAGATAGTATGACGTAGCATCACTAATAAGGGCATATTTGGGTAAGCAAAAACACAACTTCGATCGTAACAGCAAAGAAATACTACAATATGCAAAGTCAAAAACTACAAGAAAATTCCTGGAAACCGGGTACCCAATGAAATGGCTATCAACGGCAGCTACACACAGATCAAGTGAGCAGATTACTAAAAAGAAATCAACCACCAGTAAATCAAACACGCAATCAATTTCTGAATATTAGGTCAATAGAAAAGGCCAAGCGTTCACAATAGTATTTCTCGATACCCTCTGTACAACCTGAGAGTATCATAATATAATACCATCAGGTTTTACTACGACATCACTACCAAAGTGAAAATACCGATGGCAAAAAGGCATATAAATAAGGAACTCAAATGTTAACAGTGACTGACCAGTTCAAATAAGCCAAAAAAGAAACCTTACAAACTATAATGTCTTGTTTGATTACAATAATGATTTACCAATTAGTCTGCTACGTCGTCCAACGAGCATCCAGAATTCAATATATGCTGAAACTAAGGAACATCAGGTCGTGCAAGGAGCATACTACCATTGTACTACTTGGCTGAAATCGAGTAGTCTATGCTTTTCAATCTGAGTTAATCAGCGTTATGGTGTGTTCGTTATCCAACGCCTTCGGCAGGCATCCGTTCTTACTCTCAGTGTTTTGTGGCTAAATGTCACGGTCTGACCTTAGGACCTCAAACTCATCTCTTAGTTACTCAACCGGATGGTCTGTGAGGGAACTGTCTGATGCTTTTTGTTCAGTGTTGGACGATTCCTAGTAAACAAAGAAGGATATGTGAAACTTAAATGACTCTTGATCTACTCCAAATCTGAATTCCAATCATTTCCACTTATCTGTAGAGATTACACCATACAGGGTCTTATTAACATCAATTCATCGATATACATCGAAGTTTGTTATTTACTGTCTATAAATGTAATCCCAAAGGTTCCGTTTGAAGGAGGGATAATGTGTGTGGATTTGAATATTGTAAAAAGCATTCAAAATATAATTCACTATCGTTCTAGGATTTATTGTTTGAGGTATTAAGAACATTCAGGTCGTGACAGTAAACAGTAACCTTTAAAGCTGTTCCAACTGACCGGAGATAATTGACACTTTCAACCTCCACTTTGAAAATCTGTATACTTAAGCTGCTTTTAAATCATTTTGAATGAAAAGGACTCATAAAATGAGGGTAAAAAGCGTTATTTTCTCAAATAAATAACAAAGTTTCACATCCAAACATAACGTTGTACCATGTATACCGCTGGGTGAAATTCAGTTATTCTAGGTATTTCAAATATTTTATAGCTAAAATCTTTTAAACCTCTAAAAAATGACAATCTGCAATATTTTAGTCGGGTGGTATAACCTTCCTTTTTTCCCATACACTGAATGAAGATGAATTTCTACTAGATGAGATTTAACAGAACTGTTTCATTTGGAATTTACAAATGTGAAATTACGTGAACGAGAGTTTGGGCATCATCTTCCACAGAAGGGAGATGAAGCGGACACACACTTTACAAGTATCTGCTTGTATACCTATCTTTTCATTTGAATTATAACAACTTTGATGGTTATTTCTGGTATACCGGGTAAAAAGTATCAATTGAAGAAGAGATTTTCGAAAACAGAGTTAAATGACCAAATGAACTTTTACGCAGATAACGACAGCAACTGTGCTGAAATCCTTGAACTATTCCCCAACACATTATGCTTCACCATGTTAGGGGAAGATCGAAAGGTAAAGTCAGTGAATGGACTTTGGCGACAGTTTTCGTTTCAACGAAGCAAATAGTGACAGCGCTACAATATGAACCAAATTATGTAGCAAAAAGATTTCCATCTCAGCTGTTGAGTACTTTGTATTTAAATTTCTATTTTAGCATACTTCTGTCGTATTATTTGTCCCTTGGGCCCCTAGTGGAACATAGGGCTTCAGTAACACGCCTCCATTGCAATCTCTTCTCTGCAATCTTCTCAACCTGGATCCACGACTGCCTACAAGCTTTCATTTCTTCTTCACACCATCTCCTCATATCAACATCGTCTCGGACACCCAACTCGTCGTTTTCCCTTTGGATTCCACTCGACGGCCTGGCCTAGCGCATGATCTCCCCAGTCGGCCTTCTCAGTGTAACCCAATCCAACCTATCTCCGCTTTCTTCGGCATATTTGTTGGGTGATAGGCTCTTGGTTGGTTCGTTCTCAGAGTTCCTTGTTGCCTATTCTTATCGTTCTGGCCACCTGATATTCAATGTCGAGTAAACGTAGATGGCAGCTGTTGATGAATGTCTGTAGTTTGTTGGAAATGCTTTTCGTGACACACCAAGCTTCTGAACTATATAGCAGCACTGACTTGATTGACATTAGTGTTGAAAATCCGGATGTTGCTCATGCCTTATGCTGAGTGCAGTAGATCTCCACACTGGTTTCAGGTCGATGAAGGCCTGTCTTGCTTTTCCGATCCTGGTTTTGACATCCACGTCTGTGCCACCACCTGTGGTTGAAACGATGCTACCTAGGCAGGCAGGTGAGAAAGACTACTTCCTTTAGGTTTCTCTCGTTAATGGTGATTGGTGCTTGTTGTTGTTGGTCCCCTGCTTTACAGGATTTCAGTAGCTTTATGGCATCCAGGAGTTCAGGTTCTGTCGGAGGGCTTGTGTTCTCTGGTAATTCTGTGGCTGGGCTGCTGGTGGTATTTCTGGACAAGTTGCAGGTGGTGATGGTGGTCAACTGAAGTGGTCAGCCCATCGTTTCATTTGTTTCTCCTCTTTGGTAACTAGCTTTCCTTCACTATCTCTCATTGGTTTCATATCAGTTGATCTCTTCCCTACCAGGTAGTGACCTGGATATTTGATACAATGTTGTTAGGTCTCTGTCTCTCTTACCAGCAGCCTATTCTGCTTTACTTGCCAATGTGTCGTAGAAGTGTCTACTGTCTATGCGCGCACTCTTCTTCACTTCTTTGTCCAGTGTAGTGTTGTACAGGTTGTACTCACTTCTTCTTTTCGTTGTGCATGCTTGCACTGCATTGTTCGTCTTATGCTTCACCATCTTCCTCTCCCTACTGCATCAGCTTCCATGTGTCAGTGGAGATCCATTCCTTGTCTCACCTTGCTTCTTCTTCCTTTCTAATACGGTTATGCAGCTTTCTTTCCACATAGCTTTCAAAGAGTGCTCTTCCAGTGTTCTTCCACACAGGCTCCTTCAGGAATGTTGCTCAGTGACTCCCATTTTGTTCTGATAGCTGATGTGAAGATGTCCTTTGAAGTTTCGTCCTCCAGTTTTTGTTCTGGGTGTGTAACCTGAACTGTGGCCTATCACCAACTACTTTGCAGGCTTTCAATTTGATTTTGAAGTCTGATTCCTTACACTAGATAGTGAGTGGTGTGAAGCTACATCTGCTCCCCTTCTTGATCTGATCTTGTGTCCAATAGGCTGCGTCTTCATTTTCTTCAGATTGATATGAAGTCGAGCTGATTTTCAGTGTAGTGTGTCCATCTGGTGAATGGTGAAATGAAATTCATGCCGCTTTGTGAATTTCCTTGTGTTTGTACACACTGCTTCTAATCATCAAATTGTTGAATACACAGAAGTCTGCAAACAGTTCTCCATTCTCCTTCATTTCACTAAGCGCTTCTCGACTCATGGTTAGCTCTCTTCCTGTTTTGTCTGTTCTCAGTTTGGCATTCATGTCGCCCTTTAGAATTTTGATATCGCCAACTGACGTCTTGTCCAGTGTTGATTGAAGTTGTCTGAAGACATCCTGCTTTTTCTCCTGCTCTGCATTATTTGTAGGTGCATAGCATTGTATGATTGTGACCTTCCTTCCTTTTGAGTTGAACCTTACTGTCATGATCCTGCAAGAGGAGATTGGTTCCCACTGCATGAGGGAGAGCCTTCGATGCTCTTGAGGCCATTATGATAGCCACTCCATAACTCAGTGTGCTCGCTCCTGGTTGTCATCTGCGTAACAATATCGGAGGAGATTATTGACTCCCCTCTACTTGACGGTTTGGAGAGTCCACTATCATTCCATCTGCTCTCATAGATTCCTCGCAGATTCCCAGCTTAGCACTTCTATGCTATATCTTCTCATCTCTTTTTCAATCTGGAGGGCCTTGCCAGCCAGCTTTAAAGGTTATTTGGACATTCCGTGTCACCATGTTAACTTTTGCTTTCATCGAGAGGAGAGGACACATCGGCCAGTTGGCTTCCTGAGGGCTTTCACCAACTGGCGTCATTTCACCTCTCTGATTCCAGTGAGGAGTAATTTTGTTTTTATTTTTTATATTTTGTGCTTTGAAGTTTCTTTAGCGGTTGGATTTGTTTTCCGGGGTAGGATTGCTAGGTTGCCCTATGTCCAACCTTCCCTCTTTGTGGGGGCTTGGAACCGGCTAGTAACTAGTGATCTAGTTACGCAGGCGAGGTTTTCGTCATATGGTATAATGAATCTAAAAACGTTACAACTCTAAAGAAAATAGCTACACTTTTGTGAAAGCAAAATCTATTCGACATAAATACAGTAGAACTTACACAAACTAATGGGTCTTTTAAAGCATCATCTTGGAGCTTAACTTTCATATAATTTACATGAAGATTCATAATACTGTGGAGAATGCTGATCAGCATAAATTTGACTTCCATTAGATCTCGGTGAACCGGCAAACTACAGCCTTTGAGCTTAGAATAAAAAACATAACAATACAGTAATGGCTAGGCTTAAAAAATATTAGACATTAGTGGTATATTAAACTGATTGCTTGCCACATAGTGTTTATAGGCAACTTATGTGTTGTTTAATCAAGCAATGAACATTGGAAATTTTAATATGCACAGTTAGTGGCTTTGTAAATGAAGACCAAGACTTTTACTTTGACAAGAAAACAGAAGTCTTGAAAAAACATTTTCCGTCTGAAAGCCTCTAAAATTCATAGGTTATGCAGGCTTCTACAACCGCAGAGCAGTCAGTCAATTCTACTTGTTGTATTCTCGGGATAAAACTTCAAATAACCTTCCATCAGGTAACTTTATTGTAAGCTATGGAACGGGAGTCGGTGCCCAGTTTAGAAATATGCCCAACAAGGGTTTCGAAAGATGCATTGGTTAACGCACTCTTACGTGCTTCGAATTAAACGTATTCTCTCCATGACAAGTTGCCAGTAGGTTTTCTCACAATGAAAGTTGAATAGGTTTTTAGCATTTTGACTGTTTTTAATAGATAAATTCTCTATGACTAAACTATGCAACCACTATCTAAGTACATCACCGTAAGGTGGTTATTCCATATGGGAGACTTTTGAAAAGTCTAAAAATTAGCCTTTTTCTTGTCTAAGTGAGATAAATGACCGTTAGAATAACTTCTCACGGAACCTTAGCATCAAAAAACAGGTGAACTCTTGAACTGTCTCCAAGTATATTTGACTGCTGATGCAGGAAAAGTTTAATTGTTGAACTTGACGTTTTCTGTTTTGGTATAGGATTACACTTCAAGCACTAATTGCTTAAAACGATCTACAGGATAGTCTAATTATTTAAAACTGACTGACTCCATCAGTGTAGAAAGTCGCACACAAGTGTATCGCCTCAAGTTGCTGGACTTCACAGTGCTTTACAAAGAATAGTTGGATGGAAAAAGAGTGAAATCAAAGTAGACAAAACTGTGTGAGGCAATAAACAATTAGAAGATAACGATTAGTGCGAATATTGAAGCTTTTAAAGATCTCATGAAATGAACACACCTGAGCCATCTTGACCGATTTTCAGTAGTGTTACCAAGAGTTCTCAACTACTGATTCCTTTCATCTCGAAAACTCCAGCCACGTAGTCTACATCTTCTTATGAGACTCAGACCAACAGTAAGACACTTTACCGACTGGTGCAACCTAATCTGAGTTCCTCTAGCATGGTATGTCAAGGTAGCTGACGGTGGTTCAACATGCGCAACAGATATTCAAGCCATCTCAGTCGACTATGGTTCTCAACGCCAAGTCGATTTGTTTTTCTTACCTATTATCTCTCATCTGACCTTAATATCAGTCACATGGTGACCCCACCAAACACGAGAATGCTAAGATATCTATCATCAAAACCCTGAAATTGATTCCTGTCTTCTACTTTAAACGGCCATATCTCACAGTCGTATAACATGACAGAACGAACTTCAGTGCTGTATATTCATCCTTTGATAGACAGTCGGATATTTCGCCATTTGGCACCATAGATGACGCAAGTTGGTAAATGCTGTCACGTGGTAACTGACGACATTTGGTTTCAGGTTGAGATGAAATCATTATGCTACTGGAAATATTTCTTTCTTGGTATAAACTGAAAACAACTTGCTAGTGTAAGAATAGCAGGATACAATGAATTCCTGAATTCTAGTAGGATTCATCGGCTGAATAAATTCTGCCTTTTATTTATTTTCATTGCTTGTTTTAATGATGTAATTAGTTTTACCAAAACAGCTGGTAATGATAAATATTTGAAATCGGTAAACATTGATTACATTGAACAGTTTTATATAAATACCACTCCAAATTGTTTATCTAATCTATCACTATGCCGCCGAATGTGTGAGTGAACGAAGTCAGCTGAGACAAATTTAACTGTTCAAAGATAAAACCTAAGCCAACACTAAGCACATGCACATCCAGATATTAGGAAAATTATGCAACTCTTAACACTAAGGTAGAGCTAGAAATAAAACTATGCAAGCCATATTGCAAGGTTCTAGGGCTACCTTAGATAAGTGATAAACACGCTGGTTTCCTCATCCTTCATTCAATAGTTAGAAAGTCCTCAACAAACTACGAAACACTTTCAAGGTAAGCTGCGAATGGATTTGGAGCTCATGTATATATCCAACTTTCTATCCAAAATACTTTGAGTCGAGTTGCTTGTTTTTCAAAATTATTTCATCTATGAATGGATAGTTAGTTCTGTCACATGGGAGAGACTTTTGTCAGATCTAACAAACTATTTGCTTTAGAGAAAATATCAGACTATCACGCTTGTCTTCTTGAGGTGAGAATCCTCAACAAATCACAAAAGTGGCTAATTTTCTGCGTTCAATAGCTAACAACACTTATTGGTTTAAAGCATCAGAGATTTTTGATAAACGAATTCACCATGATTTCTAGTGAATATTTCGGAAATGCATTTGGAAAATGTACGATTTTTAAATATTATTCCAAATAGTTCCAAAGATACACAGCTAAATATCTTCATAGTGAAAGAAAATTGTGGAATAAATTTATAATGAACAAATTTGCTTACTTCATCCACGGTGCTGAATGACTCAACCAACGTGACAGTTTCTTGGGCAAAGCTTAAACATTGACGTGCAATGCTTAAAGTAGTTTCAAAGAAATGGCAGACTGTGACCGGATGACGCAATTCTTTCCGTAGTTTGACAATCTTCCAGAATGCAGACACATTGAAAATGATTTTGGTTCGATCAATATGATAAAATAAATAAAACAAAACCGCTTCATTGGTTTATTATGAATAGAATTCAGTGAATGTTGTAACATTGTGTTATAATTTAATTGGTGGTAGCTAGCAGTGAGATCCCGGGTGCAGGTTTCCTTCCACTTAAGGTTCATCAATTGGATTTACTCCAGAGAGTGATGTCGTTTCTGAAGACGATCAAATCTTGCACCCATTGCCTCAAACATCAAAGCATTATATACTAAACTACTGAGGCATAAGAGCCACCTCTTGTGCAACAACCATCAGTTACTATTATTCATTGATACTTGTAATTTTCCGTTGTTTTTCTGGATCGAATTGATCTACCTCTGTTGACATATATATGCGGATTAATCACTGCTTGATTCATCACTATGTTATAATTAGTAGGCAAATCCATCTGAGGAGTCCCAAATATGGCGAAACTCGGGCGTTAGATTCCACTTCCAGTCATCACCAAGCAAATTACAACATGACAAATAATCAGGCTATATCGAGGCACTTGCATGAAAGCCCATCTGCCAACAGAAGTCGATCAATCTGATCAGCCAGATATTATCATATTCATCACTACTTATCTCATTTTAGTGTCCAAGTATTATTGAATTTGAAATATTTACTTCATCTTATGCAGATTTCGTGAACCGCAGCTAGCTTTCAGATTCACTAACCTTTTCCTTCATGATGATTCTTTAGAAGACCATTTATCAAATCAGTCCTACTCAGCTGACTTACTTAGCCGGAACTGGAAATATGAGTAAATTATTTGAGCCATGGAAATGTCGGAAGTTAACTGACTGACTGACCCACAAAATCAACTCACAGTTTCGCATACAAGTGAACCGGTTCAAGTTGCTACACTTCACAGTAGTTTACAATGAAGAAGTGGATAGAAAATAAGTGAAATCAAAGTAGATAAGATTGTATGAGACAATAAACAATAAAACGATAATAGATAGTGCGAATATTGAAGCTTCAAAAGATATCAAGGAGTAAATATATCTCCTACATTGTGACCAATTTTCGGCCATGTCACCAAGACACCTCAGTCACTGATTCCTTTTGTCTCGGAGACCATACATGCCTGAGACCAACAGTTAGGGACTTTATCGACTGGTGCCACATCTTGGTTTAGCCACTCTGAACTTCTTTCCAACCTAATCCAACTTCCCCTAGCATGGCACTTCAAGATAGGTGACGGTGGGTCGGCATACACAGGATAAATCTAGGCCACCTCAGTCGACTAAGGTTCAAAGTGTCATCAATCGACTTGGTTGCCTTACCTAGTACGCTTCACCTAACCTCAACATTGCTCACACTCTGATTCCACCAAACGTGAGCAACGATACCCAGGCATATGTGATCAAATCTTGCAGCCGCTTCAGGTATTCTACTTTCAACGATCATGTCTTACAGCCGTACGACAAGACAGGAAGAATTGCAGCGTGCTGTTCGCGTCCTTTGACATCTCGCTGGTGTCAGGTATGACACAGTTTAGCGAATGCGAGACGGGCCTTCTGTATTTGAGCTGGAGTTTCGTCAGCAACCAATCCTTTTAGGCTGTTGCAACTGCTCAATGTAATTGAAATGGTCGAGACATTCCACCACTTCACACTCTATCTTAAAAACTGGGAGTACTTACATCAGACCATTCCTGGGCCATCATATATTTGACGAGTGACAGCGAAACACATGCCATACATACTCAGATTTCCGCTCAGTGTGTTGTTCAGAAGACCCTGCATTTTTCAACGTCTACATCCAGCAAGGCAATCTCATCTACATACTCCAAGTCAGTCAGATGACTTCCAGAAGGAGATGAATCTCTGCGAAGTCAGACATACCTAAGGTCATGCCCATTGGTACGTCTATGACGAAGTTAAATATGAACGGTGACAGTCGACATCTCTTGCGAACACCACTAGTTGTGGTCATTTTGCATGAAAACTCTCATTAAGCCTGAATATGGCTGAACGAGTTCGAGTAGACGACTTTGATTAGGGTTATATGCTTTCTCGATACACCATTCACAGTCAGACACTGAGACAATAACTCTTGGTCAATAAAGTCAAAAGCTGCCTCTAGGTCAAGAAATATGGCAAGTATTGGCCACATAGTAGATATGTCTGTGTTCCAGAACTTATATGATGGTAAAAATATAATTGATGCATTCGCATCCAGGTCTGAAACCGACAATTTTTTCCGCGTTTGCTCTTCTCGAGCTCCAGTTACGCGTCTGATAACTTCTGAGAGTAGCCATACACGTATTATATTGACAAATTCGATGAACCAATTTTTGAAAGTGGTTCCAACTCTCCTTAGTATTCTGTTTAGTCATTAAGTTAACTGAATGTCAGAGTTTCTTTCTTTAATCGGTTAAGTGTGGCTTACTGAAAAATCTGAAACATCCCTCTGGTTTTAGTAAAGATGGATAGGGGCTAGGAGGGGAATCTAGGATGCGCATTCCGTCCTCGGTGGTGTAGTGGGTGACGCTCTAGCATTTCAAGAGATCGCTCCCGGGTTCGAGTGCCGGTGAGGACAACGTCACTCACTGGGGGGGGGGGGTGGTACATCCAGCTGACGAGTCCCAAATAAGATGAAATGCGCATCCTTGATTCCACTGCTAGCCACTATCCATCTTTACTATAACTAGAACACAGGTATTTCGAGGCATCCGCAAAGGACCCCGTATGCCGATAAAGACCGATCAATTAGGTCCAATTAACGACGGTATGATACAAGCAATAACAATAAAACTATTCCTTTGGTTTCATTGGTTCTAAGTATCTGATCCAAAGATACAGACACACACTCATGGTTCTCTGGATAATCGCACTTTAGTCAACATAATTTAGTACATCGAATCGAAATCGAAACGTATTCATCAACGACACTTACATCTGTTCAGTAGGCAATAGGTCACACCTATTGTTTAAAACTAATGATACCACCTGGACGCTCACACCTCTTTGGGTGGAGTGGGCTTTGAACTCACGACGCACTAGTTGAAAATCAACTTCCTAATCCAGTAAGCCACAGTTAAAAGTTTATTTCATACGTTCGCTTCATCCATTCCTAATTTTGAAAACTGTTGCAATGGGTTTTAGTTAGTGATTTTAATTGCTACTTTCGAACTACACAAGGTATAAATAAGTGTAAGTCATCTCTATTTCTGTCTTCCATAACCTGATAATAGGTTAGGCTCAGAGTAGCCAACTATTCAGTCTAATTTTCATTTGATTTTCGTGGCATTCTTCAGTTTCTGATTATCTATCTAATATCGAATTATTTATATATTTACAACTAAGAATAATGTTACTCACACCAGTAGCTCCGTAATTATGATATAGTCTAACAGAAATATTTATTGATAACGATAATCTGAACATTCTTTTCCAGTATGGGTAATCAAGTGGCCGCTACTATCAGTAATTGGTGCGCTTACCACTACCTTTTTGACTACCAATAACCATATTCAATTAGCAGGTAGTCGAATAATGATTCATGTTTAGTGTCTCAGCTGGTCTGCATTCTTCGCTCACTATGAAATTAATAGAGAAATTAGATAGGAATGTTTTCGGTTCACACTTTGTCGAAGATATGCTATCGTTCATTTGTACAGTAAGAAATACTCTTTTCAAAATCAGGTTCATAAAGTTATTTGAGCTGTTTTTTAATGAATATCTACTAGTTGAATATAATCAACAGGAATCCTAAAAAATAAGTTTCCTGCTTGTTGCAGGTCTCCATGGAACTGATTTTCTTTAACAAACTGGAATAACAGCAGAAATGAATGACAAGAATTAATATTTCTGAAGCAGCACCAGTTCCACCAAAATTACAGACCTGCATTGCTGACAAATGCCAATAAGGAATTCCGTCCAACTGCTTCCAACTATCTAGCATCAACCAAAGTATATCTTGTTGGTAAGTATCTCAGTTTGATGACTACAAGTCAAACTTGTTAGATATATTTCGATATGTACTTAGGATCGGATAACATAAAACCGGCTTCTCTTCAGTGACCAGTCAAAGCTGATTGTTCTCTGGAGAAGATCAGAGTCTTAAAGCGAAAATTCTAAAACAATCTACAAATATGCATGATATTTGTTAAATCTTAGCAATAATTTAGATGAGAATGATTCACTATATGGTATTTTTCACAAGCCTGTATTTCATTTTTGATTAATCACATTCAACCATTCATACTGCTATAACTTTACTAAAAAAAAACTGTACAACTCACCTGCACATTTACTTCGGCTCTGAATCCTTTCATCCAATAGGCTAGCAAAGGCATCCACCCTAATCTGAGAGCAGCTCGTTTATTTAGAGAAAAAAGGTGAATGATTTCTTCAAATAATTTTGGAGCACCATTTGAATTTACCAGTTTGTTTACAGGGCGTAAAAATAGGTTAGGGTTTGACGATTCTTTCTAAATTAGAGATGGATAATAATACTTCCTTAAAACTTTATACCTTCATCATTATCACAACATATCCTATATTCGAAATGGATGGATGAATTTGAAGTTCTTTAGTCAACATTTTTTTTGGCAGCATAACTGCCTAAGATATTAAAATACAGTAAGTAGTTTTGACCATGTCCGTAACATCCACATTTACACGTCACTTCACCGGCTCAGCAGTTATCCTCTCGTTCACCAAATTGTATAGAGAGGGTCAAACTTACTCTGTTATACTTCAAGATGAACAGTACAGGGCTACTGTCCAGTAATGCCCTAGAAGTATATTTTTCAAGGTAATGGGACTGTCAGTATGGATTATCCAGACAAGCCCGTCGACCAAGTAATGAGTGAAGATCTGTCTATACGTATATCGGCCTACATCAATTGAGGTCATTCAGATAGATGATGTAGAAGTCGGACAACAATATACGTGAATAAAAGTGTTGAATGTCGTGGAAAACTGATGAAAACTTAAGGTTTCTGAAAGCTAAACCGTTAAGTTATGTTGTGAAGCTGGTAACTGATGGTTTATGTTGGATTATAAATATGCAGTATAACGACAAAAGTGTTTGGAACTTTGACAGCTTCCGGCCGCAGAAATTGTCTGTCTTGGTGCGTAAGCAAAGTAAGCTGTGTAGATAATTACTGTTTCTATGATACTGAAACTTGAACACCTCATGTTCAGTGCCTATTCTCTATGTTTATCACCATTCGCGTAAGAGATTAGTTCTTATTCGAAAAAGTAAAACCATATGTATAAGTTCGAAAGTCGAAAAAAAGATGATCAGAACCCTTAAAGTTCATAGAGAAGAGAATCATGCTCACAGATGGTGCTTACCGATGAGTTGATCAGTGTAGAATAGTGATAATTCATTTCATCGATTCTGGCAACTAACTGAGATTTCTTTGACAACAGCATTCCTCTTAGCTTATTAAACCAGCCCTCTCTAGACTTCCATTGTTCACTTCTTTTCTGAAGATCCTTTTCAGCTGATCCAATTTCTTTTATAGCACTTTCTATTCCAAAATGCAGTGGACATGAAGTACAACTGTCTGACATTTGTTCACCCACTCTAATTGAATTGAGATCGTGCATCGTTAGATTAGGATCATAAACTAAGGCATCAATACGTACGGATAAGCAATCAATCCAAAATAATTCATCTTCTATTTCAGAATCCTTTAGAAATAAAGTTTACAAAGGCAAAATAAAGCTGGTCAGCTGTCTAAGGATTGAAAGATAAAATAATTGTTTCGACAACAGAACATAATGGCTTATTACATTGGGTGTTTTCAAAAAGAATGGCCTTTTGTATAGTTGTCGAACGTTTCCATATCGCATATGACAGTATGCTGTGTCCAGTATCTCGTAAAAATAGAAAGTTATAATTCATGAGGAGAAAAATGGTATGATAGGCTTATTTATTTACTATTAACTGAGACTATTTGTTACACTAAGAACATAGAGCAGTTTCCTCCTCCTCCTCTTCCTTTTCACCTAAGCTAGTCTCAATAGTATTGACAGTGGTGATGTCAATATTCTGTAAAGTGCATCCAATTTTATGGTCCTAGTTACGTAAGAAGTATAACGGACTTGTATTTCAGCGATAAATATGAAGGTAATTTTTCAGTCTTAAATATTCCCATCTGTGAGCACAGTTGTGGTGCCACTATGTCAGTAACGGAGATCTTAGGCGTAGAGTCATAGATAGGAAAGTTAGCTGATGCAGTTATGGATCTTCATCAACTTAGATGGCTAAGATATGTGTCACACATCCCTAGTCAAATACCCATCCGTTTGTGCAATGCTAGCTGAAGTCGGCTGAAATAAGTTTTGGGGCGGAAAATCTGAGACTTGGCACCGTTACATTAAGTCCCTGAACGCTGGTGTGAGCCATGTTGTGAGATGCAGACTAGCCGGTTGGGGTCCACATGACAATAGAAACCAATGTGTGAAAACTCTTAGTGATATGGCTTGGAATCGATTTCATTAGGGCAGATGTAACCACACCTAATCTTCATCTTAACAGCCAAAATGAATTTAGCTCTTCCTCATTCGTCGCACCTCACTTTTATTACTTTCTATTGATGTTGATTGAAGTTTTTTTCTCTACCCTTTATCTTATTACTTTGATACTTGCTGTGATAATATGAGGCGTGGCAAACTGAACAATGAAGAGCAAACACAACTTAAAAGTAGATTGGGAAAAGGTCTACGCAACGACCGCGAACAGTGGTGAGCAGCGAAGACTAAAGAGATGGGAAAGGCAGCGGCGATCGGTAACAGTAGATAGTTATTTAGACTTATTAAGGAAACTGGGGGGAAAAACGTCAACAACGGTTTGTGAGACCATAGCGGAGAATGTCGGATCTGCAATTTAATCGCAGGGGAGACGACTGGGACGATGGGCAGAACACTTCGAGGAACAGTTTAACTGACCTTCAGCCACCACATTGTCCACTGTCCAGTCGGATCATAAATAGAACATCCAGATAGCTCCCCCAACACTAGAAGAAGTTGAGAAAGTGGTAGGTAACCTGAAACGAGGAAGGGCAGGAGGACCAGACGGACTAACTCCAGAGGTATACAAGGATGGTGGTAGAGTGCTCTCAATCAGGTTAATGGAAGTGTTAACTAGTATATGGGAATCAAATACGATCCCCTCTGACTGGTCTAAATCACTGGTTAACCCAGTCTTCAAGAAAGGCGAAAAGTCCTCTTGTGATAACCACACAGGAATCAGCCTGACGAACAAAGTGTCTAAGATTCTGGGTTCTATAAGTCTCCGATGCCTGAGTGGAGCTCGGGAACAGCAAGTCCTAGAAAACCAGGCTTGGTTGAGTGTGTTGACCACTTCACTTACTTTGGAAGTAGGATCAGCCCTGGTGGCTCAGTGGCCGGCGGAATCTCTGTACGGATACAAAATGCTCGGTTGGCTTTCGCTAACTTACGCCACTTGTGGCGCCATCGTGATATCCAACTGTCTATTAAGGGTCACGTGTACTGCACATGCACAGCAGTACACTCTGTTCTACTGTATGAATGTGAAACTTGGCCATAAAAGGTAAAAGACATGAGAAGGCTGGCTTCAGGTGTTTGACCACCCTTGCCTTTGTAGTATAGGCCATATTCCGTGGCGTCACCAAGTGAGTAACGCAGAGGTCAGGTGTAGAGTTTTAGGGAGAAGAGGCAAGTCAGTTGACGAGGTTGTGAAGCTTCATCGACTGAGATGGCTGGTTGGTATATGTGTTACATATGCCTAGTCACTGATTGCCTCGTTACACGATGTTGGCCGAAGTAGGTTCAGACTGTAGAAAGATTCGAGGCTGCCAGATCAAAACATGGCATCAATGTATGAAGTCTTTGACTGTTGGTTTAAGCCATGTGGACCGATGTAGACTAGGTGGTTGGGGTCCACGGGACAAGAGAAACTAGTGGTTGGAGACTGACTCTAGACGATCATGTAGCTCAGAATCTATGTCAGTGGGGGCAGACGCTATACCGAATCTCACCATTTTCTCATTCTTCATTTCTCTCTTTTAGTACTTTATATTCCCTTTGACTGATTTTCTTTTCTTCATCTTCCATTTCACTGGCCTTTTACCTGATGTACTGATATGAGGTGTGGCAACTCGGACTGTTACGCAGTATTGCCAGGTAAAACTGATACTGATGATGATAGAATTTTTATTGAATAATAATACTTAATAGTAGGTATTGAAAAGTCTCAGTCTGTTTGAATTGGTTCGTGCTGAAGAACCTTATTAGCAGTACCATTATATTGGGAAAACTAAAGCTTACACCGGTGTTCTATGAACGATAAGCAATACAATACGTACATGATTTGCCTTACCAGATATATGCATTTCAATACTGTGTAGGAAAATTATGAACTTTGACGGTAGTTTCCATCATGAATTTGGGTGTTTAGAATTACCGATGAAGACTAACGTGTACTTACCATGCGTGTGTTTCATGTTAGTTTAGAACTATTCAATGGTTACTGCTCTCAGTCACTTTTACAGTCTCATTTATAATTTTCAAGTAATCTGATCGGGATTTGCCTACTGACTTTAAATATACCTCTATGTGTAGTTTTCTGATAGTGTGGATTACCATACATTGAACCACTAACCCTAATTTACACGAATACCTGAAATATTGAAATCAGGAAACCCAATTAAATAATCCTTTTTTGATGTATAACATCAGGTAAAGCTGAATAGAGGAATGTATTCACATTGCCTTCCTATGACATAGATAAAATGTGGAGTCAAGAATAATCTGCTCAACTTGTTAATAGTACTTGAATAGGATGATTTATATCTATGCCTCCAGACTGTGATATTTCAAAGATGTTGAAAATAAAAGCCAAATAGTGGGTAGCGCTAAATTTATGTACTTACTCAAACCAACTGTGAAAGTTCTTGTACTTACACCCTTGTTTTAATAGCGTCTCGTGTCAGTGCCACTCGACTAACTTCTGGTTCGAAATCCATTGGGTTGACACAAATGTATGCTGCTTTTGATTTATTTATTATCGCTTTACTCAGATTCCTTTACATATTTTTGCATACTCTTCCATTTATGTTGATTCCCTCGCTTTTACATTGAGTAGTATGACAACTTGAAAAAATATGCTTTTTTGTGCCTCTTTCTATCCAGTAGAACCTATTGGTTTCACTTCAAAAATCAAATCAGCTGCTTACACAATGCACCGCTCGTGGTGATGCAGTGATACGATAAGGTGAAACTACCCAGTTGGGAAATTTCACAAGTGGCTAGCCGGAATTCAGGTGATTCGAACAATATCGCTGTGTGACCTGAAACAATTTGAGTACACCATTGATAGAGCCAGCATCAAATGAGCAAGACTACCCCTCAGCGTCTGGATCATCTCTATATAGATATTCGATACTGTTGATCGGCGTGCGTGGTCTACGACTAAACATACCAGTCAGCAGCAAACTTTATGTTGGTTTACACGCATTTATCGTCGGTCCTAAAGTTTAGTGAGATAGGACTATAAATAGTGAAACGAGTTTCAAGAAAAATTTAAGACGAAGACTACTCCATACATTACTATCAACATTCGCGCGCAGAATTCAAACAAACAGATGAAGCCTTAGCGGTTATTTTACTATTAATGACCAACAGAAATCGACTCATACAGTAGTTATCATATACAGTGGGTAAAATTCTGGTAACAAAACGCTTAGAGTCTATGTTTTTCCCTTAGCCTTCATAATTAACATTATATCACATAATGGAGGCAATTTTGAACTTACAAATATTTTTGAAATCACTGATCTTGTAAGGTTATATTGACCTTCAGCAAGAGCTAATCTTGCTCTTGCAAGTAACCAGTATTTCATTTGATTGCTATCATGTTGACATAATTGTTCAGATATACGCAGAAATTTATTTGCATGTGAACACTGACCGATTCGAGCAAGTCTGTCGCCTAAATCAATCCAAATTTTGGCTAAATCTTTAATATGCGAACTATGTGGATTTACTTTCATGAGTGTATATGCACTAAAAAGAATTGAAAAACTTAAATTATCATCAATCATGCTAGTCCTTTGGATGGATTTTAATTGAAGGCCACAAAACGTTCATTCAATGATGGAGAGGAGCTTAAAATGACACATCTATTTTAAATTTATTGCTGTACTAAGAAGCGCAAAGTAGGCTTCGAGAAATGATACGCATAAATAATTGTGAGAATAGTGAAATATGACTATGAGCTACGAAAACTGGTTGTCCTGCTACAGTCTTTTATTCTTCATGTTTGGTAAAACACAAACCACAACTCAGGAAGGCACAAGAGAACTAAAATGTCAGTCACAGCCAGAGCAGTTCATAGGTTTCTCACTTCAGCACAGATCACTTAGGTTTGTGTATCTCTAAGCATTTATCACTCCTACGGAAGTCTTGGCAGTTCCATGCTGTGCAGTGCCAAAAAGCAAGAAGTCGACGTTCAGACTTTCTTGCAGACTGCTTCCAACTAACAGACATCGACTAAGGAGGACCGTCTTCATAATATTTTTATGATGAGTAATCTAAGGACAATAAGATGAAACCCATTTAAACTTCGTGACAACTTCAGATTTTATACATACTCAAAAGTTTGTACAGTAGTCAAGCGATCTTTTGGTAAATTGAATAACATGCAGGTGGTCATCATTGCGAACTAAGAATCCTAATAAGTTATGGAGCCGTGAAAAAGTTCTCATTCTTACTGGTAAATCTTCGAAGCTGCAAACAACTGACGCCCTCTGGGATCACAAATCAGAAATGTTCAGGTCTTGAAATGAAAACATTATTATTCAAATCCTGGGATAATAACCACTCCTTCGCATTTCTCCACACTTCCTGGTCACTGCTCCAATTTTTGTTTGTACATGATAAAACAGTTGATGACTGGGTGCAAAACTCACTTCTGTAAACTATTCCACTTACTCAGCGATCTCTTGTTCATTGGGTAATAAAGGATTTAATTTATTTTGATGGTATATTACTCCAGATGACAAACCCAAACAACAGGAGAGTTCCATTGACCTATTAGGTAATATTGAGAGAAACGAGAATATTAGCGACTATAACTTTTAAAGTAAGCATACATTCGATGAAGGGATTACTGATAATTATGTAAAATTCTTGGATAGGATACTAGTGATAACCTGAATTGACCAATGGCCACTTTATGTGATAAAACAAACTAGATGGGTTATTCTTGTAAATAAAACCCAAGTGTTTAACCGCAAACAGAAGACGCTGCATTACACAATGTTAAAAGTGACGCAACTACCAGACCTATGAAGTCTGAATCTATAGAATTCGGTAATAGTGTTACATACCCCCTAAGTTTGCATAACGTTTGCCTATAGCCTCAAAATAATTAAACACTGCCGTTTTCACGCCGTTACTAGCTTTTGTTTTCGCACTACGGTGAAGGCTGAAATCTCATTGGTTGTTAACCTTTTTAACCTAAATATGGATTAAGTCCCGTCAAGGTCATTTAGAAATGTATATATTCAGCATCGCTCACAACTATTTTGACGTTTGTTGAGACAGTAAAAGCTCTCCGTCGACGGTTCATCTTTTCGTTTTGTCTTCGCTCGTCAGTGGCATTGTTGTGGTGGTTGACTTTCTGATTGGCGTTCAGTGTTTATTGTTTGCATTTTAGTTTCGTATCGCTCGTAGACTGCTAGGTTGCACTACTGGTCATAGCAAATAGGTATTATATAGCAATTTGGTGCATCATACTCGTGAATATGGCTATTTAGCTAACTGACTACTGTTGGCCTTGCTAGTAAATATTCACAGACATACATACACGTAGACGTATCAGTATGCAGGCGACACCTAGCCCCAAATAACCATATGAGAAGTAAGTCTTCGTACTCTGTCCAAAGTGCATAAAATTCTCATTATCGTAGAGGAGTATACAAGTAATTATCCCTCGGTAATATGTAAGTAGTATAAAAGAAAAACATCACGCAAAAAGCTTCTGGTATGAAACTGCTGGAAATAACATAAATCTCATTGTGACTAGCTTACTTTAAATGAATTAATTTTCCGACACCGGAACAATTCGCAAACAAAGATAATTTATCGTATCTTGTCCAACTTCGCAAAATACAGTCTTGTAACACTAAGATCGGAAAACCAAGCTGAGCTGGACCCATCTCAGTAATTAAATCCAGTAAACGATCTAAGCACGCCATGGTTACAGTCTTCAGTGTGTTTTGAAACGATTATTTATTTTTTTGATTTCAGAAAGACGGTGAAAAGACGATAATTAGGAAAGTATAGAATAATAAGCATGTATATTATTCATCTAAAAAATTATTGTTTCCTCGCGGTGCTGACCAGTTAACACAAGGAAATAATAATTTACACCAGTTGACGGTTAAAGAAGGGACCTCCTTAGACTATCATCAAAGGAATGAAGTAAATCATGCAGAAGAAACATAGTCGTTTAAAAGGAGGTATTAATGATGGCTGACGGGTAGTATCCACTATGAAACCAGTGATACCCGGATTTTAGCCTTTTTATCACTAAAAAATATATGAAACTTCAAATAAATTCACGCTACATCTAAAATTCTATCTTACTTATTTGAAGTCTATGAGTAAGTAGCTTATCTTTTATTCTTGAAAGCTGGAACTCACTTCTTGAAATCTAGTGAGGACTAATAAATATGTGGGAATAGTCCAACGGCCTGAAGGACCTATGAGACATTCTGGACTTACCATTCACAAATACCCAACATCAGAGGAGTATATCCTATTACGGTTAGCATGAAGTTAAATGTATTTTTGTGTGGAAAAATGATTTGACAAAAAGGTCATAATTTACAGTTTTACACTGTAACAGTATAAACCTCATCAACAGTTGTTATGAACTCAAACAATAATATTTTGGATTTTTATTACATGTTTTGATAAATTCACACTTGCAGAAGGGATTAAATTATGACAAACAGCTAAGTTGTATGATTATTGCATTGGAAAATGGGTTGATTATCCATAAAAGGCGATTTAGGCCAACAGAAAAGCTTTTAATTTTGATAGTACTCGATTCGATGACATCCAAGTTACCATTTCGATAATATTTTTCTTTAACTACATGAACAACTTATAGCTAGAACTCAATTTCTGTTAACTTCGACCAGTATCACTGTACCTGAGGTCCCTAAAACTCTTTCAAAGAGTCCTACTGATTATAATCGTTGATACTTGTAAAACAATCAATTTAAAAGTCTTTAACTCTCCTATGTTTTGTGCAGCTAATATGCGGCTAGCAGGTATATTCCTCTTAGTCTCACTTTTTCCGAAGAAAAGTATTGTTTCTGTGTCTAAAAATACAGTGTCTGCCAGCGATCTGTTAAAATAACTAGCATTACACAGCAACTAAATTCTCAGCTCAGCAGAAATGTGTTACTGTCAGTGAACAACGAAAATAGAAGTTTTGATAGAATCATTCACAAGTGACAGACGACATATGTAGTTTAAAATAGTCATATATAGATAGAGGTGCTCCGTTAGCTAGCATCATTTGAAGCATAGCATAACCTAGTCATCATGTTTTGCGCAAGTTGGAAACTGATCAATAGTACTGACTAACAGACTGCTACTGAAGACTTCTACCGAGATGTCATTACCTTCCACCCATGCAGAAAATTAATTTGTTTATAATGAGTAATTATACGAATGATGCAAATTATCAACGCTTTATTTATTCCGTAGTGAAACTGTTAGAAAAATATGGGCTGCTCCCCTTCAAATGAGGACGACCTAAGAATCTTCATTCAACTGTAAACTATTACAAACATGTTACTGAGGTACATAGAAGTAAACTTAAGGCTATTACTCAACTCTAAATGTGTTATTTCGGTAACACAAAGTTATGTTTAATGGTAGCTAAGTATCATACACAGTGGTAAGAAAACCAGCCAACCATGTTTAACTACTTATCTATGCTGGTGTAGAATACTAACCAATTACATAAAGGTAATAATAAATACAGATATTTATATTTCACAACCTACAGGATAACGAATAGTCTTTGGATTTATTTGTTGCTTCACTAAATAAACATCTATAAATCCAGAATAGTCTTCATGCTCTAAGTTGGATGAATTAACATTGACTGATTTATTTATATAGTCTGTGTAATTTTTATGCCAAGCCTGTATAATATCATCTGAAACTTCATAAGTAGACCAGTCGGAAACAGTCTGAGGTAAAATCTTCTTATGAACTCGTTCAGACTGATAAAAATTCAAAAAAAAGAAGATATGTTAGTTACTGTAAATTGATGATGCGAATAAGGTGTATACGGAAATCATGAATATTATTTCGTCGTTAATAATATCCTGTTTTTGGAAACTTTATAGACTAGAACTGTTGTAGACTTTGAATTTATCTTATGTGCTATCGCTTGCTAACACATGCAGCTTAATTATTCAAAAGTGAATTGCTTTTCTCCTGGATATTTAGTTGAAATTCAGTAGATGTTACAGGGTCGAGAGGATATCGTCACATTTTCAACACTTCGTAAATAATTCATGATGGTGACTTGAAACTTCAACGTCTGTTGATCCAAAGTCAATTGGAATTAGGAACTTCATTTTAGTAATTACTTAGGACATTAATCCAACCTTGACTACCACTTATTTGCTATTGTCAGACGGTCTGAAGTGTGCAACATTTCTATCCTTGCAATGGTCATTCAATCTTCATTTGACATGACGGTACTATCAAGTCAAACAGTCAGATTATTGCCAAGGAATTAACAAAACGTATACACCTGTAGGTATATTTCATATGAACGAAGCAATTAATATCAACACTTTCTTTAGTTGCCCTAATCTCGACAAGAATTGTGCTCTTGGAATTACTTTAGTCATTCCTACATTACTACAGATTATTTCTTAGTAGTGAAATAAAATGGGTATAGGGTAGTCACTAACTCTATCGTATAATCACACTTGCTAGACTTTAGGCTGCTGACTCATAATCGTAGCCCAGATGTAATCAAACAAGTTCGAACAAGTTGCAACCGGTAAAACTTCAGTTCCAAACAACAAAAATAATGGTTGGACACTGTTGAGGAGTCTCAAACTGGGACTAAACAGCTGTCCAGTACTCAAAGGTGTAAATTGATTTTTCATTTAATGTCAGTCAATAAATCTCTAGAAATTCGCAACTGAACTAGGGTCATTGGTAGATTTTTAGCAGGTCAAATGAGTTATAATTCGTGAGGTGAGTCAAGTTGGAAGGGAGGCGGATACACACCACACTGTGAATTGATAGAAGTAGGAAAATGTGGACCATTCAGTTTCACCCCCCTGGTTGAATGATGTCACACTTTCCATGAGATCTGACGGTTACTGATGTGTATCACTAAAGAGTTTCAAACTAAGACAAATCGCCTTTGAATTAATAGAGGCATACAAACTAACGGTTGAAAAATAAACTACCGAATAAATTATAAGTGCACACAGCTTTTGATTAAGTGTCTAAATTATTGTTTAATACTTGTATTCTCCCGCTGCTATACTGAGTCGCATCGTTCCACCTCCACTGATACATAGACTTCTATGTGAATGCCTCGATACTGCCTGCTTACTGATTATATCAATTTCTTTTTAGTGGCTAGCAATGGAATCCAGGGCGCGCGTTTCATCCTATTTGGGACTCGTCATCTGGATGTACCTGTACACCACATAGACTCGAAACTCAGTACCCCTCACTTCAAACGCCAAATAGGATGAAATGCACATCCTAGATTCCATCGCTACCCACCAAGCAGCACTCAGTATAATCAGTAATCAGGCAGTAGTGAAGCATCCGCATAGGTGTCAATAAATAACAGCTAAAATCTGTTGCACAGGAGGTGGGACTCGTGCCCAGTGGTCTAGTGGACAACGTTTTGGAGTCTGAAGCGATGGGTACCGGGTTCGAGACCTGGTCAGACCAACACCCACTGAGCTGCAAGTAAACCCAGAAAATAAGTCCCTAATAGGGCAAGAAGCAAGCCGTGGATTCTACTGCTTCAACCATCTTGCATAGCTTTTCATCCTAGCTTGGAAGTTTTCCATATGAGTAGTTGCCATCACTTAACTCCATAGTCAGCTAATATGTCGTATATACTGATAAACGTTTACTAGGTTCTATCCCACTGATCACTCAGGTCTTGGAAGTAAAAGGCTGCAAGACGATAGAAGACGTATCGCAAAGTTCAACTGTGTGCAATATACTGTGCTATTCTATATTTATACTTAGCCTTGGCATTTTCAAAGTATTCTCGAAGTTTGTTTTCATTGATTTTTGTAATCAGATCAGATCATTTGTGAAACGCATGGGCACATCATTTCAAAGTGCTTCCTGAATGATCTTACTGCTTCTGAATGTTTTCATGGACTTCCAGATTCTTTGGGGGTCTAATAATTAGATACAATCCATTTCAATATGAATATAGAAAACATAAACTTCGGCAATGCTTCGACGAGCAACCAACTGGTCGCCGATAAGCCAACATATCCGCGTTCTTGCTAACCAACGGTTACTCATTCTAATCGCTTCAAACCAAGTATAAAGTTAGATAAATCACTAGTTTTCTTACTTTTTTATTGAAATTAAAGAATCATAATAGTAGACCTAGGTATGGAATTCAACAGGTATCAAACAGTTGCCTGGTAGTGCAAATTTACTACGGTACTAATACTTGCTAAGACTTTAGAAAGTCTGATTTTATAGCTTGTAGTTTCTCGCCGTTGACGGGATCGGTTTGGCAGACTGCTGATAATGACATGTGGGCTTCTGTCTGGTTGCCTCGGTATTACCGGTGATTTCGTTTTTCTAATGGTGATGCTTAGTAACTAGCACTAGAACTTAGGATTTGCATTCCTTTCTATTTGACTATCGTCAGCTGGATGTACCAACCTTCCAGTAAGCGATGTCCCTCTCACTAAAACTCAAACCCAGGTAGAAAGATTACATGATTTCATCATTCAATGCCGGAGTTGCATAACAAGGCTGATGCAAATTTACAGTATTCATCAGTCAGTCTGATAGTATTTCGATAGAGATAGATTCAGTGACGGCGTGGCATATTTCTATGATTCTGGTTATAGTCAGTTGACAAATTAGGTCATAATGTTTTTCTCCGTATCAGTTCAAAAGAATAATATTTTGAAATACAAAGTAGTTTTGTTAACGTAGTCAAGAGCTTTAGAACCTTAATTATGACAGATTATTAATATTCATTCCCTTTAACGGAATGCATGTAGCACGCATTCAAAGTATCCACTGGTTTTTAGTTAGTTGGGTGTTGTACGAGTGAACTATCTCACCTCAATTAATCTTTTGTCATACATCAACTAATTAAGATCTTTGATTGAATGAAGTTTCACTTACGCCTTGTTTTCCACGGTAGCCTTCATTACCAACTGGTGCATTTGACTTTGATCTAGATTTGACTGAAGTGGATCGAGGACTCCTTGGTGATTTTGGTTCTACACGTGGACTTTGAACAACTGATGCCACAGAAAGCTGTTTTATTAAAAATGAGTAAAACATACTATTGAATTATTTCAGCCGTTCAAAGTATTCTTATTGCTGTTGGGTTGAATAATTTGGTATTATAGAATAATAATAATCGAATTGGTAAGAAAATCAAGAAGTTAACCCCATTTAGATTATTAGTCTTCACAGTGTCGATTAGAAAAAGGTATTACAGGTACTTTAGCTGTGTGTTAATAATTTTTCCTGAGTCTGAAACAGTAAACACTAAGATATTCTCAATGATTAAAAAGTCAGTAATTTGCTTCGGGCTCTTTTGAATAGTTTTACCTGTTTTCATGTTTCTCAGAATCAAAGAATTAATGAACAAGGTATTTAGTAGAAATCAACAACGGATGCTGTCGTTCAAAATGGTACAGAGTTATGAAGATTTTGACCCATAAATTTGCTGATTATTGTAAGCCCCTTTTGAATTTATTAAGTTTAAACTCGTCCATGTAAGTTTTAAGATGACTTTTTGACTGTTGTTCCATCAATTCTAAGTAGAAAATATATTCCACATGGGATTGTGGGTATGTATTAATGGTATCCCAAAACCAGCTGCTCAGAGTTTCCAATTTTTCATTTGCTCTTCGGCTTAATTTGACTTTTGATGAAATCTCCTCCAAGGCATATCTCAAAGAGTCTTACGCTATTTATAAGAAGTTTATTAGTTTAAGCAAACATATACCTTTTGTTTTTATCAATTACACTTTATAAGAACAATTGTGTTCACATTTGAATGTCTTTATTGATTAAGTTATGACTACAAAATTTCTGACTGATATAACTTCTCAGAAATATGCATAGATATTTGAAAATATCTCCCTCTTAAGTGAAAATGACCAATGGACCATGCAAGGCTATTGGGATGATATGGATATGGTGGAAAGTTAACCGATTGTTCTTTAATTTGTAAGGGCACAGAAAGTAGCAACTTTGTGTAAATGGAAAAGAGGGATTTAAAAGCAACTCTCATTATGGATGGATATCATTTTACAACTACGGGAAACCTGTGAAGACTGAACACTTTTTCAATTCCAGCTAGAGACTCATCATCAGTGTGGAACCATGCCGCCGTAAGGGATCAATCACATGACTATCTCGAAAACTATACTATTCAGCCAGTAGAATATAATCCTATGGTTCATGCTTTATAACTTTTGTCACTTAGCCCTATAGTGTAACCAATAACTAACAAAATTGGTGAACATCTAGTCTAATGCAGATTGACAAAAATTTAAAAACGTGACTGATTTGAATGTAACTCAGTGACTGGATAGTAATATGTTCACCGTAAGACCTGACAGTCTTGCCGTCTGTTTTCCAAGGGTCAGAGGATGCACTGTAGACAAGTTCTGAACCGGTAAAGAGTACACAATTTTTCAGTGGTCTGGTATCTTATTTCAGTTCATAGTGAAAACTACACTGGTAATCGATCCCAGGTGGTTTACGTGGTTTGACTGATCAAATAGTTTTGAGCTGAGATAATTCGTTGAGATAGAAGTGTTAGCCATACACTGTACGGACAAGAAACTTGTTTCGAGAAGCGAATTCAATACGATTGATCTAAAGAATCGGTTTCTAAAATGTGGACCAACCCACTTTTCTTTTAACTTGATCCTGTCGACTACTCAGGTAGTGAAAAGCGTTTCCTATTGAAACCTAATCAGGCAATCACCGCAGCCAGTATTCTTTCCAAACTTTTGTGTAAAAATTCTGTACTGCAAGCCTTTTAAATGGTCCTTTAATATTAGAAGCTAGTTTTTCAATGAGTCAAAGATAAAATGATGGATCAACTATAATCAGTGTGGTTAAACGTTTCTTTGCTGCTGAAAAGTCACACAAATCGATTTGACTGTGTACTCGCTCATTAAATATGTCCATTAATGCCACCCAGCCTAATTAATGAATACAGAAAACAAGCCTATCTTGAGTTCAATTTTTAAACTCATGACAATCGACTTACCTAGGAACGTTAAAAATGATCTATGAAATTGAACTAAATTACCCAAAAGTGAAGTGGAGACACCTGTATACGACAAAAGAACTGATAATTCTCTCATTACTGTAACCACTTTATCAGGCTTATGATGATCAACTTTAAATTATACTTACGTCCTCTAGGTTTAGCAAAACAAATTCGATCTTATCAGAATAGATATTTAGAATCACCACTATAGAAATAATTGCGACATACTGCATTAACATCAGTGTCTAGCTTGGCAAGAATATGTCTACCGAATATAGGTGAAGTTTTGAGAACCCCTTCACTAGACCTAGCCGAACTAGACATAAAGAGGTGATTGCTAATCAGAAGTCAAGCAACTAAAATTGGGTAAAGTATTTTTATGAACGCTCTCATCTCATTCACTTAAACAATTTTCAATTGAGACTAGGTAGTGACTGAAGGTGAAATGAAAATCTGTGCCACGGTGGGTTACAAATCAGCGATTACCAACTTTCCTGCCCCATGCACTACCAACTGAGGTACAAGACCCAAACCGGGAAGCTGGTAGTCACTGGTTCGTATCTCGCCACGGCCCAATTTTTCATTTCACCTTCAGTTATACAGTATCAAAATTAGCCTACCAAACGATGGCTATTTCAGTCAACATGACAATCAGTGTTAAATTGTACATTTTAAAAATTATATCATATTCAATTTCAGGTGGCTAGTTCACTTACTACTGCAATCAGCATAAAGAACAAGATCAGGATTTTCATCATTAATTTCAAGTCAGTGTTTCTCTGTAATGGTTCAGAGACTTGGTGCGTCACGAAAAGCACTTCCAAAGAACTACAGACATTCATCAACAACTGCTTACGCTTGCTACTCAAAATCAGATGGCCAGAAAGAGTAAGTAACAAGGAACTCTGAGAAGGAACAAACCAAGAGCCTATCGCCTAACAAATATGCAGGAGGAAGTGGAGATGGATTGGGTAACCACTGAGAAGACCTATTGGGGGCATCAGGTGCCAGGCCAGGCCATCGAGTGGGGAAACGATGAGTTGGGTGTCCGAGGCGATGGTCACATGGCGAAGGTCATGTAAGGAAGAAATGAAAGCTTATGTGCAGTCATGGTGCCAGGTTCAAAAGACTGCAGAGAACAGAGTGGAATGGAGACGTGCTACTGAAGCCCTATATTCCACTAGGAACCCAAAGGACAAATAATAATATAATAATAGTTTACTTACGTTTAAAATACTTTCAACGCAGTTTACAGCAATGATTAAGTAATCTAAAGGATTGAAGTTATACTCCTTCTTGACATTTGGATTTATCGCTTCTCCGAACTCAGCTAATAAAATGCATATCCTCATCAGAATATCTAGATACTCCACATATTTTGCATTGCATATAAGCTGATCTGTGAACAAGGATGAAAGTATGTAGGATGAATTAGATATTGGTTACTTGGTGAAATTAATATTTCACCGGTCAGAACAACTTGCATTTATCACTTTTTACCATGCTTTTTGCTCTAATTTAGAATTCTATTTCAGCTGGATTTACAAGGATTGATGTACATTCTACTGATAAAAATACTAGTCATCACCAACGAAGTAATTGTTATATGCCAATAATTTTAATGAATCATATTCTCACTATTTTTTACTTTCAATTCTACTGAGTTACGTGCAATGGACTGACAGGAAGTTAATATGTTCACTTACTTTCTAAATTAATTTTGTATACTGAAAGTAGATGGAAACGAGTATCATCAATTATTCAAGTTGGCATTCATCTTAAACTGACATCAGTTGAAGGAATATTGGAAACTTGAGAGAACCGTACAGCTGTTTCGTCCTAGCATGGGACCCCTCAGCAGCATGCACACGTGACCCCACCCCATCGGGGACAAAACCTTTGACCTTCAGGTTCAGTGGCCAACACGTTAACATTGAGCCGCTAGGTAGGAATCCAATGGTTTATACTTCCAACTTCTGTCAGTTCACGACAAAGTGCGACCATCACCAAATGTCATTGTTGAGTATTTATCCTCATGGCCACCAGGTTTGCCCCACAGTTCATTAATTATATGTTTTATTTTCAGAAAATGATGGTTAGAAGTTGTTGGTATTTACCACTGAAGTGACAGGTAACTGTCACAATTAAATGGGAGCGAAAATGATGTGGCTAAATGAAAAACGTTTAATATATTTATTGCAGTCTACAAAGTATCATGTTTTTTTGACTTGTACGACTGAACTAGTCACCATCTGTTGGAATATAAGTTTGTTTTGCGGATGTGATCATAGTGAGTCTGATAAATTAACCATCGGAAAGACCCTGACGTCATCAACAATGAATGCCCCTTGAATAAGAGGTATCTGCAATAACTTAGTAGTTTATTTTAAAAAAATAGTTTCTCATTTGAATGAATGGATCCTAGATTCAAGTTTCATTCGAAACATCAATATTCACTGAGAAGTAGATAAATTCATAACCGAGTCCCAAATAAAACGAATTGTATGGCTTGAAAAGTCAAAGCCATTCCTTACTAGATAAGATGTCTGAAAATCAGAAGTCACTCTCTTCAGATAATCAATTAAAAATGGTTACAGACTGCAACTTTTAACTTTAGTCATTTTAAAACCCAAGTTTATTGATAAGAACTAAAAACAGACAAAAGATGCATGATTAGGGGAATTTGTAGAGCATACATATTGGTAAAAACGATGCAGAGATCAAAACGGAGAGAAAATTATGCCTATTTTCAAATGGTGTTTGCCTGTTACCTGTGAATGGGATGAACCTTTTTGTCATAGATTTTAAATAGGTTTAGGAATACCAATGAATTGATCGAATTAATGTAAATCAACTACAGTATCACTGCAACTTTAAACCGTCCCTGTTATTGCTATGCAGAAGCGAACAAAATGGGACTGTTACAATATAGTAGCCTAGATCTGGTTTCTGAAGTGACGTCTGCTGAGGTTTGAATTTCTGTGGGATAACAACACGTAGATAGGTAGATCTAATCGGACAAAACGTACATACCAGATTCCATTATTGCTCACGGGCAGATACATATTCAAAAGAGAATACTAACCCAAGTCTTCTAAGACATCTCTTTAACAGTTTTCAACATTCAACAGGCAGAAGTCTTCATTGGCAAACAGTGAACTACTAGTGATTTAATCATCACCCTAGCAATAATTTTGATTGTTCGTTTGTTTCGTGGTTACTTGTCAAGTTCGATAGCTCCCTGCACGCAAGAGTTTGCAAATTCGAGAAATTCCACGAATGCTTTTAGCACGAACCAGTGAAGTGATTTTAAAATTTCACCACTTTACTTGCAATAAGTAACCTTATAAAGTACTATGATCGGTGACTTAGGGGACTTCATCGGACAGACAGTCAAATGAGAAATGTTCTGGTAGAAAGATTTATGAGTAGTCTTAGGCACGTATTTCAGTGCTGTCATTACGTCAGTAAATTCTAATTAATCCATTGGGAATGTATATTGATCGATTTTCGCGCATTTGTAGTTATCACGCGATAAACATGCAGGTCATAGAAATATTAAAGCCTTACTAATGTATCTTGAGGGTGCTTTCAAGTCATGTATAACAACCAATAAAAACCTAAGGTCCTTGTAATAGAAAGGCCAGGGGACAAAGTTACTCGCGACTGTTGAAGGTCACTGGTGTTAATCTCAAAGCATCAAAATATATCTTCTAGGGGATTTTCTCAGTTAAAAAGTCTAAAGCATAACAAAGCGGGTAGCTATTCATCATTGTAAATCGCTTCTTAAGAATCACTTTCCATCTTATATGGGTTTGGCACGTTTTCACAAACATCTGACCAAGAACAACAGCTTCCGCATGGATTCATTTTTATCTCATGGTTTCTCATCAGCTGCTTACTACCAAAAACAGCTTTAACATCAATTTATACAGTGTTTACATAAGCGAATCAGTTTGATGGAAATTCGTCGACTTCAATCGAAGATTTCATGAAACGTCGCATTTTGACATTTTCGATCATGGATTGGTTTGCATACAGCTCTACTGTTTATTTTGTTAAAACATTTCTCTTAAAAGGGTTTTGATAGTGATAAACTCAGAAACACCTCACGATTCAAGGTTTGCTACTTAATTAATCACCACTGTTATTTATTAAAACAGTATTGTAACTCTGACGAATACAGTTTTGAATTGTTCATATCACTCAAGCTTTTGGTCATTCAACTAAGGATCATAGTCTTGCACAATTGCGGTAAATGTATTACGATTGAGTCACTGGACAAGAATTCAGCCTACCTAATTTCTCAAATTCAATCAAATGAAGAATATGGAGTAAGTAGTCTCTAGCATGTTTACTCTAAGCTATAATTACCTTTAGTTTCATTCACACTATCGAGAATCCAAGTATGTACATTCACAAGTCACCAATTTAGCCTGGTTTCCATTTGTTGTTTACGTGACACTGTTTCATACCGAAAACCTTTTCAAATTATTCAGTTCTGAAACCTTGGGTTTTTATGACCTAAAACTAAAGAAAACTAGCCACAACTATAAAAAGATAGCATCTATTTAGTAATACACATGTCTTACCATACTTCAGTTCTTTGCACTGACTTGGATAATTTTGTTTCACATAAGCATCCTTCAATAAGTCCATAGCTTCTTCAACTAGACTTATACACAGAGGTACTTCAAATCCATGCGCAAACAGCCACTGGGCCAATTCCAATAGTAAGTCTGACTTCAGCGCCCACTGAGCAGAATTCTTTGAATAAAACAATTCATGGATAAAGCTAATTAACAATTCTTATTTCATTAAACTGAGGGTAATTGAAGTTAGAAATTCAGTGCCTCCAAAGACACGTATTGTCATGATTAAGATATCTTCTGAAACAAAGTTTCAGTTAGGTGCAGTTATCTAGAAACACTTGCTGTCCTTTTCTTCTTTTCAATTTATGTAGAGAACTCACTCTAAAACTATTTCCATCCTACATTTATAGCATTTATAGTTATATCCAGAACACGGGAGAATTATGCAACAAGTAATGAACTTAAGGCACTTCATTTACCAACAAAAATGTCCGTCGCATAATTTATTGAGTGTAGGAAGTTTTGAATAACGAATGCGTTTGTTGGAAGTGATTAGATATTCAAGCGTTTTGAGAGATTTACCTATTTGGTAGCGATTTCACTGGGACAGGAAAAGTGTACAAATATTCCATTCACATATAGTAATAGGTCAAACTAAGAAATGTTTAACAACACAAGCTCAAAGCAATTGCAGGCGACTGAAGTTATCTTGTCCTATGCAGTATATCAATATAGTATCCAGCAGTAGTTTTTTTGAAGAATAATCACAAATCTTCTTACGTGAACCTGTAACTTATTAAATAAACCCAGTGGAAAATTAAATCAACTGTTCAAAGACTATATTGGAAGGTGAATGAAAGTGAGAAATGTGAACTAATAAATTCTGACAATCACTAAATAGTTATGAGTTTGCTCGAAAACCGGAATTTCTACTTCAAGATAGACAGACAGAATCAGTATAGAACCTCGCACCCACTTGCGTCACCTGAATTTGTCACACTTCAGAGTAGTATAGAAAGATAGGTGGATAGAATAAAGGTGATATCAAAGCGGAAAAAGTTGTGTGAGAGAACAAACAGTTTGAAGATGGAGATTAATGCAAATATTTAACCTTAGAAGACGTCAAACAGTGAATGCATCTGGGTCATTGTGACCAGTTTTAAATAAGTCACCAACAGTCCTCAATCACTGATTCCTTTCGTCTCGTGGATCCCAGTCAGAAAGTCTACATCGCCCTATACGGCTCAGGCCAACAACAAGAGACTTCATCGACTCGTACCACGTCTTCGTCTGGCCACCCTGAACACTTTTACAAGCTAATCCAACTTCCCCTGTCATGGCAACGCGTGTGAAAGCGATTTCAGACAATGAAGATTCATAATATCAGTTGACTTGCATGTCTTAACTAGTATCTTTCGTCCGACCTAAACGCTGCTCACACGATGATTCCACTAAACGCGAGAAGGCTATGAAGGCATTTGTGATCAAAGACCTGAAATTGCCTCATGTCTTCTACCTTTAACGGCCATGTCTCACAGTCGTATAACATGACAGAACGAATTGCAGCGCAGTATACTCGTACTCGGATAGATAGTCGGATATCTCGCCAGTCAATGCCATAGATGACGCAAGTCGGTAAATGCTAAGCAAACCGTCTGTATCCGAGCTGAGATTTCGTCACTAACCAGCCGGTTTGGGCTCACGCAACTTCCCAAGTAAGTGAAGCGGTCGACACGTTCCACTACTTCACTCACTATCATTAAGCTGGGAGTCATTTCAGCCAGTCCCGGAGTATCATCTTACGTTTGACAAGTGAGAGATGTATGCTAGCCAAACATATTCAGATTTCTGCTCAATGTGTTCAGAAGATCCCACATTTCTTCAGTATCTTTATCTAACAGTGTCGTCTGCGTACTCCATGTCAACAGCAGCAAAGTTGACAGATTCCCATAGAATTCTTCTTTTGTATCACGCGAGCTACAGTCGGTAGATGCATAGGCGGAGAATACCAATTGCCAACGCCTAGTCTCACAATCCTTCCTAATTCTTACACATCATTCAGTAAAACAGCACACAAACGGCTGTTGCCTGGTCACCAGTCATGAAGTTCACTTTGTGCTTTACAGCCCAATGCTATGCCTACACCAGTGAGTGCATGAGAGCCAGTCATTTGTTCTCTAGATACCTTCAAAGTGAATTTCAAAGAATTACTACAACCACCAGGTAAAGTCAACTTAATAACCGCACTCAGGTCGTGTATACGTGTCTCAGATACACATCACACATTCACAGCTACAGATTCCAGAGTTCTGGCGAGCGATGCTTGCTGTTGGACTTGGCATAGAGTTCGGACGTTGAAAGATCCGAATCGAAATCCATGGTGAGGTCCCAGGAGACTTGAATTGAGGCTTTCATGGCATTGATCGATGGCTATAGTCGCAGAATGAGAGGTTAAGGAATGTGTAAGAAGCTCAATATTAGTATCAGGAGGTGAAGGCAAAGAAGACAGAGTTGAGGGGGATAGGCTATGTTTGATTGGGTCTTAAGTAATACTGCGAGCGTGTGGGCGGTTGGGACTTCCCGGCTGACTAAACCGTGAGTGTCTAGTCCTTATCTGGAAAAGAAGGCTTTGTGAGTGACCACAGAGTGCATAAAACATCCTCATAAGGCTTATCACACACGGCATTTTGATACTTGTGAGATTTTGTTTTTTGTTTTTGAATCCGACAATGAATCCAAGTTGCAGGCATCGGAACTCTGCAAAGAGTAAGAGTGTGCTGTTTTCGGGGACCGACCTCATCAGTTATCCACTTTCCTTCAAGGAAGGCAGCATCTGAATGGCAACGCTGGTCATCCAAGAGAAACATCTTACCGCTGTCACACTCCAAACAGCCAGGAGCAGTACGACTTCGCCCTCAGACCCCCATCATAGTGTAGTGACTTACACTAAGATGGCAACTGCTTTTCGTCTTGTCACTGTCCAACAGACTTTTCCTTTGACATTGTAGGACTTTGAAACAACTAGCATTTTACAGATATATTGCATTAGGTCACTGTAATTTACAAACGTGACCACCACGTGAAGGCGAGAACTATTGGTCGGCTAATGGTGCAGAAAAACCTTTGCATTTAGAATGAAACATTTATCACGAGCTCCATCATCTCTGATGGTGTTTCAGTTACTGTCTGTTCAGTTTGCGAATTACTAGGTGATGCAGAAACTGCGTAACTTAGTGTTAATCCATTTCCCACAAACCCCCTTCCTCTTAGTCTTGTGCATTAAAAAAAATTTCAAGTTTGACTAATAAACATTCTATGAGGTTTTTTATTGGCTCTATGGTGTTATCTTTTATGCCCCATGAACTTCAAAAGAATCTAGCTCCTTACCAAGAAAGGAGAGATATCAGACTAGTTATTGAAAATACACCTGGATATAATGAAATTATAGAAAATGACAGAGGTCAATCAATTCAACCTAGACCTATCATTTAACATCAATTATCCAACACAGCATTTATTATGGCATTATTTTCTCGCTTAGCTCTAACCTTTCTTTTGCTAACTCACTTTAGATCATAGATTTCAATCTTTTATGCAATAAGTCTCAAAGAAAACTAGAGAAACCAAAGCATTACTCATCACAGAGTGACATCAGTTGGAGAAGGATTGATATATTGGGAGTACTGAACAGCTATTTTGCCGTAGTTTGGAGCGATTCAGCAGTGCTCATCCACAACCCCATGGTTGATCGGTTTTATAACACTCCGTTCACACTATATGGCGAATGGACATGAGCAGAAAGAATGTAGATGTATTGGATTTCAAATTAGTGTTTGAATGGCCACGTGTTTGCCATGAGACCCACCGGTTCGACGCTCTACATCTCACGAGATCGTGAGTGTGCGGTGCTCAAGAATCCCACGAAACCGTTTTCCAGTGCTTTTGGGTTTCCAGTAGTTCTCCAACTGATGTCAGTTTGAGATAAATACTACCATCAAGTCAATCAACCCCACAAACAATGAACTAATCCAACAAAACGTGAGTATTTAGCCTACAATATAAACCTAATTTGCTAATTCTCATAACTTTACATTCAAATTCCATTTATTGAAACAAAATAACTTTAAAATTTTAAATCATGAGTGATCTCAAGGAAAATAAAAAGATAGGAAATCAATGTTAGGATTGCTTTGAATTAACTTGTATGACATGGTTCACATAAGTATGAACAATGACTAGTTTTATTCATAAGTAGGTTTTAAAGGTCATGTAGTCAATAGTATATAGTATTTCTTAAAAATAGTCTACTGAACAACAGCTTCAGTTACCAAATTATTTCTTACCTTTATAGCATCAATTGATTGCTTAAATGCAGTCACTTGAACATGGACATTTGAACTAGCGTAAGCGATTTCTCTCCATATTTGTGACTGTAAAGGCTCGGATTCAGACTGAGTTAAATGCATAGAGAAAGCAACATATCGAAGTTGAGAACCCCTAACTAGACTGGTCATAAAAACAATTATAGTAAACTAATTTACTTCCAAAGTATAGGTCTCTGAGACGAAGTTGAATGGAAGCACTTTCGACGAAGAAAATGGTATGTTTCAGTAGATTACGGCAGAAACCCTTCTTTATTCATGAAGGACGCTAATACACTTGTATGAAACTAGTTTATCAAAGAAATCCATTTTAATTGCTTTATAATGTAATCTGTTTGGGGTAGCTAACTACAGAATCGCGATTATGACTGTTGTCTTATTTGCATCTGCCTTGGGTGAACCTACTTGTATTCGTGTTGGTGTCCTCACTGACACTTGAATTCAGAAGCAGTCATGTACACTTGATTGGTCATGAATATACGCTTTATGAGATGGATTTCACTTTTTATTGAGACTCTGCAGTTTACCAACCTTCCACTCACTAAATGCAGCTGACCCAATAATGTATCTTGAAGAAACCGAAAACTGTTTCCTGAATTTCAGTCTTGATCAGGGCTGAATGAATATATCGGAATGTGACTCATTACAATATTAAGACAGTTGTACAACGTATAATACATTACGGACAGCATGGTCGCACTCTTCATATCCGCCTATGTGAATGTCAACTACCAGTGAAGCACCATGACATCTCTTCGCGTATTTCGATGCATACAGACAACTGTGGACATGAATTCGATTTAGTAAACGTGAAAATCCTGGATAGATGACATGCAAAGAATGCCAGAGAATTTTTAGAAGCTCGGTATTCAGATCAGTCAGGAATCAACAAACCTACTGACATTGACCCAATCTATCATCCAGTACGAAACAAGAAGGTCATCAGAACAACCAATCAGAATAAGTACGGAGACATTGAGAGGTCTTTAGCGGAAACGACCAATCACACATAAAACCATCAGGAAAAGCTACTTAGGCCAGTTGTGGAGAAAACCTTTTGGCTCACTTCTTTCTGAAGTCTGTGCTGATGACGTTGTTTAGAATGATGATGAAAGGTCCACGATTAAACCGTGCAGTTCAGAGAACCCAATACCATCGGAACTGTCTATTATGACCCAGTAAACAGAAAAAAGGAGAATTAGAAAGTTAAATTAACTTCTCAATGTCATTCATAAAATTATTTACTGATAGTCAATTTGTAAACTATAGTTTATCCACAGAAAAATTATTTAGCATTTAGCTAAAGTGTGATGATGAAAGTTCTAGTCTTCAGTGACAGGCATTACTGAAGAAGATCCAGTTAAAGGCGATACACAAAGACTTATGCAAGAAATTAGTGTATGAACCAAGGTTGATAAATGTTGTCACATAAATAAGACAATCGTAAGATATGTACTTTATTGACAACTAGGATCGACCTAGAAAGTGAAATTGTCGTAGACTCGGTGAATACATGGCATAAGTTTTCAATCGGTGGGAACGGCGTTTGATTCCCATTGGGAACACAACAAGAATATAAGTACATTTGACTGATAAGTACCATCTGTAATGAAATATGAAGCTTTTTACCTGAATTGTAACTTTTGTATTCCACTCCACAATGTTTATAAGAGTGTGGAGATGTCTTCCATTTAATTTTTGTCCAGATTTCAAAATAATTTTTTGATTATGAGATATAAAGATAAAATTAACCACCCAGCTATATTGCGCACATTCGTGCAGTAGTCAGTAAACACGTATTTACATCCTATTTTGTGTCAAGGTTCTTTCAAATCAAGATTCAAGCACCAGTGCTATCCACCATCCCAGTTGTCTCTTTTTCGCTTACCAGCATCTGTTCGGGTCAATTGATATCTTTGTTTATTCATTTGTGGGAAGGGATTAAATGATTTGAGCTGAAATATAATGAGTACTTCACATGGATACCTTAATGGTTCCCTCAGTTTTTGAAAAAAAATAGTACTTCGATTATACTACTTATTGGGAATAGCAGAAGAACCTAGGTAGTGATTATTTTGAGTTGCTGGGTAGTGACCATATATAAATGGAGTCAAAAACATTATTTAAGCAAAATGTTGGCTTCTAGATATTACTGTTATCTGTAACACTAGTGACAGTATACAAGTGGTTTCGACTTGAGGAATTCGTTCCAAATAAACTGAAAGTGTCCTACTTAATAATTTATAAGCAAATTGTTGCAATGAACAGTGGTAAAATGCGCTTACAAAAATAAACTTACTGTGAACTTCTGCATATCTAAGTGCACTGACTGACCTAATTTAGCTTTTGTGATAACAAGTTGACGAAATAGTGACCTGGATGATAAAACGATAGACTCAATGAATGATGACATAAAAATAAATAACTCAAACATTGATAAAAATGGACACCTATTGAAGTTTAGAAATTGTTGCAGAAATCAGTGTTGAAACCCATGTTCCAAAGAAATGCGTTTATATCACACAGAGGGTAATCTGATAAAGTAATTTTAAAATGAAGGCTAAGGTCTTCGACCAGTTAAACTTATTATTCAGCTAGACCTATCATGGTTGAGAAAAACAAACGCTGTATCCTTCTGAGAGGAAAATTAATTAGACTTCGCCTTTATTGAGTTGGACAAAAGCTATAGAAACTCAAATACTGCCCTTTCTAAGTAAGTTTTATTTACATTGGGTATTTTATTGAACCGTCTTTCCTACGGCTCAAGAGTATATCCAAGAACAAAAGACGGTTAGCTTTCTCCTCTTCACACGTTAAGCGTATATTGTCTTGTACAGTGTTAAGTCTTTTCAGCATTTTACGTCTTCATGCTTGCAACTTATCACAATTACGCCATTAATATACCTCTTATAAGGGACAACTTTACTAATAAGATCATCAGCCAAGATTTCAATATATGACACAAATACTAAATAACAATGCTCCACCATCATTACTCCCTGAAAAACACATTTGCTATATACCCCCTAATTTTGCATAGCTTTTGCCTGCTGTTTTGCCTATAATCTTGAAATAACCTATATAGCTGTTTTCACACTCTTACTAGTTTTTCTTCCTTCAAATCTGAACCCTTATTGGCTATTAACCATTTTTAGCTACATGTGGATTTAGTGTTTGTTAAAGTCATCTAGAAATGTATATATTCAGAATCGCTGTCAACTGTATTGACTGCTGTTGAGACAGTAAAAAGCTCTCCGTCAACGGTCTGTCTTTTCTTCTTATCTTCGCTCGTCGGTGGTATTGTTGTGGTGATGGTTGATGTTCTGATTTGTCTTAGATTCGATTCGTTTGTGCGTTAGGTTCGTTTCGTTTGTAGTCTGCTAGGCTAGTATCGCTCGTAGACTGTTAGGCCGTACCGCCAATAATAGCAACACTATTAATAAAGGTCACAGGATTGATGGTAAAAAAGCCCATACAATATTGTGTAGAAGCTGTCAAGGGCGCATGCTTAAGTTTGTTGAAGCGCTAAACATACACAACTACAAGCACACCTTACGTGTCCTTACGACCTACTGTGATAACATTACACCTTTTCCAATTACCAAGGTTGACTTCAAAACTTACTATTCTGTCTTCATTACTTTGCTTACTATTAAACTAGTTTATTGGGGTATTTGTTCTTTTCCATTTCTATTTTACATACGAAATACCTTAACGAGTAAATTCGTGATCAGATTGTCCAACATAAGTGACTCAAATGCTTCATATTTTTCAGAGTAATTACATCTAAATTTTTTGAGAACCACCTAACTTTCATCAATTATACTGAAATTTTAGAGAACACAAATAAAGGAGCTGATATGGTTGACAATGGTAAGATTATACATGTATTTGGTGCTAGGAGTCAGTCAGAGATAAATGTTGATTCTATATTTCATGTCTGTCAATGAACCTATGTTTTCCAGTTTAATGCACTTTCCTGGCGGAAAAATAAGAGAGATTACACCTTATGGTAAGATATCGTAAAAGGTTGACTGAATGTATGAAAAAAAGTTTTATTTCAGTTTAGAATGTATGATTAACGACCAAGTAATACATTAGTTGCATGATACATTTTCACTTTGTTGAACAACTCTTTAAAGTGAATTATCATGCTCAACTATAGTCCCAATATTAACTGCAGTTCAAAAACTAAAAAACTGTTCTCCTATTCAATGTCAAATAACCTTGACCACCCAGTTAACTGTATTCCAACTAAGTGAAAATAATACCAAATAATGTCGACTAGTACTAAGCTTTTTGTTTTAAAGTTAGCACTTGTTTTAATCTAGTTTTCACTGCAGAATAAAATCATTTCAGAACCTATTAAAACCATGAGGAACTTGACAGCTATGTTCCTTCTTGTTCGGAGAAAGCATACACAGCTTCTTATGGGCTACAGCTAAAACCTTTTAGTTTTGCGGAGATAGTATTCTTATTCAGCTATTGGATTCGTTAATTACAGCTCCTGTCAATCCCTAATATCATCGTATACTATCATTAATTGGCATCCTTCTTCTTTTCCAGTATTTTTGCTTCAAAAACTAAGTTCTCCTATCAGAAAGTATGAAGGTTCAACTAAAAGTCAGTCTGCAATAGACACTTGAATTATTTGTTTATGAGGTTCTAAACTCCATGAAGTGGTAAGACTTTGGTTCATAAAATTTTAAATTTCTGTCTCAGCAATAATCAACTCGCCACAACACCTGCAAGAATGACAACAAGTGTACATCAACTGAGTGAACTAGGAAATAATTACCGTAAGCTTTAATGCGTTCTGCACCCGGTCAGTTAGGAAGTTGTTTGAAAAATTAAAAGAAATTTGTGTCTTTAAATGATGGAAACAATTATGATCGTAGAAATCAAACTCGTCTATGCGGATTAATATAGTAAGCAAACACACTAGTACATTTTTAATGGCAATGAATGTCATTACTCATAAAACTGCCTTTCTTCCCGACTTATGTCTTTTTTAAAGCTGATGATTTTAGCTGGTTTAATTAAATTAATTATATGTTTATGTCTAAAATGGTCTTATAATCTTTCAAAGTATGCAATAAACTATTTCTATGAAATTGTTGTTTTGCATCAGTGTTTTATTATCCAGAATCAAGATGACTTGGTTTCTACAGCTACTTGCAGTCAGAAAGAAACTAGTTAGACAGCACATGATACCTATCTACACTAGTATGACTCAAGAAGAAACGTGTTACGTTTCAAAAAACAAGGTTTGAAAACAGATAAACTACGACCTTATTTCATTGCACACTTTGCCGTTTTTACTTTTCACTTCCACTGTCCTAACTGCCACTTGACTGACTAACCAACTAACATTTAATTTCCTTATAGTTTGAAATACTACGTAACTGAAAATATCATAAGTAGTTTGACAGTGATGCATTAGGTCTGTTCAAATGCGTATGATGTTCCTAATGGTCATTCATTAGAAATAGTGGGGAATATTTATAGCTCGGGTGGATGGTCTTGGTTGCATTGTGTTCTCTGAGCTGGGCTGTTTAATCATGAAGCTTCCATAGTCTTTCTAGACGACATCATCAGCACTAACTTCAGTGTGAAGCTTTACGATTAAACAACCCAGCCCAGAGAACATAATACAACCAAGGTTATTCATTCGAGTCCGAGCTTATTTAGGCTACAATTGCAGCCAAACTGTTTAAATGTATACTCACAAGTTCAGAAGGTGTTGTTTATTCTGGATAGTTCATTTCATTTTCTTTTAAAACAAATGGTAAATTGAAGTTAGAAATAAATGGTAATAAGTTTAACTTACATTCTATGTTTAGTACGTGGCAGGTTTTGTGTAGCTTTATCCAACACTGTTAACGCTTCATTGAAATTCCCCTTAGAAAAGGAATGTTTCAAAAAAAGTAAAATTATCTGGGTGTTTTGACTTGGAGAATGCAATTTGGAAGTTAGTATTTGCAACAATGAAGCAACATTTTTATACTTATTCAATAATATGATAAGTTGTTTACAAGTTTAATGATGGTGACAAGTGGCAGAGTTAGACTTCAGGCTGTCGTATAGATCTAAGCATTGATGAGAAAAGCTTAAAAATTCTCAGCATTAGACATACAGTTATCAAAATGTTTCAAGACAGTTTATATGATTTGTGAGTGATCATCAGTTTACTTTCTAGGACTTCTACTTCAGGTAACATATCCAGCTAACGTATGATAAGAAATTGAAACATTCAACCAAGAGTTTCTTTGCAATAACCAAATAAGAAACAATCGAATGTGCAACACAATCCTGGATACATTTAGTTTGGTTGAAACCTAGCTCTTCAGCTCACCTTCAATCATCATCCATTACTATCCTAATTCCTGGAACAGAAGTGAACGATGTGTAGAAAAAGTAAATTGAGGCAATGAGATACAACACAAGTGGAAACACAGAGGATGAAAAATGGTGATCAAAACATAGGATGGCCACTTCACTCGTTCGTGGCTCAACTCATCGGCAGTGTATCCAACGGTCAACTTATTCTTTTCCGTTAGCTCAAATTTTGATTTTAAAGTTACTAAAATCATAATCATCTAAAGTAATTTGTTGATCATAGGACTTTCTTCAATAGTATTCTAAATTTCAGAAATCAGGCTATCATGATGTTTTGTGTGAGCTTAACACTTTACTCTTTTGGTTATCTTTTCTATGTATGAATAGTACTCAGAAAGTGCTTTTAGAATATAACACATCGCTTACGAATTACTACTTAGACAGACATTATTCAGAAGTATTTGTTATACGTAACGGTTAAACTTTTAGAAGCTAAAAGCTTCATATACTACTGAAGAAAATGATTAGTTAAAAGTGACGAAAGTCGGTTCATAGATTTTGTGAAACAGATAATAAAAATGAAAATAGACAAAAGCTTTTTCGCCTGTTTGAAAACAATTTTATCTGTAGTGTGCTCAGTAAAATTCAATAGTATGGTTCTTTGTATCTCGCCTTTTTTTTTCAAGATGAAGATTACACTTTTTAATCACGATTCGATGGTTCCCATCATAACCATGATGATACTACACTTAAGTGGTCGAAAAGCTACCCAGCTTTGTTAAATGTCCATATAAACCAAGAAACAAGACATTATTTGTTTCCACTAAATGTCTCTTTGATGCGCGGAAACTTTAAAATGATATTAAATCACTATTAAATTAACCACAGCAGCCATCATAATATTTATCTTCGCCAAAATACTTAAATGCTAATGAAATATCTATTATACCACATGTTGGTAGCTGTACAAGGTAGTGTCTTTCAAGATCAATTTTACAGCCAGATGTTTCTTGTCATTTGAACACTTTGTATCTTAGTAGAAATTTACTTCCCTAATGATATTGATTCTCAACAATAAGCAGTAAATAGGTGAGATAGTGTAAAACAAATAGACGAAATTACCTGTTCTGAATACAAGTCATATAAAGCTGTGTACATATTCACCCTTAGTTGTAAATCCATTTCAAATTGAGTCATCGTTGGATATGGGACTTTGACTGTTTCAAATAAACTTGAAACTTGAATAAACATAGGTTAGAATAAAAATGAAAAAGGTAACAATTGGGATATATTAGTTGAGTTTACAGTGTATTTGATATGCATTGAAGATAAAATAAATTTCAATAACTAAATAATTGGGTTGTTACAACACATTCCACATTGTCAGGGTTTTTGATAGCTTGATAAAGATTACACAGCATTTATGTTTGTCCCAAACGTTCAATAAAAGCGAAGAACTAAAATCAAATGAAATACATTGACTAATCACTGAAGAGCAAATAATCTCATGTTGTCTAGCCATGAGTGCTGACCTACTAGACATCATGCGATATTTTACCCTTCAGTGATAAGTCAATGTAATGCAACCCTATAGGAAGTCCATCGCGGCCCACTGGTAACGTCACTGACTGCAATAGTGGGTTGCGAGGGTTTGAATCTGACAGAAGACATCAATTTCATCGAGCCTGCCGACAAGCGTCAACAAGTACGAAACTTAAGTCCAGGGCTTCCTACCGATTACCTCTAATCAGCTAACATCGAAATACAGTGTTAGTTATATTTTCCCTTGTAAATGGAGAATGTGCATGACATTCAAAATTTTGAACGATCTATTATTGTAGATCACCATGGTTATTTTGGTCCCGCTATCTAGTAACCAATTACAGAGACCTGCATAATCTGGTGTGTAGTAACACTGTTAAACTATAAACCATGTAAGACAATTTTATGCACTCATCAGTGGATAAAGAATATTCCATGTTGTGCTTAAAACCTTACTGTTATCCAAACTGTATGTTTACGATTTCAGACTGCACTGTATTGATTTCCAAGAAAGAGGAAAGAGATTTTTTAAAATACATACCTTCATTCATATATCTGATGGAATTCATCAGGACAGAATCAACTTTTAATGGAAACAAATCTGTATTTTCACTATTTCGAATTTGTGTAGCCAATTCATTTCTAACCTCAATTTTGATACACTGACTTAACCATTTCGTCAAATTATAAATTTTTTCAGAAAATGATTGTACTTTTTGTAAAACATTGGTTATGTGATTCGATGGCGCCAAAACTGGATGGTTAAGTAGAGCCCAGTATAACGATGCTGACATAATTAACAGATCATAACGTCCAATTTTGTAAGCAAGTCTAAATTTTAGTAAAATTACAGAATTAGAAGAAAAAAATGAAAAGTGATATTTTATAATAAGTAGAAAAAATAGACTTTTCGACCAACTTCCTAATGAAGGTGGAATCACATTCAGAGATGCTATGCTTCGATGTCTTGCTAACTAGAAGAGATGATAGGACACTTAATTGGTTCATTTGTCAAAACTGCAAAGGAGAAGGGTAGATTACAAGGTTTCATAGCTGAATTCTAATCGGGATGGAAATAAATTTAATCCACACCTTTTCCTCTTGAGTTTGGAAGATTTGTAGCCTTGAAGCCTTAGTGGATGAATTTCAGCTTATAAGAAGGATATTCATCAGATATGAATACCTTGACAGATTTATACATCAAAATGTAGGTCTGAATGCTACCCAACAGTCTGGAGAAGTTTTTTTAAAATTTGGAATTTAATAGAGATGCCTCAGATGACTTCCAGAAACTGAACTGATAAGAGCTGTCACGAGAACACTCAGTCCAGTCACTCTGCAAACCGACTTAACTGTGAACACATGTATGAAGGACAAAATATCACTGCCGGTCATGTTCATGTGTAGAAACCAATTTTCCTGCTCCTGATAGGTTAGGTAACTATACCTTATGGATAGGCAGATTGTCCAACATTGACGCCAGTTCTTTTTATTACCGTTCAGGTAAGTCAATACATACTGGTCAACAGTTCCAGATTACAACATTTACTTGGCAGACGAAGTACTGTTTTAGAAGACTTATTTCCAGTAGCCTACAAAATACAAAGTAATTTTCTGAAGGTTTACTTTTCTCTACTGTATCTCTGGTAATACAAATACCGAAGCCAGAATTGTATAATTCAGAAAGAATTTTTTTCATTTACGGTCCTCATTCACTAATCAATTTTAAGACTTTACAATCCGAAAGTCTAACTAACACCTTACGCAATTTCTACTTTGTTACTGTGTTGCCTTTTTTAAAAACTAAATAATCTTTTATTTTCTTTCACACTGACAAAAGGTTTACTTAATTTGTTACGGATTACTCATCTCGTGGTTTCGAAACTTATTTATCAAGACTATGAAATCTTTAATTTTTACCCACTTAGTTTTCATTCCCATATTATTCTCCAGACCATAAACTGCTGAGAATTATCGTTTGGCAAACAGTACTGACATTTTTCAACGATACGTAAATGCGTTTCAACGGCTTTTAAGAACGATATCGAGGAAAACAAATTTTTCCTCTAAAAGGCTTGTGTTTTAACAAGTCAGTGCGATAATTTGATGTAAATATTAATTGTCGACCATTTCAAAACTAAAAATTTTGCCTCATGTCTAGTGGCTTTTCGTTACTTATCGACAGATATCAGTTTAAAAATACCTCACTCATTGACTGATGAAATCAACTTAGGTCCTTGTACAGAGGTGCTTCAGCCGAAGTTGTCACACTTTACAGCAGTACACAAAGAACAAGTGGATAGAACAGGAGCGATATCAAAGTGAAAAGAGTTGCGTGTGAGTGTGAACAAACTGAGGATGATAGTTAGTGCAAATATTCAAGCCTTAGATATCAAGGAGCTAGTGCTTCTGCTCCATTGTGACTAATTTCCAGACATCTTACCAACAGTCCTCAACCATTGATTCCTTTCATCTCGGTGACCCAAACCAGGCAGTCTACGTCTCTTCACACGACTTAGACGAACAGTAAGAGACTTCATCGACTGGTACTACGTCTTCGTCTTATCACCCTAAACTCTCTTGCAATCTAGTCCAAATTCCTCTGGCATGGCAATTCAAGGTAGGCGATAGTGAGGAATGCGCAACACACTTTTAAGCCACCTCAGTCGACTGAGGTTCACAAGGTCATCAATCGACTTGCCTATCTTACCTAGTATCCTTCGACAGACCTCGACATAGCTCACGGTGATTCCACCAAACGTGAGCAATGATACGAAGACATCTTATGATCAAAACTCTCTGATAGCTCCCTGTCTTCTTCTTTAACGACCACGTCTCACAGCTGCATAGCAGAACGGAACAAACTAAACCGCAAAATACTCATCCACTGGTAGATAGTAGGATATCTCTCCATCCATCGCCAGAAATAACTGAATTTGGCAAATACTAAACGAACCTTCTTTATCCTAAGTGGGATTTCGTCCGCAACCAACCTGTTTGGGCCGGTGTGACTCCCCAAGTAAGTGAAGTAGTCGAGACATTCAACCACTTCACTCCTTATCATTAAACTGGGAGTATGTGGAGCGGATTGGTTGTGGAGCATCATCTCACATTTGACAGGTGGAAGATGCATACTACCCAAACATATTTAGATTTCTGCTCAACACATATAGAAGACGATGCACTTTTTCAGCGTCTTCACTCAGCAGGACAACTGAAAAAGAATATTTATGAATAATTTGATCTCCAACTAATAAAACCTTAGGTTTCCACTAAAGAAACGATCTATGATGAATTATGAATGGGTATTATTGTAGTGGTTAGTAGGCTAAACCGACTTCTACAGGTATCTAACCGTTATTTACTGCTGTGAGTTACCTTTGAATTCGTTAAGTTATCATCAATCAGTAAGTAGGGCATGTAAGACGACAAAGATAAATACTGAAAGGTCCTACGAGTGACTTTAAAAGGCATTTCAGTAACTATTGAAGACCAATTTCTGTCGCACTTTTCATATATCTCCTAAGTATGTATCAGAGCTAAATGGACGTAAGCACTTTGGAATCTAAAACAACTGCTAACTGTCAGCTGCTATACTTCACACCCGTACATCTAGTGAGAAGATGAGAAAACCGGAAAAATAATAGGAGTAGTTATGAGAGTGGTATAAGTATAAGTTGATAAAAGGAATAAAATTTCAAGAAAAGATATGGCACCTTGGTATCTATGCCATTCAGATTGGTTTTGAAATGGATCATATATTCAATTGAGCTTAACTTACCACTCCAGCGAAATGAAGCCTCTGTCATAAATATATATAGTAATACAGAAACCGAATTGCTTATTTATCTTGTATATATCTCATATCCACTCATACTTACCTGTGAGAATGTATCATTAAAAATACTGCAACAACATAAGGGAAATGCAACTGGTTTGTGTGCAAGCTTTTATTTTAGGATCCGTTTCGTTCTCCTTCACTATTTTGACGTTCAGTATCATGTACATGTCTTATTCCAGAGTAAGTGACTTCAACAATGTAGAACATCCAAGAAATCGATATCTCTTCTTAATTGTATTCTACTCTTTTATCTCTTTACTAGGTGCTGACAAATAGAGTTTTCCTTCTCTTGAAAATTCATATGATCAATCGTGGTATGGATTGTAGTAAGAACTTAGCAGATGTCGGTTGATCAAAAGCTGCTTTACATCACGAATTGATATCAAACATGGAATACATAAAATTTATGAAATTCAAGACAACTGTTTCATATTAGTTTTAAAATTCTCAAGTGATATGCATTTACAACTCAGACAACTTTTAGATATCATGGCAGTCATCTTGTTACCATTAAGTTACTGAATGAGGAATTTTCATTTTAAGGATTAGGCACCCATCCTCAGTGCCAACCTGGTGGATCATTCAACCAACGTTCAGATGAAATATATGACTTCAACAAGTTTTTCAAGTTGGTATTCATCATGAACTGACGTTAGTTGGAGGAACATTGAAAACCTCGGAGTATTGGACAGCTGCTCCGTCCTAGTGTGGGACTCTTCAGTGCGCACCTATGACCCCGCCAGCGATTAAACCTAGGACCTTCAGGTTCTGCGACTAGCACGTTACCACTGAGCCGCCGGTTCGAAATCCAGTGGTCCCTACTTCTAACTTCGGTCCCTGGCAGATTCATGGGTACGCACACCTGAGAAGTCCCACAATAAGACGAAACGGCTGTCCAGTGCTCGCAAGTTCTCAATATTCATCCAATTGATGTTAGATCATGATGAATACCAACTTCAAAAATCACTAAATCCACAAACCAGCCAATTAGACCCTCATATGTTGTTTATTTAGGAAAAACCTTTGGTAAGCCTGAGGGTGATGTTCAGAAATATTTTTAACTATGGTCGTCGTCAGACTAACTTATAACTATTATTGATAGATAAGACATCTTAATCCCAGCCGCATTATCTAAGTAATACGATCATTGACAATACTTAGTTATCGCTCTCTTTGATTCATCAGTTATTTTGAAATTTTAACCAGCATAACTAGCGTAAAAGTGGCTTACTGTGATGCTTTATAGAAGGCTTCTTCACCCGCTTCAAATAAACTATTTTCAATTGTTTGACTATCTTCACTAATTTCGCTTTTATCAGGTCTTCTTTCGAGAAGTTCTACGTACTTAAATTTCACATCGGTGAAACGTTGTTTACCCCGCGTTTGTTGTTGTTGCTGCTGTTGTGATTGCTGTTGAACGTGTTTCCCACCAGATTTTAAGTTTTGTTGACGAATAGTTTTCATTTGATTCGATATACCAAACATGGCTAAACCACGAAGACAGAGCAAGTGAACTAGCCAATAATTGTTATTTACATCAATATGTTGTTTGTTATCACCATGGTGTAGTTCCTTTTGAATATTGGACATATCAATAATGTCTAAGATAGTTGAATACTGTGATGTTATGAATGCCAGCATAGCCAAACGTGTCCATAATTCAAGCTCTGTAAAACGGTCAGTAGCTGATTGATTTAGTCGTAAATCATATTTGACAATGGTTTTTTCTTGTTCATTTGGAATATTTATTCTACCAGAGGGTAGTTCAGTGTGTATATTGGGCTTTTGGCTAGAAAATGTTGTCTGCATCAAATGAATAGCCTTAAAGAGAATGTAATTTTAAAATTAAATGAATATAACTGTAGAATAATGGTCTATAAAAGTGGTCATCATAGGTGACTAGTTAACCAACTATCTGAATGTCAGTTTAAACTGATTTCTTTTATCACTTACCGATAATGAGTATCACTAACAAGGAACAATCAATTTGTTATCAACACCAGATCAGTATTTCTTATCTTTTGTATAGGGCTTATTAGCAGTGCATTTAAATAAGGTGGAAGGCGTGTGGTGCTTTGAAACTCAGCAGAGGTAAAGATGATTTTTAGATAAGAGTCAGAATGATAAATTGCATATAATGAAACATAGATATGAGTGAAAGCTTACAGAAAAACGAGTGTTTGTTATTCATCTTCTGAAATGCTAATTTTTGCTGACCACCTGTCACAAAACACTCTACTGAGTGTAAACTGTTAGTCTTGGTAGCTGAGATCTTAATACCAATTTTCTCTCTCCAATGTATGTCATTTGTTTGGATAAATACTTTCATAATTATTTGAATGCATAATTGATAGATTTATCGGAAAAAAAAGTTTCGACTTTAAAAGTTAAAAAAAAAAACTTTTTTTCAGACAACTCTTGCTTAGAAAGTCAATTCCAAGATTGCCTAAAATTCTACACTCACCAAGTAGCAGTATAAATTCAGCAAATTATGAGATTATTTTAATAGTTCCCATCAATGAGAAAACTTATACGTAAAATCACTGAAAAACAAGATTAACTAGAACAGGTACTTAGTTCTGCTCCAGAGATTCTGAGAAAGAAATACTTCTTATAGCTTACGATATCTGTAGCTAATATTTGACAACAATAAAAAAACTCATGAAGTGCAATTGGGAGCATGATTCCATACCTTTAACCCCATGAAACTTTGACATATTGGTTTGGGGATTTGACTTTCAATATTTGTGTCAAAACTAGCTGTGCTTACTGCATTTTTAACACCGAAGTGGTAAAATTAACTTTCAAAAAAATAAGAACAGTTGGTAGGCTGGTTAATACACTTGTATGTGGATAGTGAGTTATACTGAATCTTTGTATTCTGTGTGAAAAAGTAATCCCTATTCACAATTGTTTTTCATTTATAATGCATAAATCGTACAACTATCTATTTAGTCATATTTTGACAGTGAATATATTTTGAAAGACAAACGAAAATGTATATTTACATGGGCTGGCTTTCGAAAGTTTTCTAAGTGAAATTCATTCTCGAATTTTGTTGGAGCTTGGTCATATTTTGAAAATCTTACTTACTTTTTGTTGGCTCATCTGCTTACCGTTTCACTGATTCCATCAATAAAGGAAAGTGACTATCTTTGATCTCAGTTTCTCTTGATCATTAGAAGCACTTTTAAATCAGTTCAAAAGTTATGAAAATATTGACTATAGCTGTGTTTGGTATAAAACAGACTAAGATACAGTCAACGTAGTCCGTATAACCTTGGTATAGGAAATTACAAATAAAAACACACTACTCACAAACAATAACTAGTATAAGAGTTCCACAGACAATAATCAGTGCTTCGTCACTCAAATCATAGGCATGGTTAAGGAATATGAAGTTAGATTGGTTTGACTGAGGTTAAATGAATGCATAACAGAACACTAGGTTTTTTAGACTGCTTAGATGAAAGCATTTATAATGCTAAAAAAAATTGACAATTACCTCTGCTAATGTTGGGGCATCTTTGAATCCAACTAGAATATCCATTTGTTTTGTTGGTTCTATTATTGTCTGTGTACTTTGTTCATCGATGAGTCTAGATAAAATAACGCACCACTCAGAGATATATTTTGACTTATTTGTTAGCCATAGAGAATGTACAGCTAACAGTGTTCGTGTTATCAGTGTTTCAAGGTAGATCTGAGCATCTTTTTGATTATTTGTTGCACGTTTACGTGTTTGATTATCGGAATCTGATGTAGAATTTATTTCAGTATAAATAGAATTATCTTCAGAAGAATCCATTGGAAATAAATTCCTGTGTACTGGTGGATTGGTGATTAACTGTTTTGCTGATAGCCAACATATTATCAGACGTGAACGGGTACTCAATGATAGAATTGGTTGTATTGTACTGCCTTCATCGATCTCCTGAAGAAGATCCAATCTGTTAGGTTCACACAGTTTTCCAGCTAGCATTAACCAATCTATCGCTTTTTTTATGTAAGCTTGCCCTTCTGGTGGTACCTTGAATAAGATGGAATTTATTTGAAAAACAAAGAGTAACGATAGGTTATTCACTAGCTAACGAAAATACTTCATTCATCTCAATTCATATTCTTTGAACTCAAAGTTCTTAAAATATAAAGCTGTAGAACATGATACCCAAAGTGAAAGTCAACACTTGTTTAATTCCTATGAAGTCTAAAGAAAACGTAAGTTTGAATATGGATACAAGCTAATAATCTCTGAATTTCACCAAACCGGATCAATCATGTGAGTTAATCGATGTAACCTGGCATCTCTGAATACGTGTGAAACTTAAAAAGCTTCTAATGAGGATTAAATAGATTTCCTTGAAATAATGGATACCACCGATAAATTCCTAGCTGTGTCGTAGTCATTACTCAAGTGATCGAGACTAGGTTTCGATAGTCAAGATCTAACGTGGTAAACAGTTGCGCTTTTAACAAGCCTGAAGATAGATGAAACTCGGCCAACTATTTGGGGATTAAAAGATCTAGGGACACTCATAAACAAAAAGAGCCTTTTTATACTATCTACTAAAAAAAGGATGGAAAACACCAGTCATATACAATCGGAACTACATCAAAAAATTTAAGCAATTATTCAAGGATGAAAACATAGGTTAAACAGCTGAAAGCTACTTAACTAAAAAATTGGTGATTTACAATTAGGATTCCAGGTTAACTCATGTAAATCATGTAAGTGACAAAAGAAGCCCACTAGCCCACATGGCATAGTGAGCTTTTTCTCCCTAGATTTTACAGAAAGTCGAATGTACGCTGACTAAATATTACTCTATAAGGTATAGTTCGTCTTACAGAAATCAGAGTGCAGTTTGTCCATGGAAAGAAAAATCCCTTAAGGAATAACGCAACCACTGCATCAGATCATATAAAGTATTCATTAAATGGGCTAGAATTATTCACACTGATACTATCAACTTGATGACAGTTTTTGATTTTAAAGTTTCCTTCAAGTTACTTCTCTCCTAATCAACAATATAAATCTATTGGAACGTGTGCGAATTCAGTGTTTCTCACCAACTTAACCCATCGTTTAGCACTTCCAACCTTAAAATCATTTTCGTAGAGAAGTATTAAAACTAATGAAACGAACTTCTAGGCTATTCGTAGGAGTAACAGTGAAGAGACCACAAGTAATCGTCTTACCTTTGATGCAATCGAAAAATTATGTCACACCTATGTAGACAACGTCTTCGTCATTAGATATAGACAAAAATGTAGACAATGTTGACGAACTCATCAACCACTCTTTTCATGGCATCGAATTTACAACGGAAGAGAATCTGACAAACAGGAAAACTCGAGACACAAGTGTACAAAAAGTCAAACCCGATAAATAAAATCCTCAGGATACTCTTATTACACAATTATAGCGACCAACAAACCAGAATACATCAAAACTAAAGAAGATCAGAGAAACACTCCTCTCGAAGGAAGCCGCAACAGTTGGATATGGAAATGAAGCTGACCATTAAATATATCAGCCTTGAATATCGGAAATACAAAGACCAGAAAATCTTTAGAAGCTTCAAACTCAACTGAACCAATAGTGACAGGATGTGCAAATATTTATACAGTATAACAACGAATGGAAATGACGAAAAAGTACCAGAAAAACAACCAATTAAATAGTGATTCAAGCAGTGAAAGAACAATCGCAGCTAGTAATCACTTACATGAAGTATCATCAATACAAGCTGTATAACAACTCACTCACAACTCCTTCTTTTTGAATTTTTCATCTTTGAGGTTGGTTAAAAAGATGACGGAAACTTCATGGCTGGGCCATAATGCTGGGAGAATGCAGCACCCTTAAACTGAGTTTCCACTTTGACCAATATCTGGAAATGACTTGTGTACAATTAAACTCCACGCAATGCTTCAGTCTAAATAGCATGCCATGAAATTCGAGGACATTAATACGACATGATGAGATTACAAGAAGGTTGTGGTGTATTAGCGCGTATTGAATAATCCGATCGTATGTGAGTTGACAAGACTTTGTACACGAAGTCGTTCCCTGCTCAGAGATAAACTTTTTCGAAGCAATTATTCAGAATCTCCTTGTTTCTCACAATATCCCTTTAAATATGGAGTTTACTATGGTAATCAGTCTATCTAAAGGAGTTTTAGTCCCTTCCTAAATTCAAGTATATGTAGTATATCACATGGAATTTCATATCACATGAATAAAACTTATGTTTAGCACAGATAGGATTGAACCTGATCCTAACCTTACCTATATGACTATGTTTTTCTCATTGTGAAGACTTCCCTTGGGAATATAAATTTACGCTATCAGGAGCAGCATTAGAAGCATTTCGATTTTGGATATCCCAAGATGTAAACGAATACAAATCAAACGGATTCAAATATTTCATCTAAAAGTATTAATTAACCGATCAGGCAAAGCTGAAGAGTTTATTTCATCAGAACAATGGACTATTTCAGTTTCACAAATTCATAACCAGGGTTACGAAGGTGATCGAACAAGCTGGTCAGTTCCATTCTCATAAAGTAAATTAACTTTACAGATATGACTCAGTCACTCAGACGATGATAACTAGTGTTTCTTTTTGCAGTCTCATAAGAGAGACCCTAGCAGTTTTATACCTGTGAGATGTCCTTTTTGTACACCAGAATGCACTAATGAGTAACAGAGTAACTTGATAACATAAGACTAAGAAAACTACTTACAGTGTATATAGTGGGTTTTGCTGACTTTCCTCTGTTTACCTTTTGACCTTTTTGTGGAGCATTGGAAGGTATGGTTTTAGTTTTATCACCGCCAGAAAGTGTTCCTGATTTGACTGGTTTCGGTAACCAAGGTTGAATTAGGCCATGAGCCAATACTGTAGCCATTTCAGCATATAACTGTGCAGGTAAACAGTTTGCTCCAATTTTGTTTGCATTCTCTAAGATTATCTAAATTGTTTAAATAGCATTTTTTTATGTATACATTTTTAAAAGTTAGTCTCAAAGGAAAGGTAATTTATCAAGAATATTATTAAAATTAGTGAGTAGGAAGTTAAAAATTGAGCTAAATTCGACAGATTTTTTCGATATACTAACAAATAAAGAGCATCAGGAAAATAATTAAGCACCTACGAATTAATAGAAGACAGTTCAGATAAGAAACGTTTCTTTGTTGTGAATTATTTTCAAAAGCTGTACATTGCAATCATAGTTACAATATATATATATATATATATATATATATATATATATATATATATATATATATATATATATATATATATATATATATATCCATCAATGGTTAATGGATCACTACAAAGTCATCAAAAACAGTCAATAATATCACAAGGCTATAACAGCTAGAAGGTCAAATGAAAGTCATCGAAGGTTGCTTATAGGATTATAGTAACTAAACATAGAAATGAATACACTGTCTTAGGGAGATTATGAGTAAAGCAAAATTAGGGATTGAATTTATCTTTTTGAACATCTAGATCATGCTTGTAATGCTGGATTGGCAGAACCTTTGCTGCGTTGACGTGACCAATACTCACTCGTTTCGAGATGTTTGTCTTTATAAATGACTTTGGAAGAAGATCCTCGTTGAGCACAGTGAACAGAGATAACCAAGTGTTCAAGAATTGAGCCATTGATGGCTTTACATTGTCCTGTAGACAGCGATGCGAGATAGTGTTCGAATATGCGTTCGAATAGAGCACGCTTTTTGCGGCCTATGTAACCAGCTCCAAAAGAGTAGATGAATTGGCCCAAAGCAGTAGTTTATCCATGACACACCCTCGAATCAGTTGTTGACTGTGGAAAACAATCCGAAGCTGAGTCGAAAACAAGGTCTCCTTCAGTGCTTTGCACGGTCAATTTCCCAGTATCTCTGCAGATGTATTTCCCTTGAATCCAAGATTTATAAATAGCGCCTTCTTTGGAACCATGAGGGTATCTTCTTTGAAATTCTTATGCTTTATGTTTCTCTCAGTGAATCTTGAAGGATGATCACTCTCGACTAATACTGTTCAAAGTATTTCCAGCTTCTCACTTGTTGCATCATCCGTACAAATTGTTCTAATTCGTGTGAATAAATTAGATTTGTTTCCCTAATTAGTGCGACCCAGCTTTGAAAATGAGTATATTGACCATTCCAGGTTTGTTTTCTGTAAAACAATCTTCTCAGAGAACCACCATGTCTCCTTTTCAGTAGAATGTATTCCATGAGAGTCTTTTCCAAAGTCATTTGTAAAGACAAACATCTCGAAACGAGTGAGTATTGGTCACGTCAACGCAGCAAAGGTTCTGCCAATCCAGCATTACAAGCATGATCTAGATGTTCAAAAAGATAAATTCAATCCCTAATTTTGCTTTACTCATAATCTCCCTAAGACAGTGTATTCATTTCTATGTTTAGTTACTATAATCCTATAAGCAACCTTCGATGACTTTCATTTGACCTTCTAGCTGTTATAGCCTTGTGATATTATTGACTGTTTTTGATGACTTTGTAGTGATCCATTAACCATTGATGGATTTATATATATTGTAACTATGATTGCAATGTACAGCTTTTGAAAATGATTAGCAAATAAGAAAGTCTTTTAGCAAAGATGCGCACCCACTGACCATCCAGGTGCTCACTGCTGACGAGCCTAATACTAGGACAGACAGATGTCCATTGCCATCAGAAATGATAATAATCATCCCTTTATTCCAAATAATATATATGACAGTATGGAATTCTCAGCATGTAGTCTTTCAACAAAGTCATTCCCAGAACACTTTTCCAGACTAAATAGTGATTCCATCTGAATGATGTTAATAATAACAGTATTCAAGGCAATCTTACCAAACAGCCAGGTGATTTTGGATCAGCATTCGGTTCATAATGAAGAACCAGCAGAAATGCAGACTTAGGTTTGGTAGTGGGGTTTCATTCAGCCAATCTAAGAATCTGGAACTCAAGCTAAATATATGAGGCACATTATGACAGACCTGAATAAGATCAATAATCCAGAGAAAAACTCGGTAATTGCAATGCATGCATTAACACACAACCACACAATAGAGTGGGATAAAACCACTGTGCTTAAATTCAATATGGCTGAGTGGAGAGAGAGAGTGATTACTGAATTTTTGTTCATTGAATCAACACGCAACACCTCGTTCAATCATGTGGACATTCCATCAAGTCGCCAACAGAATTCTTAGAAAAGATCAAAAACATTAACATAGAAAACGACGAACTAATAGTATCCTTCGATGTCACAGCATTATACATATCCATCGAACTTCGATTGGCCAAAGAAACGACGTTCCTCCTGCTCAATGAAGACACAAACCTTTCAGAACGCACAAGACTTAAATGTTCAAGTCTGATCAAACTCATCGACCTTTGTATGACAACATACTTCCGATTCAATGGTAAAATATACAAACAGATGAAAGGAACTCCATTGGGATCACCAATATCCGGACTTATTTCAGAAGCAGTGATGCAGAGACTGGAAGCCATCATTCTACCTGTGATTAAACCAAAAATTTCGACCCGCTATGTGGATGACACTTTTGTCATCATTAAAAAAGATGATGTAGGAAACACCAACAGTTTGATCAACAACGTTTTCAGTAACATAAAATTCACAATGGAGGAGTCAAACAACCAACTACCATTCCTCGATGTTCTAGTCAGTAGGACAAATGACAGAAATCTGGAAACCCAAATGTACAGAAAGCCAACACACACTGACCAAATCCTCAACTACAATAGCAACAACCCAACAAGGCACAAAATCAGTTGCGTCCAGACTCTATTCAAAAGGGCGAGGAAACACTGCAGCACCAGAACTTCGCAGGAAAACGAAGAAAATTACTTGATGTCCAACCTAAAGAAAAACGGTTACCCACGAAACTTTATCAGAAGATGCCTATCCCGTGCATCATCAACTACAAAGCCATCAATAAACGCATCATTCTACCATACATGAAGAATGAATTTATCACAGATCACGACAAGATTACTGAGACCACTTGGAATTGGGATATCGCTTCATATACTAACAAATTCCCTCCGAACACAATTTATTATGCAGACTAAAAGACGCAATAACCACAGAAGAAAAACCGAATATCATTTACAAAATCGACTGCAATAACTGTAGTCAACCCTACATTGGACAAAGCGGTTGCCCTCTTTGCCTTCGTCTACATGAGCACCAACTGGCTATTAAACGTCACGACATTTCATCACTCATTTCAATGCACATGGATAATTGTGGATATGAAATCAATTTCGACAATGTTGAAGTTTTGGACAGAGGAAACACAAAGAATTTCAAAGAATTCCTAGAAGCATGGCATTCCGGTCAGTCAGCAATCAGCAGATGTATAGACGTAGACCCGATCTATCAACCAATGTAAAAAATGATGAACGACAGACAGGTCAGAGATCAAGGAAAGGAAGAGCAAACAGGAAGGTTTATATAGTCAATGACACAATAGTAGAAGGAAACAGCCAATCACAGACCACACAGTCCAAGCAAGCCACTAAATCAATCACGGAGAGATGCTGACAGCTCACTTCATACTGAAGTTAGTGCTGATGATGTCGTCTAGCAAGGCGATGAAAGCTTCACGAACAAACAACCCAGTTCAGAGAACACAACACAGCCAAGACACGCAACTCATGAGATAGAAATGACGCAACACCTATACCAGAGATATGGAGAATTGTACCACGAATAAAAACAACTCATATGAGGTGACATAACTATAAAAATCAAATGTCAAAAGCAGTGTGATTACATTGATATGATTATAAGCAATAATTTATGCTCGAAACATCATCAAGTAAATAATACTAGATCACTGTGTGTTATAAATCAAATGGACGAATCTAATATGAAATATGGTGTACTTTTGCGCACTAAATAGTTCACTTCAATATAATGCGACATTTCTTCTCTGTTTTGTTATTTAATCGAGAAACGGCGGGATGAGAACATTGTAAAATGTAAAAGAGTACATGATACGATATTTAAATGGTTAAAACAAACTGAAACTAAAAAATTTGATATATACGTTTGGTGGAAACGTTTGGTAGCCCAAGGTTCAAACAGGCCTCCGTTTCACCACTAAATAAGTTTCTTTAAATATATTTTGAAAGACTAGTAGAAGAAGGAGATGAAGAAACAACTGTATCCACCTTCAAAAGGAAGGCATCTTCATGTTAAATTTATCAGTGATGATCTATGAGGCTGTTTATTCAGCCTATCAAATTGAACAGCTGAAAATTACTTTTTTATTTGTTTATTTTTGTTTAACCATATTATAAAGTTTTATCAACAGACTTCGGTTAAACAGTAAGATCAACAACTGGTATCGCTTACCACTAAACCAGTCCCACAGGAACTTATTCTCAACTCATAAAGCTGAATAACACTGTTTCTGATTGTAGCACTCAATAGAATTGGTTCAAATCTAAGAGGTTGTATGAATTGCAGTTATGCAGACAACCTATTTCGATTGACGCAAGAAAGCACAACCTCCACTGGTTGTTTTTCAGTAACGAATACATAAGACCGTTATGACTATTTGTTTCTAACTTTCTCTATTCTAGTGAATAAATTTTTCATTTAATTTGATCAACATCATCTGAGCAGGTTTTTGAGAACACTAGGGACGCTGAACTTAGCTTTAATCCTTTCATTGAAAACTTCTAAAGAGTTCATATTATCAATATCATATATGCTTTGTTGAGGATATTTCGGTCTCATGACTAACGCTTTACTGTAAAAATATTAAGTTCGATCATGAAAGTTAATCATACCTTGTGTTCATTTCATCTATTAATTTTATTAAAATTTATTAAAATACGTTACACTTCTCTCCACCTATCAGCATTAAGTCCAAAACAACTTTTAACTCAAAAGAATACTAACTGAAAATATAGTTGTTAGTTGACAATGATCATTCTGACATATTGTCGGTAGACAGTAGTTCCATACACAAACTGCACAGGAATATAAAGTGTTTGAATCAACTATTCTTGCAGATAGAACAGCACTACGTTGAAATGCCAATAATGCAGATTCATTGACAAGAAGAAACCATTCACTGGAAAATGCATTTAAACGAGAAAATAAGGAACAAATTATTTGATTTAACTGAGAAATAAGTAGAATCAACGTAAATGAATATGGAGAAATCTCACTACCCAGCAGTGTGATAGGAGGAATGAAATCAGAGGATTTTAACCACGCATAGCGCAAAGTAGTGATTTTCAGTTAGAGTACTGACTGACATCTACTCGCCAATGTAACACATCCCTATGGAACTTGAAACTTAAACAATATATTTCTCCAGTAATATGGTCTACTAGAGCTTTCCCTAGACAAATACACTTATTGCATCATATCTGGGCATATATACCTCCATAGAATGATGGTTGAAGTAACCTATAAGTTGCTGACTTGATGTTTAATCAGTCATACAGAAATTATCTCAGTATAGAAAACATATGCGGTTATTCAAAAAATGATTAAAGCAGTGAATACCAACCTCTTTATTTTGACAAAACTGTCTAAAAAAACCAAAAGTTTTGTTTTATATCTACAAGTAGATTTAATATATATTCATTGATATTTGTAATTTCCCATAGCCACACTGGGTCAAAAATTAATTGACCTCTGTTGACAGATGAGCTCTGATGCAGATGCCTCGACACTGCCTGGATATCTATATACCCTTTACACAAGTGGTGGTTCTCTTGACCCACTAGTAACTTAGTGGACTACGCTTTGGCGTTTGAAGCGATAGGTACTGGATTCAAGTCTCAGTGGAACAATATCCCTCACTATGGTAGAAGTACATCCAGCTGAAGACTACCGAATAGGAGGGAACTTGCATCCTAGATTCCACTGCTAGCCATCAAACAGATAACAATATATTTAATGCATCTTCTCGAACTGTCCTATTAGAGAAATGTTGACTGTTTCTTCAGGCTTATTATCTTCTTCCTTTGAATCTTGTTGACTTATGATGATAACTTCGTAAATATTTCAAACAATCATACTTCAGCTCATATTCTGAAGCAGCTAACTGGTAAAGAACAAGTTCATTTCTTGGCAAATACGTCACTAACAGATGCCTGATTTAACCAACTTCTGTTTCTTCCGTTAACTGCACCGAGAACAGTCTGTTGGACATTCCTAATAATAAATAACACTCAATTCTATTTATTTCAATTGTGCTACCTGCCATACAGTTTAGCTAAATAAATTCCAATAGGCTTAAGGTGGTGTAAATTAGTCAGTTAGCTAATGGCCTTAAAATTATGGCCTAGAAAGCAAAACTGCCTGTGTTTTCCTCTAGGCCTTAAGTTATGAGTCTGACAAGTAGTCTGGTGTCCGAAGGTACCTATGAAGTTCAATGAGCTTTTCTCATACTTCCAAAGAATTAGTAATGCTCTCAATTCAAGGGAAATAAATACTTTCTATACTGGTCAGAAAAGTCAGTACGTTTTAATAGCATTTATAGTTCATTTTCGACCAGTTCAATTAACAAATTATTAAAATACTACACTAACCAATAACTTTTCCATTGTAAATTGTGTTCCTTCAACTTTTCTGGCACCTCTTCACCATCGCTATCTACTAAAGATGTGACATCAAACCAAGATGGCCTTAAGTGATCCAGATTACCAGCTAACTGTATACCGCATGATTGTTGACGTAATAGTATAGATAAACATTCTCCGTAGATACAGCAAATTTCTGATAGTGAACTATACAACTTCAGTTCAAAGGTGGTTATAATATCCTGAGGATTTATCGTTCCACGCTGATTCGGTTTTGGCTTATTTAATAAATTCTGAACATCTGTTTTTGTAGCTGTAAAAAAACATAAAATTCATATGGTTTCAAGCATTTAAAAAAGCATATTATAAATTCGATATAATTTTTACAAAAAATTATTCATTCACATTGGATTTTTTGATAAAACAAGATATTAGTCGGAATAAAAATTTATCGGAAACATTAAGCTATTCAGAGTATGATTGGCATAGGTTTTCATTTGGTTGATATTTTCAAATTTGAGGCTAGTGGTGTTAAATTTTCAAGTGCATTTTCTTGAAGGAAGGCATTTATTTGTAATTTATATTTCTTGTGAGACTATACTATAGACTTCATGAAATAATGTACTACTTATAAGTCACCTCCAATAATTGTGGGTATTAATTCACGGGGATCTGCAGTACCTATAGTGGGAGAATGGAAACAAGTGCCTACCTAAGATATTTTGAACATGTCGCGTACAGTCTACGGCTGAGAGGAGAAAATATTTTAAAAGTACAATTACGAAGCATTTAGAGGACATAGGACATCAAGCAGATACTTCAAAACCGTTCAAAATAATTAATAAATAGAATAATCTAAGTCTTCTTCGCTTCACTGAAACGAGTGCAATCAAATGCTCTAACACACTTTTTGTATGTTCAAAAAAATTTGTCATCAATCTTCACCTACCCTTATAATCTTACTTCTGAACCCTTCACTTATTCTACTAAATCATTATCATATCATTAGATCGTCAAGTAAACCCCAACCGCAATCAACTGAATTCTGCTCAATATACTTTATTACATTTCGTTTTCTGAATACTACTAACTTTTCCACTCAGTGACATATGTCATTTCTTGTTCTAAATTCTGCAGTATTCCTTTTCTTTACACCCAGCTGATTTTCATCAGAATTTCCTTTTGAATATTAATTCATATTAATTTTTTGTTGTAAATACTGTAGGTTGTCAGTAGCTAACGAGAACCACAGAAATAATAAAATGAATCGATGTTATTCTGCTTCAATGTTTGTTCTTGCTCTTTTAAAGTTGATAAAGGACGATGTTTATATGAAATTTCATTTAGTTGTTGATTAATTACAGTAACTTTCATTGAAACTAATTTGATGAATTCAGGGATACATTAGAAATGAAGTTAACAAACTTTCAGCTAAAAGGGTCAGACTGTGTTACTCTAGGGAGACGAAATACGAAAGCATTTTTGTTGTATGACTACTGGTGGGTAGCAGATTCTTGTTTATGAGTGAGTTAGAAGCCAGTAGGGAAGATCCCACTTGTTACTTAAAAGTTTGGTGTTATCACTAAGTAATACATTTCAAGTGATAGTTCTTAAACCTCACTTAACAGACGTCTTCACACAAATACATACGAAGGATCTGAAGGAAATGTTCAGTCACCTCTAACATTCTGTTTAACTATACACATGATCGCACGAAAACGTGATAGGGTATCATAAGGATAACTGATGGAGAGGTGTAATAGCAAGCAAACCATAAGCAGAGAAAAACTGGATTCATTGTGGACTGGTTTTCAAAGCTTTCTATCCTTTACTAAGCTCAGGGAAATATCTTGTTTCATTCACTGAATAAATATCCCATATACTAGATATCAAACTAGATTTTAATAATAGTTGCATTTAAATGAAGTCAGTAAATCTTTCATAAACTGTGCAGATTAAAAATGTCCACTAAAAAATGTTTTGAACAGAAAAAGAATAACGATTGGAGCAGAATAATATGGTACGGTCTTTGCAAGAATTGGTACGGAATCACTCTCCTGTCCACCCCAAGCAAAATATTATGCCGCATCATCCTGGAGAGACTAAAGGATGCACTGGATTCAAAACTGCGACCAGAACAGGCTGGATTCAGGAAGTACAAATCATGTGCCGACCAAATTGCAACGCTACCCTACGCATCATCATAAAACAGAGCCTGGAATGGCAGTCGTCAACTCTCTACCTCAACTTCATCGACTTTGAAAAGGCCTTCGACAGCGTCGACCAACAAGTAATTTGGTAGACAGTTGCCTCAGCACTACGGAATACCACAAACCTTTATCAATCTCATTCAACAACTATATGAAGACTCCACATGCCAAGTAATTCACAATGGGAACCTCAGTGATGCCTTTGAAGTGAAGTGAAGACAGGAGTAAAACAAGGCTGTCTACTATCACCGATGATATTCCTGATTGTAGTGGACTGGATCATGCAACAAACAGTGAGGAGCGAGGAGAGCGGGATACGCTGGACCGCGGAAAAGAACCTAGAAGATTTGGATTTTGCCGATGGCTTGTGTCTCATATCACACAAACTTGAAGATCTACACGCGAAAACTAACAAGTTGGCAGAAGAGGTGAGGCAGCGAAGACTGCACTTCAAGTGAATAGAGAGAAGACACAAGTGATGAAAATACCCGACCAACAACAACAAGCTCCGATCACCATCAATGGGAGAAACTTAAAGGAAGCAGCCTCTTTCCCCTATCTAGGCAGCACTGTTTCAACTACGGGTGGCACAGATGAGAATGTCAAAGTCAGGATCGGAAAGACAGCAAGACAGGTCTTCGTCAACGTGAAACCAGTGTGGAGATCTACTGCACTCAGCATAAAGAACAACATCCGGATTTTCAACACCAACGTCAAGTCAGTGCTTCTGTATGGCTCAGAGACTTGGCGCGTTACAAAAGGGATTTCCAATAAACTACAGACATTCATCAACAACTGCCGCCTACACTGGCTCGTTACCGAAGCTCAGATGGCCAGAAAGAATAAGCAACAAAGAACTCTGGCAACGAACTAACCAAGGACCTATCGCTCAACAAATATGCAGGAGAAGAAAGTGAACATGGATTTGGCATACATTGAGAAGGCCGACTGGGGACATCACGCGTCATGCCAAGCCCTCGAGTAAAACCCAGATGGACAACGGCGAGTTGGGCGTCCGAGGGTGACATGGAGGCGATCATGCGAGGGAGAAATGAGAGCTTATGGGCAGTCGCGAAGCCAGAACAGAGTGCACTGGAGACGTACTACTGAAGCCCTATGTTCCATTAGGAACCCAAGGGATGAATAATATAATAATAATAATTTGGTACGACCTTATTCCACTGGTTTCTCATCAGCTGCTTACAATTAAAAAACACTTAAATGCGATATCACATAAGAATTAGATGATACTTTTTACAGTCAGGAGAAGTAAGACAAAATGAAAAGGTTAAATAAAGAATTCAATCATCCAGATAAAGCTAACAAGACATGCTAAGAAGTTTGTTATGTGTGATTCAACAGACAGTTTGAGAAAGTAATCAGTAGTAATAAAAGATTACTTCAGAAGATTAATATGTAGGTTATTTGATGACAAATAACAGATAAATTACATGCTTATCGGCAAAATGATCACCAAGATTTTGAGGAAAAGATGATGTCATCAAATAATAAGAAGAGTCAAATATTACGTTACTACGACAATAAGAAACTTATCACTGCTTTTTCCTGAAAACAAGATTTCGGTTTCAGTCGTCCTATCGCTGAGACCTCAGTGACTCTGAGAAGGTTTAAATTAGGATGTTTTGTATCGACAAAATACTTCGTGACTGTACTACCAGGAACCCTTGCTTTTTTGAGAAGTGTTAAGAGAATCTAAGGTATGCCATTTTCTCTTTCCTCCGTATATACAGATGCTTGTGAACTTCTGCACACAATAAGAAGTAAAATGGGGACTAAACCTATCAACTTTTGATTGTCCAAAGGAGCATGGTGTTCTGTAGAGAAGGATTAACCCGGTTGCAGGATATTTTCTGTTCAGTGTGACATTCAGCCTTCTTTTAATTCAATCAGAGACATCGTGACCTTTGAAGTTAAGTTCAACAAAAGCAGGTTTTTTGCTTATTGTAATTCTCTGTAAATTTTCGTCTTCAGATCTTTCATGTTTATCGACAAATTTCAGTGTATAACAGTTGTCTCAAATGGCTGCTTCAGTGTTCATCAAATCTCTCCAGTTTATCACTTGAACATACCCTTCTAGATCAATGATATAGCGTTTTCACAAATAGTTACTTAAAATTGGTTTGATCAACCTTGTTGAAACCTAGGTAAAATTCACTTCATGTAGTCTTTCAATGAATCAGCCTCTGAGTAGTACCATCATTCCTAAGTTACAAGGCAATTTCTAAAACTCTGTACTTATCATTGCATTCGTGTTCAAGAGTGAAACTGATGCTTTTGTGAGTATCAATGAAGAGCACTATAAAGTAGGATGCATGATATAGGTTGTTTTACGATAAATTTATTCAATTCACTCATCTAAAGGGTTAACGGAAAGCGAACTGAGACACAGAAAATAGTTGAGTCAAAAACTCATATCCGCTGTAGAAATATTCAAAATAAAAACCGAAATTTCTACTTGAAAATTAGACATTATTTACTTGAATCAACTTCGTCGAAGAACGCCTGAAAAATCAAAACTTTATTTCTCAGTCATACGTTTTCAACATATAAGTGCGTTTTAGTAACAGGTGCGAATAAATGACATGTTAATGAGGGAAATTCTCTCATTTTCTGATGTTTGTCTTCGTGTATTATCTTTTCAGTTTACGATATACTATTCAAGTTGTTGAATATGATACATTTAGCTGAAACCATTATTGATGTTGCTTAGAATAGTAACGCAAGCTACGTCACTGAGCCACCTAGCTAAAAGAAAGTGATGCCAACGTTAATTTGACATTTTCTAAAGAAAAAACTTTCAGCATACTTAATGTAACAAAATTGTGAACTGGCGTTCAAAGCATATATATATATATATATATATATATATATATATATATATATATATATATGCTAACTGAAGAGAACAATAACTGAATCTGGGTTAACATACGCATCTGAGTATTCGGATTTATTTCCATTGGTTTCATTGCTGTTGATGGACCAACTATTGGTTTCGTTCGTGTAATTCTGTAGGTATGTGAAGAAAAATGAAAAAATGGCTCACACTTGAACTGAAGTACAAAGTCCAAGGATTTCCATTTTAAACATATGTGTTCTTCATTCGTATCCCATGCAGTGGGAATGTAGTGGTTTTACTGACTGTTACTAACAAATAGTGGAGAACTACTATAATACATTGCATTGTGAACGAAAGTAAGAATATTAAGTTAAAATCTTTAAATAAGTCAGTAAATTTATTCATATTCAAATTGATAGCTGCATGAAATTTTCAGTGTATTGGTTGTTAAAGTGATAAACTGATATGCTTGTTTGAATCAATAACTACTACTACACCAGCATTACGGCAAGTATTAAAAGCATATGAGGCATGGCAGTTTCAGTTGAGTATATCGAATAGTGTCATTTGATGTAGTTTTGTTCTCTCTATTGTGGTGCTGCTATCCATAGTGATGTTTTTCCCTTAGTATATTTGTCAAATTTATAGCGATAGACTGAGAAACTTTTAGAACTTTCGCATGAGTATTTGATACAATTTTAAGGTCATAATTAGACAATTAAAACAGAGTATACTTGATGTAATATATATGAGATGGTAAAATTTGGTAACCCAGAGGTTTAAGTAGGCAGTCGACTATTATTATTATTGTTTGAAGTAGATGCTAGAAGTGAAGAAACTTGAACCAATGTTTATATAGCCGTCTGAGATCTTGAAAATGAGACATTTTCATCATGTAGTTGGTTATTTGCTGTCTAATCAGTAAAAGAACCAAGTTACGTGAACTGGCTATCCAGAACAATCAGTCACGAGCAGTCTACAGTAAAATGTTCATTCAGAAATAATTTGCATGCACTTGCGTATTTTAGGTAAACTGAGAAATATTGCAATTATAATGTTTCTGCCTTTGATGACTCGACACGTAAAGAAAATTTATTCATCACAATGAATGTGAACGATAAGTTCACAAGTTATATAATTATGTTTATTGTCATCAATGTTTCTTTCTGAGTTCAAATATTCTGCCAAATAAACTAGGTGGCATTTAAGGACTTGCTCTGCTACTCATTTAAGGGGGTCAAAGCTTGAACTTATCAAATATTTACTACTCATATCTCACAATGCTTAAAGCAAAAGGAATGTTATATTTACATTTCAAATTTCAAAAACAACCCACCTATACTGTTCTAATTTTTTAAGCAATACACTCCAATAACTGTCATCATCGAAGAGGAGGCATAGACGGCAAAGGGTTGAGCACAAATCCCACATTTGATATTTCTTAGCTAACTTGATCAGATCGAACCACATGAGTAATCTGCAAGCAATCGAAATATTTGGAAATTCTTCTAATAAATTATATCATAATACCTACGGCTAAATTACTTCATGTCAAATGAAAAGTAACTTCATCAATGCAAATCAAATATAGCTCATTATGAGTTCCCGTCACCTGACTTCATCATTAGAATCAAACTAGCATTGAATACTTGTCAATATGACGTATGTTATCATCCAGTAGTATACTCCTGAATGACATGAGTAGTTAGAAACAACTCAGGCTGGGCTCAGGATTTTGATAGTCAGATCAAAGTAAACACCAGATGACCATGTGACCTGTTTAAGGCTGAGCTCATCAACAGTGTACTCGGACATATGCAGCTGAGTAGTTTTCTAACTTCTAAGTTGTGGTATTAACAAGGTTTGCGTTAGAAACCACAAGGTGTGATATCTGACATAAAAATGTCAAATACTAACGAAATATACAGCTGGGAGAAATATCAACGTGAACCATGCAATTTGTAAATCATTTGCAAATAATCATCGGAAACCGGCCCATGAAAGTCAGCTGGCCAGATTCAGGTGATTTGAACAGTTTGGTTCTTTGAGCTAATTTTATCCGCGTACTCTGTTGCTGAGCTCGGTCCAAAACGAACGAAACGAACATCCTTTGCCTAGAACGAAATCGACAGATCAGCCTGACTCGTTTCCAACTACTTATGTTGCTCAATAATGTATTTCGACGGTAATGAAACTTTTGTGTCACAGAACACACCTTGGAATCTTAGTTCAGTGGCTTCTAAAGGAAACCCTTTTGACAAAACAGTTGGACAGTTGGAAAACTAATTAACTGTGAAAAATATCAACGTGATTATAGCTATTTGCAAATCATTCGCAAGTAGTTCATCCTAAAATCGCATAAAATTGTTAGTAGTTTCATAAGTGAATATCAATATGAACCAGATATTGCCGCAAAACGGTTCAAGTTGACATACCTGATATCAGTACATTAAGATACAATGTGACAAGATAAAAGGTAGAGAAATATTCAAAAATGCGGTCAAAACTCATAAAAAGTTACATGAGAAGATGAGGGAGAAGGTTAAAACAATAATAAAGTGTGATATATTGACCGAGATGAACATAAGGCGTGGATACATTTTCACTGTTGTGATCTATTTTTAGTTCCATGGACCCTAACCATGGAAGTGCACATCTCTTTACACGGATCAAAAGAACATTCACAAACTTTTCAAACTGATGCCACTGGTGGATTGCAGCTATGTATACTACTAAAATGTACATTCACAAGTTATAGAAAAAGATTTTAATCTTAACTCAAAAGATCCCCAAGCTATTCAATACATTTTATTGAAATTTTCACTTTTTTCAGTGTCATTTATACTAAAATTATTCATGAAGAAGCCTTCAATATGGAGTTAAAACAGGCTAGTTAGTTAAGATAATTTTTGCTGGTAAGATATTCAGTTACACTATTTATCTGGCAAGTATTCTGGTTGCGTTTCAGTATAACGAGTTATACATTACATTTTTTACTTTCAACAAGTCTTTATTATTATTATTATTAGTCCCTTGGGTTCCTAGTGGAACATAGGGCTTCAGTAGCACGCCTCCAGTGACCTCTGTTCTCTGAGATCTTTTGAACCTGGTCCCACGACAGCCCAGAAGCTCTCATTTCCTGCTCGCACGACCTCCTCCATGTCACCCTTGGACGTCCAACTCGTCGCTTCCCATGGGGATTCCACTCGAGGGCCTGACGCGTGATGTCCTCAGTCGGCCTTCTCAGTGCATGGCCAATCCATCTCCACTTCTTCCTGCATATTTGTTGCGTGATAGGTTCTTGGTTGGTTCGTTCCCAGAGTTCCTTGTTGCTTATTTTTTCTGGCCATCTGATCTTCAGCAGCGAGCGTAAGCAGTTGTTGATGAATGTCTGTAGTTTATTGGAAATACCTTTCGTGACGCGCCAAGTCTCTGAGCCATACAAGAGCACTGACTTGACGTTGGTGTTGAAAATCCGTATCTTGTTCCGCATGCTGAGTGCAGAAGATCTCCACACTGGTTTCAGGCTAATGAATGCCTGTCTTGCTTTTCCGATTCTGACTTTGACGTCCTCGTCCGTCCCGCCTGTAGTTGAAACAGTGCTTCCTAGATAAGTGAAGGAGGTTACTTCCTTTAAGTTTCTCCCGTTGACAGTGATTGGAGTTTGTTGTTGTTGATGGTGGTGGTGCGGTATCTTCATCACTTCTGTCTTCTCTATATTCACCTGAAGTCCCGTCTTCGCTGCCTCTTCTATCAACTTGTTAGTTTTTGCCTGCAGATCTTCAAGTTTATGTGACATTAGGCATAAGTCATCGGCGAAATCCAAGTCTTCTAGGTTCTTTTCCGTCGTCCAGTGTATCCCCCTCTTCTCGCTGCCTACTGTTTGCTGCATGATCCAGTCCACCACAATAAGGAATATCATGGGGGATAGTAGGCAACCTTGTTTCACTCCTGTCTTCACTTCAAAGGCATCACTGAGCTTCCCATTGTGGATTACTTGGCATGTGGCATCTTCATATAGTTGTTGAATGAGGCGGATAAAGGTTTGCGGCACTCCGTAGTAATGAAGCAGCTTCCAAATTACCTCTCGGTCGACGCTGTCAAAGGCCTTCTCAAAGTCGATGAAGTTGAGGTGGAGAGGTGATTGCCATTCTATGCTCTGTTCTATGATGATGCGAAGCGTTGCAATTTGGTCTGCACATGATTTGTACTTCCTGAAGCCTGCCTGTTCCGGTCGTAGTTTTGAATCCAGTGCATCCCTTAGCCTCTCCAGGATGATGCGGCTTAATATTTTACTTGGGGTGGACAGGAGAGTGATTCCGCGCCAGTTCTTGCAAGCACTGAGGTCTCCCTTCTTCGGCAGTTTGACAAGGTAACCCTTCTTCCAATCGTCAGGTACCTTCTCTTCCTTCCACACCTTCTGCAATAGTGGTGTGAGCATGGCCGCTGTTGTCTCTGCATCTGTTTTCAGTGCTTCTGGCGGTATTCCATCTGGTCCTGCTGCTTTCCCACATTTCAGTAGCTTTATGGCGTTCAGGACTTCCATTTTCGTTGGGGGATTAATGTTCACTTGTAGTTCAGCGGCTGCAGGTGGTATTTCTGGACGAAGTGCAGGTGGTGGTCGATTCAAGAGCTTCTTGAAGTGGTCGGCCCATCGTTTCCTCTGTTTCTCTTCTTTTGTAATTAAATTTCCTTCTTCATCTTTTATTGGTTTCATCTGTGTTGGTCTCTTCCCTGACAGCAACCTGGTTATTTGATACAATGTCGTCAGGTCTCTCTTACCTGCAGCCTGTTCTGCTTCACTTGCCAGTGTTTCGTAGAAGTGTCTTTTGTCGTTGCGTGCACTCTTCTTCACTTCTTTGTCCAGTGTTTTATACATTGTGCTCAGTTCCTCTTGTCGTTGAGCATCCTTGCACTGGTTTATCTTCCGCTTCACCATCCTCCTCTCCTCTATCAGCTTCCAGGTATCCGTCGAGATCCATTCCTTGTCTTCCACCTTCTTCCTTCCTAATACTGTTGTGCAGGTTTCTTTCCACATAGCTTTCAAAGACTTCCAATGTTCTTCCACACAGGTTTCTTCAGGGATGTTGCTCGATGTCTCCCATTTTGTCTTGATGGCTGCCTTGAAGATCTCCTTTGTAGTTTCATCCTTCAGTTTCCGAGTGTTGTACTTGAATTGAGGTCTATCACCAGCTTCCTTGAAGGCTTTTAACTTGATTTGGAAGGTTCCTTGCACTAGGTAGTGGTCTGAACCTACATCTGCTCCTCTTCTTGACCTCGTGTTAAGTAGACTGCGTCTCCATTTTCTTGAGATTGAGATAAAGTCGATTTGATTTTTAGTGTGTCCATCTGGTGAAATCCATGTCGCTTTGTGGATATCTTTGTGCCTGAACACACTGCCTCCAATCACCAAATCGTTGAATGCGCAGAATTCTGCAAACAATTCTCCATTCTCATTCATTTCACCTAGTGCCTCTCGACCCATGGTTAGTTCTCTTCCCGTGTTGTCCCCTCCCAGTTTGGCATTCATGTCGCCCATCAGAATTTTGATATCGCCAACTGACGTCTTGTCCAGTGTTGATTGAAGTTGTCTGTAGAAATCCTCCTTTTTCTCTTGCTCTGCATTATTTGTAGGTGCATAACATTGTATGATTGTGACCTTTCTTCCTTTTGAGTTGAATCTTGCTGTCATGATCCTGGAGGAGATTGGTTCCCACTGCATGAGAGCCTTCGATGCTCTTGAGGACATCATGATAGCCACTCCCTCAGTGTGCTCGTGGTTGGCGTCTGGGTGACCGGAGTAGATTATTGATTCTCCAGTTGACAGTTTGGAGAGTCCACTCCCATTCCATCTGCTTTCGCAAATCCCAAGCACTTCGATGTTATACCTTCTCATCTCCCTTGCAATCTGGGCTGCCTTACTGGGTTCAAACATCGTGCGGACATTCCATGTCCCCACGTTTACTTTCGCTTTCATCGAGAGAAGACACATCGGCCAATTGGCTTCCCGAAGGCTTTCACCAACTGGCGTCATTTCGCCTCTCCGATTCCAGCGGGGAATAAGTTTGTTTTCATTTTTTATATTTTGTTTGTGCTTTGAAGTTTCTTTAGCGGTTAGATTTGTTTTACGGGGTAGGGTTGCTAGCCCTATGCCCAACCTTCCCTCTTTACCCGGGCTTAGGACCGGCTAGTAACTAGTAAACTAGTTAACCAGGCGAGGTTATTCAACAAGTCTTTAGAACCTTAAAACTCTACTGGAACTGGATGTCAACATTTTTCAAATTTCAGTTACACTACTCAGCTATGAGTAACTGACCTCATAAAAGTGAATGAACTGAACTAGAGTTTCGTAGTAGAAACTGATTCTTTCACTTTGAGTACAGTTTTATAGACGAATTAGTAGCCAACGTGTACTTCATTAAACTGAATTATTCGTAACTTAAACTCATGAAGTCAAAGACTAAACGACCAACCGTTAGTATGCTTTCTTTATTAATTTTTAGCATACTAGCCGAAACCTATTAGTGACACAGTCCCTTTGAGAGACTTGTGAAGCTGTGACGCAGTGGTTTAAGTAGATGACTATCGACTAGTGAGTCTTGGGTTCGAACCCCACTCTGCCTACCGACGATAGGGCAACCAGGTAGTAGTGTCACTAGCCGTCACACAATAGTTGTGGGTCATTGTCTATCGCACAGATGTGTACAAGGTGACTGCGTCCTGTTTTGTAGAACTTGATGAGAAACATTTGAGTCTGAATGACTTGGAAATTACTGTTGCACTCAAAAATCTAGCCTGTTTCATCTGGTATGAGATGCTCAGGGTTTATTCTCATACTAATGAAATCTGAGTTATACAAGCATCTATAGAGCCGAAATGCAGTTCATACACCAATTTTTAAAAGAAAGAAAATAAAGGTATAAGTTCTGGTAACCAGTTAGGGTTTGTCCAAGTTTTTTAATTGACTATCAACGCTTATAATACCTATTATCTTCACTGTATATCAATCGGTCTACACCAGACATACTGATTGGTTATTATATCATCTAGTAATAAGCGCTGAATAAACTCCGTTGAACTACTTTATAGAGTATTAATCAATTTTAGCGACTTAGCTTGCTTTGAGAAGAATAAGTTAAGTTTACTAACTGACAGGAAAAAAAGAGTGATCAAGAAGATAGTCTTACTAAGCTTTCATATAACTTGCAATTAAGTTGTCTACTCAGTGAGTGAATCCACATTTAACTAAATATATCCGAAATGTATTTAAAATACTGTTGATGCGTTAATTTAATTTATTCCGAAGTGATAGTAAAGATTAAAATAAGTCTTCACAATTACGACTACTGCTTTTTAGGCTTTGATTCTTTAAGGAAAATAACTACACTATTTGGACTTTGATAGAAGCCAGTATGTTTTAAAATTTCAACCATTACAAAGTATTAAATGTATAAAACTGATGATTGCTTATCAAAAATGTCGAACAGTTCATAAATATCTTTAGTTTATCGAGTAACCGTGAAATTGTTTTGCTTCTCCTTCATTTATGGTAATTTATGAATTCCAAATTGAGTGTCTAAAAGTGACAGATTTGATGTTCCGTTTATAGGTGTGCTGTTGTTTGTAACTTTAAATAGGTTAGTGATTAAGGTCAATCTGCATAGTGTATCTTATTATGTTGATGAGCTTTACAGTATATATATATGCAGTTGCTCCTGGAAGATGATTTTTAACTGAATAAGACTCAAACCTTGAAATATGCAGCAACTGAAATTATATGTTAACCACTAATCATATTATTCATGAGTATTTGAACCAATCAACTCATACCAGCAAAGATTAAAAAGAAAATATTACAACCCCTTAAATTTCTATTTTTCATGTTGAGTTGTAAGACACTGGAGCTTCTAGATGGTCATCTGAATTGGAGGAACTCAACAGATAGTCAATGATTAGATATTTTGGGAGATAAAGTACAGTTTAAATCAATACAAAAACACTTACTTTTCATTTATTTCAAATTCAATATTCTCATGAATTGCTTCGCTATACGTTTTAATGGCATCATTAACTTGTATCCAAATTTGTTTGAAAGAACTAAGTCGAAATAATATCTCATCAGGATTTTTATTTTTATGTGTTATTAACGTAGCTGTATCATTAAACAAAACTGTTTCAAGTCGAAAGACTTCTTCGAATATATTTTCATCTATCAGTTTACTGATATGAACTATTAATGTTCGCTGGGAATGTAAGTGTCAAAAACAATAAAAATAAAAGTTAAATTTGCTTAAAAAAAGTTAAACTGGTCAATCAAAAACACTGATAGGCAAAGTTCATCAATTAGAGAATAAATTTAGGCATTAATTTGACTGAAGCGAAATCCTCAATGCACTATGTTAAATCTAAATTGAATTCATAATTTTCATTGTGGCATCAAAAACAAAGATATCCAACGAAAATGACTCCTTTCAGTGGATTTATTAGCAAGCTGTTGGAAAACACCTTCCAGACTGGCTTTATAAAAAGAAAGGAAATGTATTAAAGTTCTTTTCTCGGATATTTAGTAGATTCCAGCCGTTTAACCCACCCGAATAGTCATTTTAAGGTTTTCTGTCGAATTCGCTCGAATAACTCACTTTTTCTCCGTCTTCAACGAATAAAAAAGCAGAGGTTTTAGTTATCTACGGTCTGAAACATCGCCTGGTTAACTTGTTCACTAGTTACTAGCTGGTCCTAAGCCCGGGTAAACAGGGAAGGTTGGACGCAGAGCTAGTAACCCTAACCCTGAAAACAAACCCAATCCCTAGAGAAACTTAAAACAACCAGGAAAATATAAAGAAAAAATAAACTTATTCATCACTGGAATTGGAGAGACGAAATGACGCCGGTTAGTAACAGCAATCCAGAAGCCCACTGGCCGACGTGTTTTCTCATCTCTCGATGAAAGCAAAAGGAAAAATGGAGACATGGAATATCCGTAACATGTATCAACCTAGCTAGGCTGTCCAGATTGTAAAAGAGATAAGAAGCAGACTCTCCAAACCCTTAACTGGGAAGTCAGTAATCTAATCGGATACTGTCACATAGATGACAACGACGAGCAAACTGAGTAACGATTTGGCTATCATGATCTCCCCAACAGCATCGAAGGCTGTCATCCAGCGAAAACCAGTCTCCTTCCGCAGGGTCATGACAGCAAAATGGATTCAACTCAAAACAAAGGAAAGTCACAATCACTAAATGCTACCCACCTACAAATAACGCAGAGCAAGAGAAAAATGAGGAATTCTACAGACAACTGCAATCAGTACTGCACAAGACCACTCACTACCCAGTTGTCGACGTCAAAATTATAATGGGTGGGGTGACATGAATGTGGACAACACAGGAAGAGAACTCATCATGGGTGGAGAGGCACTCGGCGACATGAAGGAGAATGGAGAACTGTTTGCAGATTTCTGTGCATTCAACGATTTGGTGACAGAAGGCACTGTGTACAAACACAAGGATATTCACAATGCAGCGACATGCATTTGATTTCATCAGACACCAGATGGACACACTACACTAAAAATCAGATCGACTTCATCCGAATCTGAAGAAAGTGGAGATGCAGCCTACTGGACATAACATCAGATCAAGAAGAAGAGGAGCAGATGCAGGTTCACACCAATCACTATCTAGTGTAAGGAATCAGCTTCAAAATCAAATTGAAAGCCTGCAAAGTAGTTGGTGATAGGCCACAGGTCAGGTTACACACCCAGAACAAAAACTGAAGCACGAGACTTCAAAGGACATCTTCACGTCAGCTATCAGAACAAAATGAGAGTCACTGAGCAACATTCCTGAAGGAACCTGTGTGGAAGAACACTGGAAGAGCACTCTTTGAAAGCTATGTGGAAAGAAAGCTGCATAACCGTATTAGGAAGGAAGAAGAAGCAAGGTGAGACAAGGAATGGATCTCCACTGACACATGGAAGCTGATGCAGTAGGGAGAGGAAGATGGTGAAGCATAAGACGAACAATGCAGTGCAAGCATGCACGACGAAAAGAAGAAGTGAGTACAACCTGTACAACACTACACTGGACAAAGAAGTGAAGAAGAGTGCACGCATAGACAGTAGACACTTCTACGACACATTGGCAAATGAAGCAGAACAGGCTGTAGGCTGGTAGGCGAAACCTGACAACACCATGTCAAATAATCAGTTTACCATCTCGTAAGAAAGAGATCAACACAGACGAAACCAATGAGAGATAGTGAAGGAAAGCTAGTTACCAAAGAGGAGAAATAAAGGAACAATGGGCTGACCACTTCATAAGCTCTTGAACCGACCACCATCACCACCTGCAACTCGTCTAGAAATACCACCAGCAACCACAGAACTACCAGTGAACACAAGACCTCCGACAAAAGCAGAAGCCCTGAATGCCATAAAATTGCTGAAATCCGAGAAAGCAGCAGGACCAGATGGAACTCCACCACAAGCACTGAAAACAGACTCAGAGACATCAGCGGCGGACATGCTCACACCACACCACTACTGCACAAGGTTTGCAAGGATGGAAGGAACGAAAGGTACTCCCCACTTATTGGGAGAACAGCTAGCTTGTCAAACTCCCAAAGAAGTGAGACCTAAGCCTTTGCAAGAACTGGTGAGAAATCAGCTGCTGTCCACCCAAAGCAAGCAAAATATTATGCCGCATCGTCCTGGAGAGACTAAAGGATGCGCTGGATTCAAAATTACACCCAGATCAGACTGGCTTGCTGACTTCAGGAGGAGGAAATCATGTGTGGACCAAACTGCAACACTACACAACGATACGCTTCATCATAGAAGAGAGTATAGAACGGCAGTCAACTCTCTACTTCAACTTCATCGACATTGAAACGGCCTTCGACAGCGTCGACTGAGAGGCAATTTGACAAGCAGTTGCTTCAACACCACGCTTTTAGTGCCACAAACCTTTATCAATCTCATTCAACAGCTATATGCTGCTGCTGCTGCTGCTGATGATGATGATGATGATGATGATGATGATGAGGCCACATGCCAGGTGAGCCACAATGGAAAGCTCAGTGACGCCTTAGAAGTGAAGACAGGAGTAAGACAAGGCTGCCGCCTACTATCACTAGTGCTCTCCCTGATTGTGGTCAACTGGAGTGGATCATGCAGCAAACCGTGAGGAGCGAGAAGAGGGGCTAACGCTAGCTGGATAGATGAAAAGACCCCAGAAGAAGGTTTTCATTTCGCCGATGATTATTTGTGTCTAATGTCTTGTGGCACAAACTCGAAGATCTACAAGCGACAACTAGCAAGTTGACAGAAGAGGCAGGGCAGCGAAAACGGGACTTCAAGCGAATTTAGAGAAGATGGAGGTGATGAAGATACCCAACCAACAACAGCATCAACAACAAACATCAGTCACCATCAACGGGAGGAACCTAAAGGAAGTAGTCTCTTTCATTTACCTAGGCAGGGCAGCATCGTTTCTACTACAGGAGGCACAGGCACAGACGAGGATGTCAAAACAAGGATTGGAAACACAGCAAGACAGACCTTCCTTCATTAGTCTGAAACTTAACTCAGCATGAAGTGTGAACAAGATCCGCATGTTCAACACTAATGTCGGTCAAGTCAGTGTTTCTATATGGTTCAGAGACTTGGCGCGTCATGGAATGCACTTCCAACAAACTACAGACATTCATCAACAGCTACCGTCTACGCTAGTTCACTCGATACTGACACTGAAGATCAGATGTCCAGAACGAAAAAGCAACAGAGAACTCTGAGAACAAACCAACGAAGAAGCCATCACCCAACAAATATGCAGGAGAAAGTGGAAATGGATTGGATTGAGCATACACTGAGAAGACTGATTGGGGATATCAAGCACCAGGTCATGCCGTCGATTTGAACCCTGATAGAAAACGATGAGTTGGGCGTCTGACGAGACAGTGACATGGAGGAGATGGTGTGAGGAAGAAATGAAAGTTTGTTGGCAGTCGTTGCGGCAGGTTGAAAAGACTGCACGTTCCACTCTAGGTGAGGACTCCTACGCACAGTTGCTTGCTGAACAGTTCGGCGATAGCGTTTGGAACGCCACTGCCCAGCGGCTACGACTAGTGAATGCGACGTCAAGGCTATCAGCACGGCTGCAAGTGCGAAGTTTTGACAGGAGAACGAGTGTAATGGGTGCTACTCATTAGAATAAATGTAAGTAATATATATTGAGAGGTCGGAAGAATTCGCGGACAGTTACGAGTGATGGGTAAATATTCTGTATAGGGAAGCGGAAAAGATGACGTGACCGTATAAAAAGCAAGGCGACATAGAAGAATTAAAGGAATTAAAACGTATTATGTAATTGAAATTTCAATGGAAAGGTTATAATATTTTATCAGTAAAGTACAAGGCATCATAATTGCAATTCCTTCTGCGATTCATCATTTGCCGTTTTCTTCCACCATATTTTCATCTCTTTGTTATCTATATACGCCAGATAAACGACTTTAAAAAATCTGACATGACTTCTTCTTTCTTATGAATCAACCTTTATGTCATCAACTAGCAACATTATTATTACAGACATGATTGGTTTTATTGCAGTCTGTCATTATTTTGGTTTAGTCTTCCTCACGGATTTCAGTCTTTAGATATCACATGTCTACGAATGTACAGCTTGAGAATAAATCCCAAGGAGCCCACATACCAATAGAAACCGATCAATTCGGTACAATCAACTATGGTATAACATAGGCAATAACACTAAAACCATACCAGTCGAGAAAGAAGTGACCATCTTGGATCAGTGGTCTAGTGGATAATGCTCTAGCATTTGAAGTTATCGGTCCCAAGTTTGAGTCGAGCTGGGAGCAACATAACTAACTGGAAAACAGGTACGTCCAGCTGACGAGTCCTAAATAGGACGAAATGTGCATCTTGGATTCCACTGCTAACCACTATTCATCTTAACTATGAAATTCAAAGTAGCTAAAATTGTTCGATAAAATATCTTGAATCTTGATTTCGTTTTTGATGTTTATCTGCTAGATGCACATAAAAGTCATGTTTTCTCGAAATTCCACAAGCACCTCGTTGTGTACCATGATAAGATATGAAATACGTGTACTGAAGTGGATCTTTGAAACCAGGTGATTCAGCAAAATGTTGTGCCACGTAAATAGATTACTTTACTCCAACTTACGTTGCTGGGTTTCAATTTGAATAAAATAAATAGTCTTGTTTACAAGGTGTGTTTGAAATCACAATGATAATTAAGTGATTTAGTTTCTGACAAAAGTGACAGAATAAGGTTTGTAGGCTTCAAAAGTTACAGACATAAAGAAAAGTACAACTCCTACCTGAAGATGATAAAAGAGTTTCAGAAGGTCTCCGATGATAATTTAGGGTAGTTGATTCCGGGGAAATGAGTGATATGCTGAGATTTTCAGAAAGTTTGAGTAGCAAGTCACCCTTAAGTTAGTCAGAGAACCAAGATACAAGCTCTTGTAAATATAAACTGTAAGATGATGAAAAATGTTAGCCACAAAGCTATACAAGAAATGCTGAGTTACGCTTCTTGTAAGCTTACTACTGACCCTACTAATGTAAGTAAATAAGACAGTTTCTGCTAGATTATCAGAAAAGAACATACTTGACTATACAGGATGATTTTTATAAAATTTTAGGTTCATGAACGGGTGCTCAAAATGCCATTTCAGTCAACTTCAGGTAAGGACTATCATGCAACAAACTATTCTGATCGCTCAAGAAGTTCATCATGTATTCAAAGCCATTGATCACTATATATTCAAAACTGGATAAACTTCAAGATGCTCTTGAACAGCAGGTAGACCAATATGACATGGATAACTGATAGTTCAACTACGCCTTCGGATAATATTACATTTAATGAAGTGCACGGTATATTGGTGTGGCGTTGATTGATATAAAACATGAAATGTTTGGAGTAAAGTGACATAAAAGTTTTCCTTTGGGTGACAAAATAACCCTCTGTGATTGGCTAAAATGCGATCAGCCTGAATTAGCAGCTTTGACACCAGTGCCTAAATATGTAACCTCATTTTACCTGTTTTTGAATTAATCTGAAAAATCATGATTGCATGACTGCTTCAAAGAAATGACAAAAACCCAATTGTATCTTTAGGCTAGTTGTCGTTAACTGACTCAAATATCAGACTTGTTGAATCTTAATCGAAAACTATAATAAGCATTCACATGCTTTCGTGGTTTTATACGTTTCAGGGCTTAGTAACACATCATGTATCTGGACATAGAAGCAAATTATGTGACCAAATTATCCTAAGTAGTTCTGTTTACACTTTGTTCATTCTATTTTGCCAATAACTGGAAGTCATACTTCTTCCTACATACAGAATATGAAGCTACTTTTCTCAGTTTCGAAAGCCACAATAGGCTGATGATAAATACATGACAATCAACCAAATCGATGACTCCATAGAAAAAAATCATGAATGAGACTGAAGTAGAGAGATATTTTCAAGTGAAGTTGATTATTTACATATACCTGTGAAAGAAAGAAGACTTTACACCAATAACAATAGATTGAATGCTTTCGTTTGTTCCAGCTGTTTCAGAACGAATTGACCAACTACATTGTTTGGAAGTATTGGGTTGAACTTGCCTTTATTTTCCTTATCACTTTCCCTGTATTGCTTGTATCGACAAGAATACTGTAAAATTTGACTGTATGGTTAGATTTTTGTTATTTCAAGAGAATTGTCGGTTTTTAGTGCCTTTTAGTACTTTTGTGATAACTCTTACATTTATCAGATTCATGTTTTTATGCATTTCCCGTAAAACAGTGATTCTTAAGTCTCCAAAAAGCAATATTTCCTACAAAAAAAGACGTGAACAAGTAAGATCATCGTTTGTTCAGTCTCATCCTGTTAACGAAATATCAGATTTAAACAAATACCTTGCCACAAACATAAGACTGACTAATATGAAAAAACTAGATGAACTATTAGTATTTTCTCAATAACGATAATACTTGATGAACGGTCAAGTAGATAGATCTTTATTAGCAGTAAAGTATGACGGCTAGCAATGGAATCCATAATGCAAATGCCATTGTATTTATAGCTAATCAGTTAGACATAATTTTATCACAGCAATTTTACATTCGCACTGACATCTGAATTCGATATCTGTCCTTTCAAACAACAAAGTTTTGTCGACTGGAATACTGATTTATGATAGCCATTGTATTTACAGTGGTTGTAATCTGACATTATAGCTTATAAATTCCCGTTACTGAATGATCGCACTGAACCAATAGTCTGTTTTTCTGGCACACAGGTCCTTCAGTTTGATATCAAGATATAGTTAGTTATCATGTTCTATTTTTGCAGATAGTAACTATTTGGATGCACTAATGTTCTAGTGGTTGGTGGGGTTCTCAATCAACTGGCAACTAGCAGAACAAAATGTATGTCCTACATGCTACCCCCAGCTACCTCTAATAGACAGAAATACTCAGATGTTCAAATAAACTGCCTGACCGATTATCTCCAATTAATCCACAAACTATGTTATTTAATGACCGTTTCATTTTTGAATCAGAAGTTAAATATTCCTATACCCAAGATAAATGCAATAATAAATGGCTTTGAAAACCAAAGTTATCTAGCAAAATTACCACATTTGGAGACAATAGATAAAGATTTCCTATGGAAAAATTCCTCTTGTAGTTCGTTATTGCTAAACTGAAGTTGAAAATCTGCGATCAAAAGAAATGACTAATTGACTAGATCAATGCACATTGTGGTTCTACACTTCGCATTACAATTCACCAAGCTTTTCAGTCTCATATCAAAAATACTTCAACAGGAATTATGAAATAATCATAAAAATCTGCAACTAGTCATAGAATGGGGTGAAAAAAAGATTCGGATATTCTGTTCTTAAGTTTTAAGCATTATGAGAACAATATTTGCTAGTGTTACTGACATGCTCCGATGAATTTTAGAAGCGGCGAATAAAGTATGTGTCAGTAAACTTGGGCAGGTTCTTGCATTAGACAATGACCTAAAACAAATGGTGTAAGGATTGATAAAGCTACTTGTTTGCTAAAACCTCAATTAGTGGAGAGGTGATAGTAACTATGACCCACTGTTTGTGAGCCGACTGACAAGATAAATGTGCTGCAGATCATGATGATTAAAACTAACTGCGAACATATTTACTGATCCATCGGATACATTTTACATGTAATCATTACTAATCAATGGATCTTCAATGAAGAACTGAATTCTATATATATTTATGTTGAAACAAAGCAGTATGATAATTTTTTGAGTTATCTAGTAGTTGGGTCATAGTGTCTATCATAATCTAGATTGGTCAACGTACATGAACTAAACGCTACGTTAACAAGGAAAGAAAGCTCAACCTCACAATGTAATACATTTACTGTTGGGAAAATGAAGCTGACTAGCAGGACACTTCGTGTAGTAAAAACCCAGATTTGCTAAACATCATTAACAGGATATTTTATACTTTTCCCTGAGTTATTTCATATAGTTTTTCATTCAGGAATACTTGCGGAAAAGATATCATAGGCCCATTCAGCAGAGATTCATTTGATTCATCTCTGTCATTTTTAAGAGTCTGATACAAGGTGTAATCATTGCAAAAACCTCCATGAAAAAAAACCAAAAGAATGATAGGCGATAAATGTATTTAATTATTAATTTTAGATTTGAGAAGATAGTTGGAGATGAAGTTTCAATTCCGTGTCTACAAAGTTTTAACTGATAGGATCGTGTTCTGTAAATTTGGGAGGATGCATAGTAAAATGGGATTAGATTTAAATGTCTTCCTAAACACAGATGCCTCTTACATAAAGCAACCTCTAATAGTTCTCACAGAAGACCAAGCTACTCAATTCTTCAATGCACAATGATCCAGATTCTTAGAAACATGGTAATACGAACCAGACTGATGGTATTAAGGATAGCCTTCTTTACAAGTAACCTAAGTTACTGGCATTCTGTTTCACTTGAGAACTCGGTGATATGGTCTGTTTTGATTGAGGAACGATGATAAAAGTACCTATAAATCAAATTTTAATGTCATCGAAAGACTAAAAATGGAAGTTATAAAAACATATTCCTCTAAAGACTTAATCGTAGCTCTTTCTGCTATATCGCATAATTTCTTAAAGTTATACATCAGTTATAACCTTTTAATCCTGTGTTCTCAAAAAAATAATGAATGTGGGGCGTTTATTATCTTACCAACATCGTGTTGTAACAACTGTCTTCACAGTCAGTCAATTCCTTGGTATCGTTGAAAACATTCATATGTTTCAGAAGTTTAGTAATTTCATTTGATGATAAATTGTTTGTATTTTGTAGACGTTCAATAATCTGGCGTGCTTGTTCAATTTTTGTATCTGGAGTTTCATACAAATTGGAACGTAGTAATAAACATTTTTTTAAATAATTTAAACTGGCTGAAAATTCTTCTGTCTCATCGAATTTAAGTGCCTAAATAGGAGGAACAGTTTAAAAGGAAAACTAGTGACATGATAATAACTGGATATGAATAAAAATATTTCCATTATTATTATAAGATTAATCTTTCACTACTTTCTGGTTCTTATTTTCTGTCGGGTAGAATTACAGGCTTACAAAAAATTCCTAACCACCATCAGTGAAGACCGATTCAAGAAACCCAGTAACCATACATTCTATTACTTTCATTTCCTATAGTGAATTATCTTCATGATCAGGCTTTTTAGTGGAAAAGATAGAATCATTAACACGACTTCATGAAAAATTCCTCTCTTTTTTTGCTTATCATCTAGAATCAGTCTTTGAAGATTTCATTTAGATAACGAGGTAAGCATTGTACACAAAATTACTTCGTTCAAATAAAAATACAAGTAAATGGGTAAAATGTAAACGAATTATCTTAAAAACTGATATTAGTTACTAATTGTATCGCCACCAAGGCCTTAAGTTAACATGAACACATCTCATATCTTCCGTTGGAAATTGCTCTAAGAATACAACTTTGACGAAGACTTCTAGAAGGTAAGTACATTCAAAAAAGGTCTATTCTTGCATACTGAATATAGAATGTTATGAAGAAAGAAACATATCCCCTACTTACATCAACAGAAGTAAAATCTACTATAAATTCGAAAGTAAACTTTTATACTTCTAGATGCCAATCACTGAAAGTAATAATTCTTAATTTTAGTCCCAGAAAGACCATGAAGAAGCACTGGAGAGAAGTTTCACAGTTAACTAATTAATGTCCTCTGATTCCATTATTAGCCAAACTTACTTTGGGAAGTGATCAAAAGCATCTTCCAATTATATTATCAACATTTTATCTTTCGAAAAATGTCTTTTCAAAATAAAACTGTAGGAGTTGGCATTAAGCAATGAATTACAAATATTTTCTGTATATTAAAATAAAGTTTAATTTCTCATATACGCTCCAACATAATTAAATGTTATTAGACTTGTTTGATAGAGGTGAGTTAACTTCCTTTTTAAAAGGGATAGGACAACACTTAATCGATCAGGTGTTTTATGTGATTTGCTGTGAACCAAAGTAGCTCAATGGTTCAGGTGGTTAACTGACAACATGCACAAGGTTTCCGTATACATTTCGATTCGATTTCAATTGTTAGTGAACCAAATTACTATGGTTCGATTCTTTATCTTAAAACCATGATGTTATTACTATGATTTTATCAAACTGTATGTTCGTTCCAACCAATGAACTCTTAGTTGACGGATTGTATTCGTATTGTCAACTTCTTACGAAGTTATACATTTTTCCCACCAGGTGAATCTGGCAACAAAATCAGAATAGTATATGCAGGATAATATGAGTTCATTCAGAGTTAAGAAAGGAATACCCTTTATTTTTAGTATTCCAAAATATAAACAAAAAAAAACAAATTTAGCTCAATAACGTGAACATTTATAAGGCAGGCGAGCGAATGGGATAGAAACATGAAGAGCTTCTATAGATGTAGAGATAATAACGTAGTTATGTGGAAAGGTAACTGGAACTAATTAATACGTTATATATATATATATATATATATATATATATCCACAACCCCACCAGAAGTCGAACTTAAGGCTTTAGGTCGTCGGTTCGGATTTCTGAGGAGTCCCATACTAAGACGAAACAGCTGTCCTGTTCTCCCAGGTTTTCAGTGGTTCATCAGTTGATACTATGTCGTGATGGGCACTACGTTAGAAATAAAATCTCCATAAACCTTGAATTACATATAAGTAATTATTATAATAATAACAATGATGAAATATAATGGTGATAACAATAGTAATATTATTATGAGTGTATTCATGAAAAAGGAATCAGTGAATGCAGATCTAAAATTTAGTCAGGAACTAAGGACTTATCAAGGGAGTAAGGGATGGACAAATGGATTCCTTAAAACAAAGTTTAGACTGTGTTTAATGGATTCATTGAACTAAAATTCACTGCACTGATCTGATTATTCTATGTTCATTAGATAGCCTTCACAATATGAGTATAAACGCAACACATTTAACAGATTATTCGACTTTTTAAATGAATTCGAAGACTATAGTGTTTGAAATCTTGTGTAATCCTAACTGTTCCACTTAGTACATTATCTGCCACAAAAACCTATACAAACAACTAAATTCTAAAAAATGCACTCGTGTTCCATTTGGTGCTTCCTTTTCCCAATGTCATACAACCTAAAATCTGAGTCCTTCTAAACTACAATAGGAATATCGTCTACGAATGAAATTCAGAAATATCTAGTTTACAAGTTTCTAACAGACACCTGGATTCTACAATTAGCTATGATTATTAAATTTATTTTGTCATTAACCTCTTCTAAAAAATTACCAACGAACTGCACTGCTTTACGTGTAAGTAAATACAACTGAGTATAAAATTCACGCAGGAAATAGGTAATATAAGTAGGAAAAAGAATAAAATGTTTTTTCAGTCTCTTCTGACATGGATCATCTGATGTTATGCTATTTTCTTATCTGCGAATGGCTCTAATTCTTATAAATCAAATTCACTATAGGAGAAATACTATTTTTGTGAACACATTTTGTTTCAGCCTGATTTTCCAACCATTTCCAAAGGCATACTCTAGTGTAACAAATATCATTCAGTATTGTAATTAGTGATAGACACTAACTTCTCATTTGAATTTCGGGTCCCCGCTTGTTGCACACTGTTTCCAAGGTAGGTTTAGATAAACAAGCGTGAAGTTTGTTGTAGACTGAAAATTGATTATTAGCTTCCATAAAGATAGTAAAATTGGACTGGTCTGCCTGATATAAAAAAAAAATCTTCATTAGTTTCGTATCTGGATGTCCTTTGAAGTGACCGTAGTAATAAAGTGACAAAAAATGAACTTAGGTGGTGTAGAAAACTTGATTATCAAAGCAATAAGAAATCAAGGATTAGTTCATTAGTGCTTCAATTGCATCATCACTTTAAAAAAAGCCTCCTTTGTTTCACTTTGTAGCAAAATATAGCCAGAAAATCACATACACAACCCTTCAGTTCCATAAACGTTACCTTTTTCACCTAAGCCACAAAAAAATTCAATAAAAGTCCATTCATCAACCTTTCGCACGTTCGTGAAGTAGGCAATGAGCTAAAACTATTGTGTGAGGGCTAATGATACTACATAACTGCCCAAACCTCGGTAGGTAGAGCAGGGCTCAAAACCACGACCCACTATTCGAAAGACATCTTCATCCATCCATCCATCCATCCAGATCAACAGAGGACCGGGCATTACTGCTTAACGGTCTGAGTTGCCATACCTCATATCAGTACATCAAGTGAATAGGCAGTGAGATGCAAGATGAAGATAGGAGAATCCAATCAAAAGAAATATAAAGTATAAAAAGAGAGAAACAAAGAATGAGAAAGTGGTGAGATTAGGTATAGCGTTGTTACGATGACGATAATGTGTGTATACATCTAAGCCACTGACATCAGTTCTGAGCTATATCACATACAGTCTACAACCGCTGGTTCCTCTTGTCCCGTGGACCCCAACCAACTAGTCTGCATCGCCCCATTTGGCTCAAACCAACAATCAAAGACGTCATACATTGATGCCATGTTTTAGTCTGGCCACCTCGGGCCATTTTCCAGCCTGGACCTACTTCGAACAACATTGTGTGGTGAGGAAATTGGCAACTAGGCATACGTAACACATGTCCCAACCAGCTATCTCAGTCGATGAAGGTTCACAACCTCGTCAACTGACTTACCTCTTCTTCCTAAAACTCAACACCGGACATCGGCATTACTCACGTGGTGACACCACGGAATAAGGCCTATACTATGAAGGCAACGGTGGTCAAACACCTGAAGCTTTCTCATGTCTTCCACCTTCAATGGCTGTGTTTCACACTCATACAGTAGAACAAAGTGGACTGTTGTGCAGTACACGCGACCCTTAGTAGATGATTGGATATCACGGCAGCACCACAGGTGGCGTAAGTTGGCGAAAGCCAACAGTGCCTTTTGTATTCATGCGGAGATTTCACCGGTCACTGAGTCATCAGGGCTGATCATACTTCCAGGTGAGTGAAGTGGTCAACACACTCAGCCACTTCACTCTCTATTGTTAGCCGTGGTGGGGCACCGTTGAAGATCAATCCTGGAGCAGCAATTTGCATTTGGGTGGTGAGAAACGCATCCCAAACATTCTCAAATTGCTACTCAAAGTGTTCAGTAGACTCTGCATCTTATCAGCGTCTTCACCCAACAGGACTATGTCATCTGCATATTCTACGTCTACGGAAAGTTTTCCCGCAATTATGACAACCTCTTTGTAGTCAGGTGACGAGAGGGAAACCTCCATAAGAATATCTACGATAAAACTGAATTAAAATGGAGAGAGTGGGCACCCTTGATGGACACCACTCGATGAGTACAGCTCACCTGACATCTCACCATAGGCTCCAACAAGCCCACAAGTGTTCGAGTAAAAAGTCTTCAATAAAGTGATGTACTTACTTGGCACGCCTTTAAGTGAGAGACATTGCAATAAGGCTTATCGATCAACGGAGTCAAATGCCGCCGCCTTCACGTCGAGAAATACAGCCAGTGTTGGGTGTCGGTAAGTGTGTCTGTGTTCCAAAACCTGGCACAGTGTGAATACTTTGTCGATACACCCACGGCTAGGTCTAAAGCCTGCCTGGTTTTCTCGGGCTTGCTGTTCCCGAGCTCCACTCAGGCGTCGAAGAATTATAGAACCCAGAATCTTAGACACTATGTTCGTCAGGCTGATTCCTCTGTGGTTATCACAAAAGGACTTCTCGCCTTTGTTGAAGACTGGGTTAACCAGTGATTTAGACCAGTCAGAGGGGATCGTATTTGATTCCTATATACTAGGTAACACTTCCGTTAACCTGACTAAGAGCACCCTATCCTTGTATACCTCAGCAGGTAGTCCATCTGGTCCTGCTCCCCTTCCTCGTTTCAGGTTACCTACCGCTTTCTCAACTTCTCCTAGTGTTGAAGGTCCTATCTCTATGTCCTATTCAGGATCCGGCTGGATAGCGGGCAACACAATGGTGGCTGGAGACTATTCAAGCGGTCCCTCAAAGTGTTCTACCCATAGTTCCAGTTATCTCCCTTGCGAGTGAATCGCAGATCCATCCTTCTCCGCTATGGTCTCACTAACCGCAGTCAACCTTTTCCCCTCAGTTTCCTTAATAAGTCTGAACAACTGTCCACTGTTATCACTCGCCGCTGCCTTCTCCATCTCTTTACCTTTCTCCACCCACCAGTATTCGCCGTCATTGTGTAGACTTTTTCTCAGTCTACTTTTAAGCCATGTCCGCTCTTCATTGTACTCACAGCCTGAAGGGATGTGTTCACGTGCATTCATTGATTCCAAAAAAGCTGCTGATATCCACTGGCTCTTTTCAACCACTATTTGACAGTCAGTAACGGTTTTCAACGCTGCTTTTACACCAGACTGGAGATGGCACCAAGCTTCTTCTAGATCAATGAGAGTGTTCTCTTCCAATAACTGCCTAGCCAATTTCTCACTGAAAGCGGCTTTCGTGTTTTCGTCATCCAGCAGCACTCGTTATGGTTTTGTTTTTCCCTACATCCATTGAGACACAGGCATATACGACCTCGGACCAACGCGTGGTCTCTATCCAAACACGTACTCCAGAAGGTTCGGCAGTCTTTCACCGATCCTCTCTAGCGGTGACTAATACCAATGTGGTCTATCTGTGTCCATCGCTGAGTTGACCTCGGTGGACGTCAGACACGTCAGACAGTGTCTTTCTTTATGTCTGGAATTTGTGCTGGCTAAAAATAGGCAGTTATCTGAGCACAGCTGTAGTAGGCAATCACCGTTTTCTGTTCGTTCAGCCAGGACTCCGAAAGTGCCACCTAAGTGCATTTCTGCCTCACTCAGTCCACCCACCTGTGCATTGAAGTCACCTGCAACAGCCACCACGTCCAAACGTTTGGCTTTCGAGAGGAGGCCAGACAGTTTTCGATAGAACTCGTCCTTCACTTCATCCCAACTACAGTCAGTCGGTGCGTAAGCAAAAATTACAAAGAGACAACGGCGAGTTTCACTACTCCTTTTACTTCTCACTGTGCCGTTCACTCGGATAGCGCAGAGGCGACTGTCAACTGGGATCCAGTCTAGTAGTCAGCTTTCTGCCCTAGTGCTTAGTGCTATGCCTACACCTGCAAGACCACGAGAGCTAGCTATCGGATCTCCAGAAACTCGAAGGGTGAATTTTGCGGATTCATCAGATTGGCCGGGAGATGTTAGGGGAATAACCGCACTTGGGTCCTGTATGCGTGTCTCACAAACACAGCACACATCCATGGCCCGAGTTGCTACAGTCTCTGCCAACGAAGCCTGTTGACCAATTTGACGGAGGGTGTGGACATTGAAGACCCCAATGTGTAATTTGGAGCGTGGTTTAAGGAGACCAAGGATGCTGTTCTGTGGACTCGGATCGTTGTGGAAGGCTGCAGAACTAGGAGAAATTAAAGGTGGTGTAGTATTGTTAATTGAGAGATGTGAAGGAAAACTATAAGGTAATGATGGAGGAGGTGGATAGCAGTCAGAAGAAACTTGACTGCTGACAGAGTTGTGAGGACGAGTGACACTTCCCGGCTGCCACACCGTGGAAGGCTATTTCTTCTTAAAGTACCTGAAAGAGATTTGTGTGGCCATAGAGCCAATCGGATATCTGTTTGAGGCCTGTCACATAGCCTTTTGTGTATGGTTGTTTTTAACTTTTGTATTTTTGGGGCCGAATGGTCGAAAAGAAACGACAAATGAACCAACACCGCCGACCAGGCAGACTGTGGGGCATGGTAGAGTGTGTTATTTTTGGGGCCGATCTTTTCTAACGCAGTTTGCGCATACTCTTATATAAGGGTGAGTATTTACAAAGTGATAGAAATTACTGCTATCGTTGAACACTTACCTTATCAATGTTAACAATCGCTTCAGAGATTTGTTCCATATCAGCCTGACAATAAGCCATGGTCAAATGTACTTCACATCGCAGACGATAATATAGACTGAAATTGAAGAGAAAAACCAGAATTCTTGATTCTAAATTTTACAGATAAAAAAACAATACATTCTTGTTGAAATATTCGTGTCATTCTGTAACCCTATATTGCCCCGAATGGGTTGGGAGACTGTTATATATATATATATATATATATATATATATATATATATATATGGTTGAGCAAAATAACCCTGATTATCTGAATTTTTAACTTCTCTTTTGCTAAGAAAACTTCTGAATAGTATTCTGCGCAACATCGGTGAGAATTCAAAGGAAATATTGTTTAGTTTAATACTGAAAAACCCACAGGATGATCTCAAGTTAACAAAACAATCAACTTCAACAGTCAACATATAAAAAATTATTGACGGTCAACAACCAAATAATTTAGTCCATTTCGAGTCAAAATTTTAATTCCACAATCAAAACGAGCTACACAGTAGGTCACAGGTTGTAGTCAGGGCTGTGATAAATACTTTCTGTTATTTTTACTATTGAGCTACGCTTACTGAAAATTTCTTGTGGGATAACTTATTTTGAATAAAATGTATAATGGAAAACTATTAACAAAAGTTTTAGTAAGAATGTATATCACCTTTTTGCCAATCAAAACACCCTTCATCTTATGAATTTGACTACTGCTTTCGTTAAACTAATGAAGCAGTACCAGACAAACTGACAAGAAGTAGTCGAATTTTTAGTTCACATAATTTTTTCAAAAATGCAGGTGTATAGGACTACTATCATAGCACCCGTGTAATGCTTTAAATAACAAACTGCAGTTCAAGTTGAAGGTGATTAAAGATTCAGTGTGTTGGGGATTTCCAATAACTATCTTCTTCTTACGGTTGGTGTATGCGGAACAATATCTAAGTGCTTACTTTCATTCCTCAAGGGGAGCTGGTCAGGCAACAGCGATATTACCTCAAAATCATTTAAAAAGGGATTACATGCCCATGATTCAAAGAATGGTATGAGGCTATTTTATAAATCATCTGTATGGTCATAGCTCAGTTTAAAACCTATCGTACCATTCTATGATTTCTACTTAAAAATAGCATACGAGCAGTTAATAGAAGGCTGAAAAAGGTTGAAATATGTAATTGGTTAAAATGAGCAATCATCAGTCAATTAGGTACAAAACTGTCTTCTCAGCAATTAACTATTTTTACTGATAACTTCATTTTACCTGAAGGCTTATGGAGGTTAATTAATTGATTTTCAGGTTGAAGTTCATCACGGACTGACATCAGCTGGGGCAAAATTGGAAACCTGGGAGCAGTAGGTAAATGTTACGTCCTAGTATGGGACTCCTCAGCAGTGCGGACCCATGATCCCCCCAGGGATCGGACCCAGAAACTTCAGACTCCGTAGCCACCACGTTACCATTGACCGGCAGGGTCGGAATCCAACCACCTACCATTTTACTTCTCATCATTTGAACTTCTTTTTTTCGTGTTAAAGTACTGTAAAGCGGTTACTTTTCTTTATACCACTTGCAATCCTAGTCTCTCCCTATTAATTGATCTATGTTTAGATGCATTTTTGTTTATCCTGATTTCATGGGCCAAGAAGATATGCAAACATATTTATGATATTGCTGAGCCCTCATTCTCAACTAATTCGGTTGGAATACTGAACTATTCTTTTACATTATGGTTATTATCTTCCCCTTGGGTTCCTAGTGGAATATAGGGCTTCAGTAGTACGCCTCCATTGCACTCTCTTCTCTGCAGTCTTTTCAACCTGCCGCAACGACTGCCAACAAACTTTCATTTCTTCCTCACACCATCTCCTCCATGTCACTGTCTCGTCAGACGCCCAACTCATCGTTTTCTATCAGGGTTCAAATCGACGGCATGACCTGGTGCTTGATATCCCCAATCAGTCTTCTCAGTGTATGCTCAATCCAATCCATTTCCACTTTCTCCTGCATATTTGTTGGGTGATGGCTTCTTCGTTGGTTTGTTCTCAGAGTTCTCTGTTGCTTTTTCGTTCTGGACATCTGATCTTCAGTGTCAGTATCGAGTGAACTAGCGTAGACGGTAGCTGTTGATGAATGTCTGTAGTTTGTTGGAAGTGCATTCCATGACGCGCCAAGTCTCTGAACCATATAGAAACACTGACTTGACCGACATTAGTGTTGAACATGCGGATCTTGTTCACACTTCATGCTGAGTTAAGTTTCAGACTAATGAAGGAAGGTCTGTCTTGCTGTGTTTCCGATCCTGGTTTTGACATCCTCGTCTGTGCCTGTGCCTCCTGTAGTAGAAACGATGCTGCCCTGCCTAGGTAAATGAAAGAGACTACTTCCTTTAGGTTCCTCCCGTTGATGGTGACTGATGTTTGTTGTTGATGCTGTTGTTGGTTGGGTATCTTCATCACCTCCATCTTCTCTAAATTCGCTTGAAGTCCCGTTTTCGCTGCCCTGCCTCTTCTGTCAACTTGCTAGTTGTCGCTTGTAGATCTTCGAGTTTGTGCCACAAGACATTAGACACAAATAATCATCGGCGAAATGAAAACCTTCTTCTGGGGTCTTTTCATCTATCCAGCTAGCGTTAGCCCCTCTTCTCGCTCCTCACGGTTTGCTGCATGATCCACTCCAGTTGACCACAATCAGGGAGAGCACTAGTGATAGTAGGCGGCAGCCTTGTCTTACTCCTGTCTTCACTTCTAAGGCGTCACTGAGCTTTCCATTGTGGCTCACCTGGCATGTGGCCTCATCATCATCATCATCATCATCATCATCAGCAGCAGCAGCAGCATATAGCTGTTGAATGAGATTGATAAAGGTTTGTGGCACTAAAAGCGTGGTGTTGAAGCAACTGCTTGTCAAATTGCCTCTCAGTCGACGCTGTCGAAGGCCGTTTCAATGTCGATGAAGTTGAAGTAGAGAGTTGACTGCCGTTCTATACTCTCTTCTATGATGAAGCGTATCGTTGTGTAGTGTTGCAGTTTGGTCCACACATGATTTCCTCCTCCTGAAGTCAGCAAGCCAGTCTGATCTGGGTGTAATTTTGAATCCAGCGCATCCTTTAGTCTCTCCAGGACGATGCGGCATAATATTTTGCTTGCTTTGGGTGGACAGCAGCTGATTTCTCACCAGTTCTTGCAAAGGCTTAGGTCTCACTTCTTTGGGAGTTTGACAAGCTAGCTGTTCTCCCAATAAGTGGGGAGTACCTTTCGTTCCTTCCATCCTTGCAAACCTTGTGCAGTAGTGGTGTGGTGTGAGCATGTCCGCCGCTGATGTCTCTGAGTCTGTTTTCAGTGCTTGTGGTGGAGTTCCATCTGGTCCTGCTGCTTTCTCGGATTTCAGCAATTTTATGGCATTCAGGGCTTCTGCTTTTGTCGGAGGTCTTGTGTTCACTGGTAGTTCTGTGGTTGCTGGTGGTATTTCTAGACGAGTTGCAGGTGGTGATGGTGGTCGGTTCAAGAGCTTCATGAAGTGGTCAGCCCATTGTTCCTTTATTTCTCCTCTTTGGTAACTAGCTTTCCTTCACTATCTCTCATTGGTTTCGTCTGTGTTGATCTCTTTCTTACGAGATGGTAAACTGATTATTTGACATGGTGTTGTCAGGTTTCGCCTACCAGCCTACAGCCTGTTCTGCTTCATTTGCCAATGTGTCGTAGAAGTGTCTACTGTCTATGCGCGCACTCTTCTTCACTTCTTTGTCCAGTGTAGTGTTGTACAGGTTGTACTCACTTCTTCTTTTCGTCGTGCATGCTTGCACTGCATTGTTCGTCTTATGCTTCACCATCTTCCTCTCCCTACTGCATCAGCTTCCATGTGTCAGTGGAGATCCATTCCTTGTCTCACCTTGCTTCTTCTTCCTTCCTAATACGGTTATGCAGCTTTCTTTCCACATAGCTTTCAAAGAGTGCTCTTCCAGTGTTCTTCCACACAGGTTCCTTCAGGAATGTTGCTCAGTGACTCTCATTTTGTTCTGATAGCTGATGTGAAGATGTCCTTTGAAGTCTCGTGCTTCAGTTTTTGTTCTGGGTGTGTAACCTGACCTGTGGCCTATCACCAACTACTTTGCAGGCTTTCAATTTGATTTTGAAGTCTGATTCCTTACACTAGATAGTGATTGGTGTGAACCTACATCTGCTCCCCTTCTTGATCTGATCTTGTGTCCAGTTGGCTGCATCTCCACTTTCTGCAGATTGGGATGAAGTCGATCTGATTTTTAGTGTAGTGTGTCCATCTGGTGTCTGATGAAATCAAATGCATGTCGCTGCATTGTGAATATCCTTGTGTTTGTACACAGTGCCTTCTGTCACCAAATCGTTGAATGCACAGAAATCTGCAAACAGTTCTCCATTCTCCTTCATGTCACCGAGTGCCTCTCCACCCATGATGAGTTCTCTTCCTGTGTTGTCCACATTCATGTCACCCAACCCATTATAATTTTGACGTCACCAACTGGGTAGTGGTCTTGTCCGGTACTGATTGCAGTTGTCTGTAGAATTCTTCCTCCTTCTCTTGATCTGGATTATTTGTTGGAGCGTATCATTCACTTACATGGTTGTTTTGTTTTCTACTTAGGGATTAGATGCAATCTAATACATAAAATCAGTCAGTCATTAATTGGTTAGTAGTTAGTCTTACGTGATAGACATACGCTATTTACTGGCCGATTCAAAATCTCGAATAAATAGGTCAAAACCAGGGTTATAGACAGGCAGTAAGAAAATGTAGATAGATTCAATTAGGATAGCTGAATCACAATTCCCTTGACCTCCAGGTTTAAGTTTCTGAGTAGATAAGAAATATTTTGAGCTTGCTAGCGATCACTAACAAGCAGGAAGCTCAGGCTCAGAATCTACTGCAAACTACTACAAGCTATATGATTTTAAATACTCTGCACTGAGATACCGACTCAGTTAGCTCAGTTACCAGCACAAGAAGTTAATATGTGCAATTCTGTTAATCTATAGAACCAGAAACATGACACTGGTAACTATTGGTAGTCAAGTAACACTGGCTTCCCGTCTTCACTAGCCTGACTACAGTGGACAATCTGCAGACCATTCAACCCATTGCACAGTAATAGCTAGTTAGTTGTGTTGCTATTTGACAGCCTTTGACATTAATGGGCTTTTGAAAGGTTTAGTGTACATTAGTTTTCATATACGATCCAACACATGCATGAGCTTAAAACAGTAAATAACTACACTTTATATCTCATGACTGGCTCAGCTGAATAATTGATGTAAGTAAGTGGTTTAGTATATCCATCGATCATTTCGCTAACATTCTGTATGGCAGCGTGGCACCTGCTGGAAGAATGGGTACCAAATATTAGAAAGTCGCTGTGTAGTAATCATTGATTACTCAGTACTGACTTCATTCCATATAGATTTTCGGAATTCATAAAGGAAATTCATAATTTATTGGGTAACCATGTATATAGTAAACGCGCGTGCTCTTCATTCACACAATATGATGATACTTTGCTGTGAACCAGCTGAAACGTAAAAACACTGAATTTCAAGTTTATAATAACGTCAATTTTCGGTCGAACTCTTGGATAATGTGTGAGTTAATACTGCTACTTTATCCGAAACTAAACTAAAGTATTCAGTATTCTTCTGTTTGAATTATTTCTTCAGCGAATGTTAAGCTGTAGCAAGTACTGTTTGAAGCTTAGACGGTAAGCTTTCGGAAATTCGAAAAGTAAGCCAGTATAAAGTATTGGTTTCATTTCTCTCTAAGAAGCCAAAATGTTAATGGACAGCGGTAATCAATAATATTTTACGACATTCTTCAAGTTGTATATAAGGTCAGGTTTCACCTTAGGAATGTTGTTTTAAGAAGGATAGATATATATTGGTCATAGAATATTTTATAGTTCACATTCAATATTGTCCGGAGATAAAGTGTTTCATTGACTGACTTGGACTAACAAAACCAACTTAGAACCTCGCACACAGGTGCATCGGCACAAGTTCCCACACTTCATATTCGTAAACAAGGAAGAAGTGGATATAAAAAGAGCGATATCAAAGTAGACAAAATTGTGTGAGAGAATAAATAATCTGAAGATAGCGAATAGTGCAAATATTCAAGCTTCAGAAGACGTCTAGGAATGAATACATCTGCTGCATTTGACCGATTTTCAGTCATGTCACCTAGAATCCTCAACCAATGATTCCTTTTGTCTTGTGGAATCCAACCATGCAGTCTGAATCTCCCTACACGACTTAGACCAACAGTCAGAGAATTCACTAACTGGTACCACTTATTCTATACGCCTTATCGGAAAATGTGGAAATCACTTACCAACTATGTAGCTTGAAGTAGTCTCTTGACTCCTTTAGTTAAAAGTAGTAATAGTAAGTGTCAAGTTGTAGAGGCAGTCAATTTTTTTTATTTGACATCCATTTTCGATGACATCAACTCATTAACAAATATGTATATTTCTGACACAGTCAACAAATGACTCACCACAACATTTCTGAATAATTTTAAAATTTAGTAAACTCACCTATCTTGTTTAGTTAAATGATCAATGATCAATTGTAAGCTCTTAGAAGTTTTCAGTCTAGTCTGTGTATCACGTTGAAGTAACGGTGAGCACAAGCGCCACAGTGTAAGGCAACCTTGTGTAATCATTTCTGGTTGGTAGCTTGGATTTATTAGACACTTTTCCAACAAATTATGACATTTCTGCATAGCATGATAGTGAACCTATTGTTTTACAAATTATCGAAATGAGAAAAGACAAAACAAATATAACTAAAAACGTCCTTGTGACGCTAAAAGCTGGATAGTTTTATATAATTTGAAACAATGTACAACACAAATTAAGTAAATCACACGCACACATGCTTTGAATTTCAGACCGTGATCTACAGCTTGGCAAGTAGAAGGGATCTCCAGAATCTAAAACAAAGATACTTGCAATTTATTGACATATCCACGTCCATCTCAATTACAAAAGCCTAACAACTTACTGTCTAAAATAAGTGGGTTAATTTTGATAGGATTGTGTTCTCTGAGCTGGATCGTTTAATCGTGGGGCTTTCGTTGTCATTCCTGACAACATCATCAGAATTAACTTCAGGAAGAAGTGAGCTTCAAACTTCTCTACGCAATTTAGTTAGTAGCTTTTCTTGATGGCCTTGTGTGTGATTGGTTGCTTTTGCCAAGATCTTGCCACTATCTCCATGTTTATTTTGATCGGTCGTTCCGATGACCTGAAACTTGATCTTCTTGTTGTTTCTTATTGGTTGGTAGGTTGGGTCAATGTCGATATGTCTGTTGATTGCTAACTGACCTGAATGCCAAGCTTCTAAAAATTCTCTGGTATTCTTTGTATTTCCTCTGTCCAGGATTTTCACTTTTTATCAGTCAAATTCATGTTCACAGTTGTCTGTACGCATCGATATAAGCGAAGATGTATCACGACTCTTTAAAGCCAGTTGATGTTCATGTTAACGGATGCAAAGAGGGCGACCACCCTGTCTGATATGGTGTTTTTCGCAGCTTCTACAGTTTATTTCGCAGAGAATGTTTGGTTTGTCTTCTTTTTTATTGTATTGTTTGGTGTACATAACAGAGACTGAAGAGATTTTTATGGTCTTTTGAGATACAGGGATTCCAAGAGGCTTCAATAATCTCGTCGTGATCTCGAATACGTTCTTCGTGTAGGGTGGGATAATCCGTTTGTTAGATTTCGAGGTGCAATTCTTGGTTGGTGATGAATTATGTAAACATCTTCTGATAAAGTTGCATGAATAACCGTCCTTCTGGAAGGCAGTCATCAAATAGTTTTTCCTAGTTTTCTCCGTAGGGTTGATGTACTACAGTATATTTTCGCTCTTTTGGACAATGTTTATACAACTGATTTTGTGTCCTCTTGGGTTGTTGCTATTGCAGTTGAGAATTTGATCCGTTTGAGTTGGCTATTTGCATACTTCAGTTTCCAATTTCCTAGAATCGCTCTATTGATCAAAACGTCTAGAAATGCCAGTTTGTTATTTGATTCCTCTTCAGTTGTGGATTTGATGTTGTCGTTTCTCCTAGTGATGATAAATGTATCATCTACATACTGGATCCTAAGCTTTGGTTTGATCAACGGTAATACCACAGTTTCCAACCTTTGCATTACTGCTTTTGAAACTAGTCCTGATATAGTTGTTTCCTTTGTTTGTTTGTAGAGTTTGCCGTTGAAATGAGAATATGTTGCAAGACATAAATCAATTAATCCCAACAAACTTGAATATTATAGTCGTGTGTTGCGAGAGGTATGTATTATTGTTGAGGAGGAGTCATTGAATCCTTTGCCAGTTTCGGTTTAATTGAGATGTATGGAGCTGTAACGTCAAAAGATACCATTAGTTCATCGTTGTCAATATGAATATGTTAGATCTATTCCAGAAGGGTTGACAGAGTGGTCGCATGATTCTGCTAGATGTTTTAACTTTCTGAAGAGTTCTTTTGACAGATTACATGTGGGGGTCCCTGGAAGTGAAACAGTTGGTCGTAGTTGGGTGTTTGGTTTGTTTATTTTTGGTCTACCATAGAAACGTGGGTTAACACGTTCATTGTATTTCATTCTCCACCGCTCTTGTTTTGTAATTCGTTCCGCTCTGACGAGTTTGTCCAAGGTCTAGGTGATTTGATTATCAAACTTCTGAGTGGAATTTGTCTCCATTGGTTGCTAAACGTTTCAGCCTATCAAGAAGTCTTCTGCCTATCTGATATGATCGCTTCTATCTATGACTACTTTGGTGCACCCTTTATCAGCTGGAATTATAACGACGTTCACTGTATTCTTCAGGTTCTTAGGAGCTTTCTGTTCTTCCCTGGTTAGTTGAGTGCGGTTTTGCTTCCATCTAGTTAAAGGTACCATTAATTGTCGTATTTCCTGTTGGGTACCAGAGTTTACTCCTGAAGTCTTCAGTGATGACTCTAGGGATGCAAAGAATTCCGGTCCAGAAGCGTCTCCTGCAATGTAATTTCATCCTTTCTGGAGAAGTTCCTCGAACTTGGTCCGAGATTGTTTGGACAAGTCGACTACACAGTCACTTGTTTCTTCCCCTACTGGTACTTGAGGTTTTGAAATCGTGGCAAGCTCCTCTCGAAGGATGCTTCTCCTCTGTTCTTTGTGTCGTCTTCTTGATTTTTCAGTCTCAGTTAACAACGTTAAAAAGTGTTCAGTTGAATATCCCCTTCAGCTTTCTCTTTTAGCTTTCCATTAGCCGCTGATATTTTCGAATACTATGATGAGCATCGGGAATCATCAGTTGCATCATGTATCTTCCATTACTTGCCACTAATTTACAATCCACTGAACAGGCGATAGGTAGTTTGTATCTGACACTAGTTGGTAGAACATGATGGCGTAGACACTCTCCTATGGAGACCTCTCATTTCCGAACAAGTGACATATTTGCTAGTATTCTTATCAGATTATTAAGAGTTTGTGAACTTGGGTCTTCGATTGATTGGGCTAACATTTCGATGCAATTTACTTTAAAATTTCAAATCCTAAAAGGCAGTTTAATTCCTTCGAGAAACAGGTCATTTATTTAGAAACTTCCAGGACAAATAATTCAGTGAAGAAACATTTTTCTCGACGAGTCATTTTCAGCAGCTGTACATTCGTATTTATATTAAAAACAAACAAATAGATTAGTCTGTTATTGGTTAGTAGGTCAACATGCAGTCATCAAAACACAATGCTCTAAGGTGAAATAATGGGTCAATTTTAGAATTAGAAAGGGATTGTGTAATCCAGTTTACCCAAAGAAAATATGCAGTGGATTAACGTGATGAATGATAAGTTAAAAACAAACAGGTCAACGATGACAATCTGAAACAGTGAGTCTCTTTGATGAATTTGCATAATGTAATAGCAGGGCGGAGATTATTTGAGAAAATAAGAGTGACTTTAAAGGCCACCCTACCAACAACTAAAATAACCAATCAAACTTTAGTATTTTATGAGTATCTGCCCTTCCAGCCGAAACAGAGAAACCTGATTGGTTATTTCGATTGTTGTTAGGGTGGCCTTTAAAGTCACCCGAAAATAATAATACTAACTATAATCAGTAATCGGAGTATTGTGAGAATTTTAATAAGAGATTGGAGCTAATATGTTAAGATGTGGAAAAATAAAAAGTAATGATAACCAGTCAGTAAGAATAAGATGAAGCAGTTAAGAAACTCAAGAAAGGATTATGGCCACAGCAAAACAAGAGAATTGACGAACCTTTTCTGTATGCAGAGCTCAGACTTTAATTGTTGGATTGCCAAGGCCTCCACTAAACATAGGCGACGGGTCCGCACACTTTTTGAGCCTTTTGACTTGACTTTGTACAGGATTTTGAAACAAAACTGTGGGGAAGTGACGTGATTACAGTTGACCAAATGATGCAAAATGAAACTATGGCCTGACTTACGTTCTCCTCTATACAACCAAGAAGGATAGTGCTCAGAGATGCATTTGGAAAAACTGCTCCAATCTCCCCTTAAAATCCCCACAATACTTAACTCCAACTGTTGACTAGTATTATTATTTTTGATCCGTCCGTTTTCAACCTTTTATTCATCACGTTAATCTGCTGCATATTTTCCTTGGGCACACTGGATTACACAGTCGCTCTCCTACCCTACAATTGGCCCACAATTTCACCATAGAAAATTCTGTTTTGATGACCGCATGTTGACCTATTCAGCCAATAACAGACTAATCTATTTGTTTGTTCTTAAAATAAATACAAATGTACAGCTGCTGAAAGTGAATCGTTGAAAGGAAATTTTTCTACTCCTTAAGAAGCTGCTTAGCAAGGAATTTTACAAACGAATGTTACAGATAATTTTTTTCATCTTTCCCCTTGCTAGGTTGTAAAATATTTCGATATCTTTCCGAAAATTTCGTCTAAAACTGGTTAACCTGATTTTCTCATTCATTTGTTTGACTCAAATAGGATTATTTTCAAAGCTCTTCTCCATCCCATCTCCTGTTTTTGTTAGTAACAGAAGGTGAGTTAGGCTAATTGATTTCTCAGACTTATCCTTCTTGACTAGAAATATGTTATCAGTTTGAGTATCTGAGATATCCATAGGTTGGCAGACTGGTATTTTTCATACCGGATAATGACTGAAGGTGAAATGGAAATCTGAACGGCGGTTAGGTTTGAACCAACGATCTGAGCTTACAGAAATCAACTAAATTGAACAAAATTATTCTATGTGAATATATTGGTCGTATTTATTTATTACCATTCAGATATACAATTTCCGAACTTCAATCACTCATTCACTTGATGAAGAACACTAATGAAAAGAGGAAATCTGTAGTGTAATACTAAGTACTACTTAATTTACTCTCACTGTAATCGCTTAGCCACCGGTATTTAAAGCTATGAAGTTATAAAACGGCTATCCGGTATGTTTATATGAAAACAAACTACAAGGTTTGTACTGTGCAAACATGTGACAGTTGTTTAAAAGCAAAAGAATTCTAGATGGGTTTATTATTTCTTGGATTAACTAATTATTTTTTTAGAAAAAGGTGTTTAACGGCTAAATATTACTCAAAATCAAATAATTTGCGAAAATTCTAGATTTTTATATACCTTGCACTAATACAATATGTGGTAGAAAACAGTTTTGTAAATTTTTCTGCTGTGGTTTTTTAGTTTCACTCGAATTGAAACTCATAACCGCTATACTTGTTGATTCTTTCATACGTCAGTTTTCCGAAATCTTGTGGAACAAACTCTTATATAATTTTAATCCCATAATTTGCTTAGTGTACAGACAACTGAGAAAAGTTCATATAGCTACTTTGCGCATTTTTTCTAAGTGTAAAATATTGTACATTGATCGGTCAATGGAGGGTAACCAACTTCATATTGTCTAGACCTAAGTACTAACCAAATTCTACCGATGATCTTGCGATGTGGCGTTCTGTCGATTGCCTCCATCCAAGTAATATCTATCAAAGTGCATTGTGATGCTGAGCTGCCTGGTCTGGTGGCGACATTGTGAAGTGATCGATAAGATTCGATCAGCACTAAGGACCAGACAACATGGAGTTGGTTACCCAATCAATGTATCTAATCCAGTTCTACAGGATCTCAGTCACAGCCTGGGTGGTTCATTGGTAACGTCGCTGACTACAACACTTGATGACGTGGGTCCGAATCTCAGGCGGGAACAGTGGTTTCGTCGGAGTTGCAGACACGCCTTGCTGGCAAGTGCCAATAAGCACAAAACCTAGGTCCAGGGCTTTCGGCTGATTGCTCCCACCCAACTAACATCTGTGGAATATTATATTTAAAGGTAGAGTATGATAAGGCTTTAGTGAAAATATGCATTCACTCAGACCCATGTATTTTCAACGTTACCATAGGAATATTCCGCAGACGGACATCCAGGTTATTTATTTGACAACTAGCCAGCCTAACCAATGAGGTATATCTTTGACACAGAATTAGGAGTAAATTTATATTATGAAGGTAAAATGTACGACATTACTTTTGAAGAACTTACTGTTAAATACTGACTGGACATTCTAGATAGTTTGACTGCAATCTTCTGAGTATCTATCTCAAGTGAAATGAACTGGAGCATCAGTGCAGCTGATTCTTGATTCTAATCAAAATAAACAGTAGTAGAGGGAAAAAAAGAATGTATATTTTATATCATAACACATAGTAAATGAGTATTCGCTTTTTCCTTTTTACAGAATTTGACTTGACATTTTAAAATGTTGAATGTTCGCACATTTCATATAATAGATATTTCTTAAGTTTACATTCAAGTTAATGTGCTTCTTTATGCAAACGCAATACTGTCAACTTCAGAAAACTGGGTTATCTGATTATAGAGCGTCTAACTTGTGATGATCATTTAGGGATATAATTAAATATCTAAAGAAATGATATCCGTAGATTCATATATATATATATATATATATATATATATATATATATATATATATATATGCTAGATGAATGGTTTCTTTTCATCTTAGACAATGAAGAAATGTTTGCAACTGTAATTCCGTTTCCTAACTTTATAGAACGGAATGAGAAGTAAAAATTTATCTCATACACGTAATGTCATTGTACAATACTTATTTAAAGACGCTAGTCGAAAATATACCTAAAAACTCAGTTCGGTCCCAAACGAGCAAAACAGCTGTCTCGTGTTTAGATCACTCTGACCTCTGTGGCGAAATCTATCGTTTTTAACTACACAGATCATTCAGAAGTAGTGTGTTTCGCTAGTTCATTATATTTTTGTGTCAGAGTTCACACCTTGTGATCTTGACTGAGTGGCTTCCAACGGAAACTATGTGGACACTAATGTTGGACAGTTGAAAAACTCCTCAGTTGTGGGAAATGTCAACGTGGACTGTGGAATTTGTAAATCATTTGCGAACTGATCATCCTTATTTAGGTTACCCGTTCATTCAAGACAGCTAGCCAGATCTAGAGGATCTAAATACTTAGGTCCTTTCAGCTGAATTTATCCCAGTACACGGCTGATGAGCTCGGCCCCAAGTGAGCGAAATGTCTGTTGTTTAGATTAGTCTGACCCGGTGAAATCTTAAAGTTGGTCTGAATACTTTCTGACTACTCATGCTGTTTACTAGTACACTTCGTCAGGTATTCTCTTCTGACAGTTTCTATGGATAATCCTTGAGGTTGTTCGCAACCAGATCCTATGCCCATCTTCTACTTGTTTCGCTGTGAATGAAAAGATAAGATTTTATTATCAGTAAATGACTGAAATAAAAGCAAAAAGTTTATTTTAATCGAATAACTGTAGAACAAGAGGTAGATAAAGTGGAAAAAACCGATTTAGAACAGTCACTCATCCATCTTCAACTCGAAGATACTTTAGAGCGTAAGCAAAATTATTCAAGGTGAAAAAATTTTATCCTGTCGACTTCAACCTCACTGACTTATTGCTAATCAATGCACAACAACAGCTAGAAATCGCTGAAATTGTCTCAGACTAGGTTTTTCGATGCCCTGAAAATTCTTTATTATGATCGTAAAAAAATATTCGTTTTCAAGGTCTACACCTTCATACTGTACACTTGACTTTAATATGGAGCGTCAAAAACATTGACATATAAAATGAGTTGCACAGGTAAGTCAAACCTTTTCATGTCTCTTCTTTATACTTCACCTCATTTGAAAGTCATTCTAGTTCATTTATATCAAACATTTTTCAAGATTTCTAATGAATGCATTTGTTTTTAACAGTAAATTGCTCATTTTGAAGCTTTTACAGTCACTTCACTTATAGCTGCTATCAAATACACTCAAAAATCAATTCTCAGCGATAAACAAACATCCACAGATAGAAAAATCACGTCTTTCACAACAGCTAGTATAAAATTTATTGCCGTTATATGCAACACATGGTAACATTTGCAAATCAAAAAGTTGAGTCCATTTTACAGATGAGTCAAATTACTATTAAATTATTTTTGAGTGATTATTAGCTTTTTGAAATAGATTCCCTTACTGATCTCGGTCCATGATGAATGCCATGCTGGTATCAGTTAAATCCCCATAGACCCCCAAAACGTAATACTGTCCAACATCCATTAGTAACATGCTTTCAGATGATATTTCCCGAAATTCAAATGAAAAGTCATGCCCTATGGAGTAAACCGAGTCGGATGTGAGGAAAACCACTGAACGATGGCATCGAACGACGGTAGCCCAACATTGAGAATTGACCACCGAATTCCGGCACAGTGATTCAATGATGACATGCTTGCTGCGAAACCTGAAGGTCCCGGTTGCGCACTGCTGATGGGTCTTATACTAGAAAGAAACAGCAGTCTCCTGCGCCTGGGTTTTTAATTATTCTCATACTGTCACTTTGCGATAAACGCCACGCTGAAATCAATTACCTTCCCGTGAACCTCCAACCTATGAAATAAAAGTGTGTAAACAGTTTTGATCTTGAAATCAAGAATTATCTTTGGAGTTTCCCTCATATTTATAAACTAAAATATCACTTATCTTGCTAGTTAAAACCAGCCACGGAACTGGTAAAATACAAGAGTCCCTAGAAGTGTGCACCATCAACTCTTTCTACAAAATAAAATGTAAGAATAGATTTGCTGGATTTTTGTTAACTGATTACCTTAATTGATTCTGACATGAGTTTATGTGATAGGCTAAGAGTCAGTGTTATTGTGCAAAGGCTTGTGATACCACTCAGTTGCTCAAATTGAAGTATTCAGAGTGAGATGTGGACCAGGGACCTATTGTTTGAAATTTTAATGCATAATCCATTCAGCCAACCACAACTTCTTTTCATAAATGCTAAGCGCTGTGCATTCTCATCCAAAAAAGAGGATAAGCATTTACAGACTTAGTAATTTCCGAATGAGACAATTTAGATTTCAGGTACACTCAAGTTTCCGGTGACTGACTCTGTAGCTAATTTCAGTTCAGTGTGAAAATGATTTCCGAGCTGAAGATATTAGGTTAAGTATTGACAGAAAGTCAGCAGATAATATGTATGAAAAGCGAATAGAAGTTTCAAAGATGAATAAATCTCAAAGCATTCAGAAGATTCATTACCGATAACTTTTCTTTCTTCAAAATAATTTCACACTGCTTGATGCATTTATGACAGACGTGCAGCAGATCCCGATCAAGAGCCAATTGTGTTAAAGTGACCAAGAGTTTGAATCTAAGTGAGCAGAACGGAATAAAATATAAGCATGAGGTATTGAAGACAAGAAGGTCATCAAGCAAGAATATGTGGTCAATAATTTCCCATGCAAAACAGCATGATACCTGGAGTCAACTAGATGCTTTAAGATTGTGAAAACTCATATTTAAACATGCGCAAGGTTTTTTGACTGAGTTGAAAACATTAGACACTGAAGTGCAGGTCACTAATTCAAAGACTACCAGGTTCACTGAATACTTTAGACGAGGTGAGTTCAGTCCTATGGATTATAATTGGTACAGTTCACTGAATAAAAACCCAGATCTCCAAGTTGGTGAGTGAATTCTCCTTGATTCCGATTCTCAATAGGAATTACTTTTAAATTCATGATTATATATCATCTGCCCAGTTTTAAAGCTGCGAATCAACAAGGAGAGTGGTCGAAAACCCCTTTTTTAAAGTGAAATATATCAGAATAAAAACAATTGTATGCTACAAATCAGTAGCCAGCGAATCAGGCTGCAACATTTGTAGCACTGAGTACCCGGTTTAAGTTTCAGTAGAAACATTAACACAAATGCAATCGAATCTAAATGCAGTCCCAAGGAGGACGAAGATGTTATTGGTTATAATGCTAACCACTAGTATTTACGATCATAGTTATCTATTCCGCAGTACTTGGTAGTCCGTAGTCAATGCCACATCTTCCTATAGAGACATTAAATGTAATTACATTTTAGCCTTACCGTGTTCCAGGAGTTAAATACTTCGGAGAGAGTGCATCTTCGATAACCTCTTCAGATCCATTGACAGATAGTGTATTGTTGTTATTCTCATCAACAACTGAATCTTCTAAAATCGAGTTTTTATTTTCTATCTGTCTATCAGATAATAACAGTTCATTGCTTTCATCTTCAATTTCAAGTAACCGTAAAATCTTTAAAAATTCATCAACTTGTTCGCTTGGATTCTTGCAACTGTAAAAGAAAATACGCACAAAAAAAGAAAATTTATTGGTGCTTAAGTTGATTTCATAAAGCCACTCAGCACACTGAGGAATACTGAAGTTAATCAAAACTCATGTCTTCGGAAATAACAAGCTGTTCGCTATTTTAATCACCGCAATCTATTCAAAAGCTACTGAATTTTGCAGACCATTGAATGGCTATTCCATCTCACTTTAGCAACCTAAAACAATGAGTACCTCTTATTACGATAATCTACTTGGTCGTGGCTGGCAGAAGAATCCATGATGCGCGTTTCGTCCTGTTTAGAACTCGTCAGCTGGATGTATCTGCTCCCCAGTAAGTGATGTTGTTCCCCCTGAGACTTGAACCTCGCATCCATCTTTTCAAACGTCAAAGTGATATCCACTAGGCCGCTGAGTCAGGATAGTCATCTCATGCACAACAGGTATTAGTTATAACTTTTTGTTGATATACTTGTAATTCTCCGTAGTTGTTTTTTGGTTAGTATGGATAAAACTGAAATTCTACACCTAATGGTAATGAATTATTGGCAACTTGATAGCCTTCGTTTAATGGTTGGTTGACAGTTTCTTACCTGATGGTTAAATTATAAATATTTAATTTTGATCAGATCTTTGAATATGAGTGAATGGTTTGTTACACTAGTGTTCAGGAATCTTGATATTGCTTGGATGCATACAAATCAAATGAACATTCATTGAGTTGAACCTTGACACAGTTATCGTTTGATCACAGCGTATTGACAGTATCTAGTTATGACATAGGATAACGACTTTAGTCATGTAGTTATTTGTAGTAGCTAGATATCAATGCATAATGTTATCTACTCAAATTCTAACTACAACACTTCCAAACCATAAACTCTAGATCCACTAGATAACAATTCAAAAGTCAGTATCTAAGACCTTTACAGCTCAGTGAAAAGTGCTGGCTACGGAGCTAAATCTCTAAGCAAAATGAGGATGTACACTTTATTGAAGTCTTCAAATAGGAAAATGAAACGGATTCTGTGAGCGATCTACGGACTTACCTACGTCTTGAAAACTTTAATTTCTTTGAGGTCCTGACTAAATGTGATGGTTGAAAGTGTACACCATGGAGACCTTACTTGGTGTGACTAGTGGCAGAAACTTCTTACTACTTCACCGATACCACATTTAAACTAAATCGTCTACGTGTAGTGAAAACAATTAGACGAAATGGTCACTAGTCGGTTATCGATGTATTTATTTAGTCCTTACAGGTTACCACCGATAAAAAGTCTATCGATCAAGTTTACAATGAAGTCAATAAGATGAATGAAGTGAAGTTGTGGAACTCCATAGACTTCGGTAAATGCTGAACCGTAAGGACCAAACAACGAAATTGGTTGCGTATTGATGATCAAATCGTGGAAAAATAATCAAGTCCTACAGAGACAACGATTCGATGGAGTATAACAATGGAGAATTAAAAGTATACCAACCAATGGTGATAACTAATACCTGTCATACAAGAAGTGGCTGTGGTGTGTTTGAAACGATGGATATGACGTTCGAGGCTCAGTGGGAACAACATCACTCACTGGAATGCAGGTACATTCAGCCGGCGAGTCCAAAATGGGACGAAACACCCGTCCTGGATTCCTCTGCTAGCCATATCCAAGTAAATTTCCGTAATAACTATTTTTCTTCCCTTAACAGAGATTCATTCTTACTCCTCCCTGTTGACTCACTATTTCAGTATACGTTCCAAAGTTTGATTAAGTTCCTCACCCTACTTCCACAATACTGAACTTACGCAACTTGAATAAAATTCGTTGACTTAGTTAAATCAAGCATCTAAATTACACTGATCTTTGTTTCATATCAGGATCTAACTAGACGATCTTAAAGGTCACTTTGAGTACCAAACTTGAATATTAACCTGAAAACTTAACACAAGAATTAAAAGCTAGAAGGTCTTCCTGTAAGATCAAAGCGTTGAGGCATGATACAAAATATTTTTTCATTTTGTTACTTTTTCCGGGAATACTTGACCCAGAACTACATAACTAAAATACACCTTATATAATAATCCAACAGATCCTAATCATACCATTAGTTCCAATGGAATTTTCACTCTGATGAGCCAAACGTATCTTATTAGACTGAGCTGGAAGTTGATTCACTTGACAAATTACATCACTTTCGGATTTATTAGCATGATCCTCAATGAAATCTAATTAGTTTTAAATTTTCGATATGATTTATCCCTCTGTTTGAGTATGTTAGTTAAATCTCTACACGTAATAAGATCCAATAAGCAGGGTTTAGCTCCCTTCATTTTATTTGATAACTAATAATTCGAAATAAACTCCATTCTTATTCACTATTTGGTTGCCTTCCCTCAGTCTCCTGTTGACTTTTGTCTTTTACAATTCCACAGTAAGATTTATTTTCCAGGAGCTATCATTTAACTCTGGTCAGGCTATACTGCTTTAAATCTATTTCTTCTGGAAATGCTCTTGTACTTATGCAATACAACTTGAAGTAGAACTGTTGTGATCTGGATTTAAAATGTTTAAGCAACTAATATTTCCAATGCAGACCGAACTAAAATCTATCAATTTTCATTGTTCACTAGCTAAACATTTCATTTTGAACTCCTCTTTAGTAATTCCTTTATTTTAACACTTCCAGTCAACTACAAGGTAGACAGTATCTTGCTACTTATCGTTCTATAAATAAATAAACATTCCAACCATTTATGTTATAGAACAGAACAATAAGTTAAAAAGAATTTGTGCTGGAAGAAATTATGCCTGTCCATAAGATAGGTTAAAGTAGTAACAGGTCTACTTTTCTCCAATTAAAAGAATTTACTGTAATAAGGAACCTGGTTGAACATGCCTTGCTCGCAGCTTTGCTAGACGACTAGCAGGTACTATTCCAAAACTAATTAAACTTTGGGCTAATGTTCCACCCATTGGTATATTTCCTTCCTTTGTTTGGGTTGAAAATTGCTTAACAGTTTGAGCCAGAGAAGATCCTGTTTCATTGTTACTGTATACCCCAAGCACCCAGCTAATATAACGTTCAGCACTTGCCAAGTTTGCTCCACTAGCAATCGCAAGAAGTTCAACCATCTCTTCAGGAACATGACGAGCAATACCACTAGCCAGAGTCTCCAGAAGCTGACTGGCTTCTTTTCTGTACCCGACTTGCACGTAAGTTTCAATAAGAAGCCTAAAGGAGAGCATTACAAATAAGAAATTTATTTGATTCCATTGCAATACAGATTACGCAAAAAGCATTTCTATAAGTTAGGAACTTTGTAATATACCTTGAAGTATATAAAAGAAGCGTTCTTCCGCATGTAGCCTAGAAGGAATGTTTCGTGTTTAGTTGCAGTAAAACTGGCATTCGCAGAAACCTCTTGAATGCTAAACGTTGGTTCTTTTTGCATCAATGAAGCAATAACCACTCTAGACTTTCATGTCCTTATTAATTACTAATTACCCGTTCTTTAATAATAATGTTGGCGTTCGCATTTATAAAATCTTTAGTACGATAGAAGTGACTTGGTCAGCTCTCCAAAATCAATATATGAAAAGTTTCTTCACTTCCGTTTGCATTATCTTTCACGTTAGAAGTTTGTGGGAATTATTTAAAAAGGTAGAGATATCTAGTTGGTAATCTGGGTGAGAAATGAAAGAATAATCATGTTTGAAATACATAATAAGATACATTTCAGGGCTGACAGAACACTGGTCGCCTCTTAGGTGAGTTATGTACAAACTATCAACATTGGGTGCACATAATTATATCGTTACTACCTGCAGCCGGTAGTGATGCCAGTTAAGTATGCAGAAAAAAGCATTATCATTCTGTCATTCTTAGATGATAATGAAGAAATATAAACGGCCAAGAAATCACTTCAGTTACATACTATTATAATCTGCAATCCCTTGCATCTAAAGTAAATGAAAAGTAAAACCCGATTAGGAATCAGTGGTTATAAAAATCTGAGCAGTTGTCAAATGATATTTATGATTAGAAAAGCTGCATTTTTCTACGACTGGATGACTCGCATAGCAAAGTAGAGTAAACACTAAATTGACAGATTGTCAACTGACCACTCTTTTTCGGTGACCTTTGATTACTTTGTACTTAGTGGACTGACAATTTTCCACAAAACCTAAGAACTATGACAGGCTAAACAGGGAAGATCAACACTATAATCGTGGTAACCATGCTTAATTTTAGTTATGAATTGCGTACTAATACAAATAAAGAGTACACCACATGAAACATACAAATACTTTGCAGCTGAAAACTTCTTGTCAATGATTCGATACTGATACTAGGGAAGAAATTATTATATAACGATCATATGTATTTTAAAGCCGATATTTGTGTTTGTCACTATCTTTCATTTACACACTACATCTGAACAAAGTGAAGTGGTCATTTTATCAGGCTGATTCAATCAAAACATAGCCAAACATACTTTTTTAGTTGACTTCCTGAATCTTTACTAATGCCATCTTTTTTCTCGCTTATCCTTTTCCGCCTGCTTGCTTCCAACTTCATGTTCTACTCCCTCATCTGATTTTTGCTTTGACTTCCCATTATCCGCGACTGTTCTCATTCATCCTCACCATAGCTATTTACAATTGAAGGTTTAAATTAACCAATGTTAAGGATATTGCTCCGATTATCACCGTCTGAGTTATCGCAGATCATCAATCTCATTCTGCTCCTCTTACACTTTCTTGAGTTCTACATTGATAGTCAATCAGAGCCTCTTGTGTTTGTATTGTCAGCAGATATTCCGCTTTTTTAGTAGATTCAGCTACTTCGTACTATTACAAAGTTAAGGAGCTTAAAGTGAGGTTTTTTAGATCCGACAAACAAGTTGTGTAGAGCGGCTTATACGCTGTACGAGGGTACTATATACTGAAACAGCTAGGAAAAACTGGCTGAAAGCAGGTCTGTAGACAGAAAACAGAAAAAAAGCATGTCTGTAGTATCTTCCAAAATTCTCAGCCCAACGACCCAAATTTGCATAAACACCTCAATGGTTATTAAAGTGGTCGCTAAGCCTTTAACTTACCATGATTCGAATAGTGGAGGTTAGTACGACTATGGCTTATTCCCCAAGCCTTGCACAATGTATTTTGCTGGCTAGTTACACATTTATGTTAGAGGCCACAACGTTCGATCTTATTTTCGCGGCTTCCGACATATTTTCAATACTTCAAATCGGTGATCAAGAACTGTCAACCAACCAGAAACATCCATGTGGATAAGTGTTTTTCAATGGTTTGCAATTTTGTCCTTTGACTATTACATACTGACGTCAGACGGCTAGTTAATACCTCAAATAAGAATCTATCCAATTCTTTGTGTAGGAATGTTGCAACTTACAAATCATGGTCTTTGTCACAATTTCTTTTCAAGTGGTCGATATGATATCGAAACTCACTCACCAAGCACGTTAACGTGCATGAAGTAGGCAATGAGTCACAACTATTGTATGTGGATTGAGGATATTATCTGGATGTCTCGACCTCGTTAAGTGAAGCGAAACTATAACTCATGACCTACTGGGTGAACTTCAACTACCTAAACTAATGACCCACATCTCTAAAAGGGTAAGTATGGATATAATCTACTTCACCTCTACTCCATAATTTCTATATACCTGGTAATAACCTGTTTGTACCTGTAAAGGTACACGTGTTCCTTGAAAGAATAGTTAAATATGTCGTACCTCCACAATCAACTGCATAATCAATCGCCTAGTGGCCTAATTAACTTGGGTTATATGAGTCTCATAAATCGTCAAGGTTGTCGAGATATAATAAAATACTTACATTCCAAAACGTACGATCCAGAAATATTGTTTGTTATGAGTATCCAAAAGCATCTTAAGCTTCTGTTTCAAGAACGAAACAAGATCACTTTTCTTAGATGAATTTAATTTCGTCCGAACGAATTTATATAACAGTATCAACAAGTTCTTAACTATGTAATCATGATCGCTTTCGATAGCCTCGTATACTGACCGTTCAATGTGGCTCATGGCCAAACTTATTCTGCCCTAAAGAAACCAGTTAAATTAATGTCAAAAGCTACCATGGAAAAGTCCCCTTCCTGAAAACATATTTCAGCAAAAAGTAATGAAATCAGATCGCGGAATTCACTATTACTTCCAAAAGTACTCTCATAAATATTTATCACAGAAGAAACGATTTCACTGAGGTTAGCCTTGACAAAATGTTATGGGATTTGAAATTATTTAAAATTTACTACCTCAGCAGATAACACAGCTAGCTGAAGTATTTCCTGGCTTGTATATACAAAGTTCCTTCCAGGCTTCCAGGACTTTGATGCTGATATCAACAAACCATAAGCACTTTCAATATGTTTTGCTTTAAAATATTTCAGATAGATAAAGCTTACCATCTCTGTCTTCAGCATAACGCTCTAAACAATCTTGTAAATTTTCACTCATTTTCAACACACACCAGCGGCCGTCGTAGCAGCAAAAGAGATTTCTAAGTATTTAAACAATACGCATGTAGTACAACTGGAAACATCTTCAAATGATCTTCTCTCCAAAAGAGATCTCACAAAGCGTGAACGCCTTAGCTAGCTACGTCTATCGCTCTCTAAATCTTCTAAATCGTTGAAAATTTGTCATCTCTGGTATTGCATTTGCCATTCCGTCCAATATCCAATATCTGTTTGACAAATTTATGTAAATTAGTTAGTTTCTTTGTGATCGCCTTCAGGTCTTGGGGAACGGTTCCAGGTTTTGGCTGGATTTTAACGCAGTAGAACCATTCGCTTGTTTGTTGTAGCTATAGTATACCAAACAGGTGGTCAGGTGTTGGTTAGTTTACCTTGAACTGGTGTGCAGTTGGGTTCTACAAACGTCAAGTTACCATAGAGTTGTTGAGGCTGATCATAAGAGTGGGCTAATGTCGGTGAAAATTTAACCTAGGGAGACCAGTATGTGAGTAAAATCAAAGGAAAATAGGAGTGACTTCATACATCCAACTAAGAAGAGATGGGTGCAAAGATATGCAGTACTTAGGTGAGTGAGGTTAAATCAAAGCGATTAAAAAGGGATGGAAATGCCTTCGATGATTAAAGTAGGAAGGGAATCGGCATAGAGGCAGCAGTGTTGGAATGGTGTGATAGCAGTTGATTCCCTTGGTCCAGTCCGTATTCCGGCTATATAAGGTAAGCTGTGGGTAACTGTCTAGTCTTTTCTCAAAGCTATCGACAGTTGGTGGCGCTTCCTAATGTCCACAGGCACACACGAGGTTTAAACTTTTGATAATAAATTCTCTTTGGGCTTCCACAAGGATCACCATAACGGCCACTCAGTAGTATCCCTCTCTTCTCGTAGCCAGGGTGAGGAAATGTGGTTGTCTACGCACCAAGCGTAGTACAGTATTTTTCCGAGGCAGCTCCCGGGTAATTAGGAAAGGCATCCAGCTACTCCATCACCATTAAACCTCGGTCCCTCTCTGTGTGATATGGGAAAGATGTGAACCAAGGGGAGGTATAACGCTTTCTGCGGACCAGAAGCGCGGAAAAACATGGACCGGTATTTGTCCAGGTTAAATGCCGATTTGCTGTTTCTCACCCACTTCTCGAATGTCTCGACGTAGTCATGTAGTGCATTTGACCTCGCTTCGCACGCTGACGTCGTCAGCTCAAATGGGAACCAGAAGCTGCGAGTCACTCACGATCGGCAGGTGCAACAACGCCTTAAAACCGCTCCCTGTGGAATACGGAACAAAGAAGTTTCTCACGCTGAACAGTCCCCGCCGACTTTCGCGCAGGACGCCCAACTGTCTAGGTTGTTCAACAGCCAAAAACTCATCTTACCGAGGAAAAAACCCTCTCTTCTCCGCATTAGGATGATGCATAGGACTGGGCCAGAAGCCTTGGTGACATCCAGAAAGATCTCGTGTGCCTTAACGCTGAGGTTCCAGCGACGTGTCCTGTGGTCGTGGTCTGCCAGGAGGCTGTAGACACCGGACCTATCCCTTTGGGAGCCATGTCGAGCCTCACTGAGTGCTTGCTTTGTGTCCAGGTGTTCCCAGATGTGATCTCCGAAGCCTTCCAAAATCTTGGACATTACTAGCAGCACTGCTATGGGCTTGTGAAAGCTCGGGTTCCGCCTGACTCTATCTTTGAAGACAGGGGAGAGGATGTGGAGTTTTCACCCCAGTGGGAGCCTTTGTTCACTTAAGGAGTTCTGAAAAATGTTTCAGGATGGGCCATTTGGGGTTCTCTCGTGTTGTTTCAACACAGGTGGAGAATGTCATCGTGCCCTGGGGATTTCTATGCACTTAGCCCTGGTAGCCTGTCAAGAACAACAGCACGAATTATATGGGTTTTGCGTGACACCGCTGCGCCGGATAACATTGGTGGCTGCCCAGGTATGCGAGCACAAGTGCTTGTGCGGTAGGGTATTGAGCTATGTTTGAGGTGGTGCTTAATATTTCCGCGACCTCCTGTACCGAGAGGTTTTCCCCGCTTTGGTGTCTAATGATGCATGCCCCTTGACTTGTGAATTTTCCCCTCGACATGACTCAGGAGAGGCTTTTGCGGTGTAACTCAAGCTTCTGGACTTGGATGAACTCCTGTCTCCCTGCATCATGACGTTGCATCGGTTACGCTGGGCTGTATCTGCGTTATGGCTTGGCTCTTCTCTAGATAACGTGCATTTTGTCGCGTTTCCCCCTGGCTTTGAGGAGGTGCTCGGTGACTGTCTTTAGTCATGTGGTCCACTGTTTAGGCGTCTTTACCACCAAGAGGAAGTTTTCAAAGATCGCTACCCCAAAGATGTCTCTTACTAGTGCCCATCAACCTATTGGGAATTCCAATCTATTGGCCATGGAGCTGTCCGCAGGGGCTGATTCATGCATTGGCTGTTTATCCAGCTGCAACGAAGACAAGGGGGAAATCCGTCCCACGACAGCTGTTCACTGATCAGCAGATAGAACACTGTCATGGCGTGGTCACTGCTTACAAGAAGCGTTTGAGCCAGAATGCTTTTAATGAATAAATGGTCACTGGTCAGCAGATAATCCAGCTTGGATGGCTTGCCGTCTAACCCCCAAGAAGTATCGTCATCAAACGTTTCTTACAGTCCAGCCACTTGGAAGGCATTTGGCGGGTTGCGATCGAGGCTCTGCTTAGGAGTTGTGTTGCCCTGCTCCAGACCGAAATTCAAGGCGTTGAAGTCAGCAGCTATCAAGACCCGATTATACCCGATAATTCAAATTTTTGTAAAAGACGGAAGCTGGGGGTCGCAGCTCTATCATTCTGCCCTTGAGTCCTCTCAAGTTGCTATAAAGGCACCCGGAAATGCTGCTGCCGATGCAATAACCTTCGTGGTGGCCCTTATTAATGGTTGGGTATCTGTTTTGCCAACGTGCTCAAACACAGTTACTTCTTCGCGGCCATCGCTAAGTCTTTGGTGGGTCCATTTGTAAGAGATCCATCTGCTGGCCTTTTGTGGCTGCTAGCTTTCATGCACTGGTTGAATTTGTCGAGAAATCACACCTCCCTGTGAATTCAACTAACGTCAAACCACCAACTGTGTTTATCAGAGCCACGGTAGGTGAACGGGTGGTCCCATCGTATGGGAATCCACTTAGAGGGTATAACCTCATCTTATTTGTTCTGACAAACAAAGTCAAAGTAGTAACTCCTCGACACTTTCTCTTAATATTAAGAGCCCTGAATGTGATGTACTTCGAGCCTGCAGTGCGATTTCTGTGGTACCGTTTACAGCTAGAACCAAGCAAAACCCTTCCCGGAACATGATGTTAGGCCATGGATGCTACATAGATTCGTATTAAAAGCAGACCGCCAGTCGGGGAGCATGCGATATAAAATGCCCGAATAGGGCGAACTTCACTGGAATGAAAGTCACAAAATCCTCAAAACCGGATGACTTTAGCTTCCCGGAGTGGAGAAAATGGATGGAAGTTCTATGTGCTTCACCTTGTTAACTTTTGAAGCTCTCCCCAGATGAACATCAACAGGTGTCGAAGAGCGAACGTAGCATGAACTCTGTCAGATTCAGAGGGATCGACGGAAAAAATCCTACACTTTCACCAACCTGCCCTACTTCATGGACAGTTGGCCTTAATCACCTACCACTGCAGATGCACGTGCTGGTTTTCAGACACTACTATTTTTGTGGGAAAGTTCAACAAATCAAAGTAAAACAAATTCAGTTGCTCCGAATGGACAGCGGAATCAAAAGGGCGAAATCAAGCTACGGTCAAGAAAGCTGACATCATGCACATCTCGGTGACCATTAGTGGAATTCAAGACGAACTTTTCGTCTTGCTTGGGGGCCGTCTGCTAGGGGTAGTTTGTAATGACCGTTCTGGAAAGTATTTCCAAATAATCAAAAGTTTGGGCCTCAACGAGCTTCAATATCGATGTTGACCTTCACATTTTTAACAAAAGGCATATGGTCAGGCGCTCATGAGATTTTAGCCCGTTGCCGCATCATTTTGCGTTGCTCATGCACGATCTGGTAGCTTTTTAGTCGAATCACATTGGTATTTTGGTACGGCTTATAAAATGCACCTATGCTACCTAGCTACGCCATAGTTTTCGTTCCCGGTCTAACATTCGTGGATAGTTTGAAAGCAAGAAGAAACAAAACGATAAAAACATGAAATCCGGAATATGTAGGCACACATCCAAAACAGAAAGCCCAGAGATTTATTTGAAATGAGGACAGGAGTAGTGAAAGGTTTCTAACTGTCACTGATGATCTTCCGATTGTGGTCGACGGGAACAGATCATCCAGCAAACAGTGGGGTGCTAGAGGATGGGCATGTGCTGGATGGGTGAGAGGACCGTAGAAGATTTGCATTTCACCGATGATGGTCTGTGTCCAATGTCGCACAAACTCAAAGATCTACAGGCGCGAACCAATAAGTTGACTGGAGAGACAGCGAAGACGGGACTTCCTTCAGGGGATCGCGGAGAAGACATGTGCGATGAAGATACCGAACCAAAATCAAGAACAGCAACAAGCACCAACCACCACCTACGGGAGAAATTTAGAGAAAGTAGCCCCTTTCGCCTACCCAGACAACATTGTTTAGACCACAGGCGGTGGCACGGATAGGAATGTCAAAGCCGGGATCGAGAAGAGAAGACAGGCGTTCATTAACCTGGAACCGGTATGGAGGCCTACTGCACTCGGGATGAAGCGTGAACAAGCTCCAGATTTTCATTACTAGTGTCAGCAACAAGGCACCCACTCTGGTGACGAACTGATCAAGAAGCAATCTCCCAGCAAATACCCAGATGAACAAAATGGAGATCGATAGGACATAGACTGAGAAGACCATTAGGGGACATCACGCGCCAGGCCAGGCTCTCGAGTGGAACCCCCGTGGGAGACGATGAGTTGAGCGTCCGTGGCGAGGGCAACATGGGGAAGATGATGTGAGAAGAGATGAAAGCTTGTGGGCAGTCGTGGAGCCAGGTTGAATAGGAGAAGTGCTAATGAAGCCCAACGTTCCGCTGAGAACCCAAAGCACAAATAATATAATGTAAAGTAATGCAGATACGTACCACTTTTACAAGTATGAATGAGTTACCGTACAAATTACTTGTATCCTTATGGCAGGTGACTTTAACCCCCACCTACTCACTCACCAGAGGGTATGAGTGCCACATGTTTAGATAGTAGAAAATCCCAGTGAAATAGGTGAGCGAAAGTTTACAATTTCGATAAGGGGACGCACTACCTTTGCATTAACGAAAAACCGGGACTCGCATCCCGGCATTAGACGTATTACCTGGGGGAAAATGAAGTTTGAGGCCAGTACCTACCTTGTAACACCTCGTACACTTTGCTTAAGAATACTGATGCACAGTTCGTGAGGGATGCATACAGGTTGTTTATCTGTCGTCTCTCATTAATGGCTCCAGACTTATGTAATTCATGCATCCTTATACCATTTCACATCAAAGATCCACAATATTGCTACTTATTACGACTGATAGCTAAATATCTGCGTTTCTCAACTCCAGCACCCAGAAGCAATAGGTTTGTTTGGACGCATCAAGTGGACTTCCAGTATATCTTGCTCACCATTCTCACGAATAGTGACATCCTTATGGTCGGCGAGCGTTGGGCTTTCCAGGTTTTGACAATTATGTCAGGTATGGTGAACGCAGTGACGCTGGGTACCCTCCATGAAGGGTAGTTTCAGCCAAGGCCCGTTCCTCACTTAATTATTTTTCGATGACTACCAAGCCAACTGAACTGCTCTTCTACAACGAGAAGAACCAAAAACAAAGCAACAGAAAGAGAAAGAAGCACGAATTCCAGCGAGGATTTTGTTTCCTATGTTCATGTTTCACCTTACTTAACTTTGTTTGCTATGGCGTCGATCGTGTGAGCTTTCTCTGTTAAATATATTGAGATGCAAATTTCATGCTATCGCGTAGCTTACAACTTCTGTTTTGTTCATTACGACAGGTAAAGCGGAATTCTCTTCAGCCTTAAATATGAAAGGCCAGTGCAGTTGAAGTGAATGTCCTATTATACATTCAGCGGGTCTAGTCTGTGAAATGTCATGAAGGATAGCATTGGCGCACTCACTGAGCCGGATAAGTCGTCAGATGATAAGAAGTTAACTGGTAACCGATTAACTTCAGAAGTTGGTTTGGAGGCCATGACTCTAGCAAGAAGTCTTTCCCACGTCAGAGAGAACTTGACGGTGAAGAAATTTTCCTGCAAGCAGGATTGGTCTCTTTTTGTCAACTTCATCTACAGGCGGTTCTAAAACTTTTCGGAAGTGAAGTTCATTTTCACGAGGAACAGAACTAAAAGCAAGTAATTGGTTTACCAAACAATACAGATTTCCAGCGAGCCAGACGCATGCGAGAACACAAATCAAGTGTATTGAGGTACCACTTAACTTCTTGTACGAAATCTTATGAAATACATTTCCGCGAGTCCAAATAAGTGGAACGTCTAAGCAAAAGCATCCACCCGTAAAACTTCGAACCAAGCAGGATTCAGTTGAGTTACCAACAAATAATTATTGTCCCCTCTGTCGTTTCGTAGATATTTATTGGTTGATCTAAGGGTGAAATCGCTCTTGGGCTGATATCAGCTGGAGGAAAATTGGAAACCTGGGGGCACTGAGCGGCTGTTTCCTCCTGGCATGAGACTCCTCATCAACGCCCACCCATGATACTGCCAGAGACGTAAGTCGCGCTGTATCCTGAATTGACAGAAGCTGGAGATACGGACCGTTGGATTCCGACCCAGTGGCTCAATGGTATCGCGCTGTCCACGGAACCCGAAGGTCCTGGGTTCATTCCGTGACAGGAGGGGGTCACGGCTGAGGGGTCCCCAACTGGGACGAAACAGCTGTCCAGTGCTCCCAGGCTGCCAGGAGTCCTCCAGGTGATGTCAGCTCGTAGTGAATTCCAGCATGAACTCATCTGGTCATTTTGCGATAATGAAACATGAGTCGAAAGCCCAGCATTAGAAAACTCACACTAGCACTACACAGGTCAAATTATCTTTGAGAAAACTTGAAGCTGAAAATGACCGTAAAGACTGCAAAATTTTCAAGGTAATAATGTTTTTCACGGGAAAACCAACACCTGGTGTGAAAGCCACAGTTTGACGGAACAGAAACTTCTCTGGGCACGGAATTACTGAAATACGTACCACAACCATGTTAGACAGCAACTTGCTGGTCGACGAACTCGGATTCGTACAGAGTTGGCAACATCGAAAATATTTCCTTGTGAAACGCATCATCACTTCCCCACAATACATCAGGCGGAAATGTGGTAGTCTTGTGGTAGTTTGAATCGAGAAACTAGTATCGTTTCTGAAACCCCCGGTTCAAGCAAATGAAGGGAAAATTCTATGTAGCTGGTAGATAACCAGATCTTGGAGCATTCGAGAAGACAAACTGCACCTCATGTAGCTCCAGACTGCCTCCAAAATCGATCCATAGGCCTCCTATGCTCAGCAACTTTGTCATTGCTGGACGGTTGCCTGCAGATCCCTAACAGCGAGATTTTCTCAGGTTCCTACGTGGCGCGTAACACAGTCATACAGGCCATACTTCTATAGAATATCAGCCGGATGTCCGTCAGTGGTCAGGCGTATCCTGGCTGGGTAGCTATTCAGATAGTGGCGAATTTCGCAGAGCACTCAGCTGTAAATATTCAGCCGCGATACCAGCAAGGCATGGCGTACCACAATAAGCTAGTCTCAGTCCGCCACTGCACCTGTAGTTGTCAAATAACCATTGGTAGACCATCAACTTCTCGATTCTTTATGCACTGATGGCGTTAGGTTGCGCAAAGCTGTGAGATCCGAAAGGGAATAGAATGCACCGCGGAATGATCGAAGAGTAGGTGAAAGCAACGGAATGAAACCACACACAGTTAAATACAGGACAATGTTTTCTGCACTTCTGATTCCAAAAAATCACCCTACTCTCTCAATGGAGCGCACATTTCTGAGACAACCATAGCGAAATATCTGGGTTCAATTTTGGCTGACAAACTGGGCGCTAGTAAAAGGCTGTCGGGAGAAGCTTTTGAGACTTACACATTGCTAGAATTCACGGACAGACAACTGAGTACTCTCACTCCACAGCTTCCCCCTAAACCATACAAGACTTGCCTACGACTGTGCGCTCAAGCTCGTAAAGTTGTTGCACAGCTACACAATGTGAGTCCCATTGATGCAGTGGAAACTAAAAGTGGGTGGATTAGGCGTCTGAGCCTATGCACCCCAAGTCACTGCGGGATATGTGATGACTCGATAGCAGTCGACGGGATACCAGGGAGATTAAGAAATCCCGGCGGAGAAACGTCAGTGTACAGTCTTTATTGTGATCGTCTTGGAAGTTTGAACAGAATTGCTCATCAAAAAGCAGAAACTTGTGTAGCGTCACAGTTATCACTTCTCCAAGTCTGCAGCCACTGAGACACATTTCCTACTGAAGTAGCCCCCTTTGTATCTGTCAACAGTCTCACGAAAGTGTTGAATGCATGCAAAGTGATAGGTAGGATATGTTCGTCTATTCAGTATAGTTATCATCCTAAAGAAGCCAACTGGAGTAGTAGGAATCCAACACTTTCGGTTATCTTCTTACCAATTCCGTTTGGTTCCCACAATTATTGTGGAAGAAACTTAGTCCAAATACTACAACTAATCAGCACAGCTATCTCGCGACACACCATCGTTGGAATCTATCAACACCGCAACACTGGGGGATCTCATACATTGCCCGATAAACTTGGTGGGTATCAAAAAACCAGCAAAGCTTACCAGAGCAATCCCAGATAAGTTTCTGGAGTTACAGCATTCGAGCCCAGAGCGGACCCGAAATTTCTCCACAGAACCTGGAATCACGAGCGATGAAATCGTTCAGTTTATGAAAAGCCAGTATTACCGGCGCGGCATATTGAAATTTTCGTCTACTGATTTTATTTTCGCCCTTCTTGAGCGCTGGCGAGTTTTTCCTCGCCTTCATTCTTCTGGGATATGGTCACGCTTATGGCTATCCTAATGTAGCTGTCGTCTTCTAAATCAACAATCTTGCAACAAAATTTCTGAGGGATGTGCAGTTCTATTTCGGTCAATGTCGTCACTCTCCAACACAGACAACTGTGTAGTGCGTCAAGCCGCCATGGTAACATGCCACAGCTCGGTTTGCTGCGTCCGCGGTTTTACATATTTCACTCAAGCATACACCCTGAATCTGCAGGTGGTTTTCTGCATTTATCATGGTCACACAGTCAGACAACTGAAGGCACGGTCGATAACCTGTTATCGTGGTATCATTGTTTATCCAACCTGTAAATGGCTTACATACATTAACATATCCTTTTTCCCGTATCTAGTCATTGACATGCGTGGTAGCACCGAGTCGGTCAAATCTGATACCAAAATCACCCCAAACATTGCCTCAACCCAGGCACCGATCACCACTTTCTAAGTGATAATTAGGACTCCAGCCGAGAGATGTGGAAACAACTCGAAGAATCATAGCTCATCACCTGGGCCGAACATAGTAGAATGCTCGGGGATGCTTATACCTAAGAAGTCAAATCTCTGCCTCTCGCCACATCTCAAACCCCTGTGCCTTCGGCCAACGAAGGGGTGGCCTCAATGGCACATCGACTAGGAACCCTAACCAGCTCGTAGTAAATGCTAATGGGAAATGAGGGAGAATGAAAAAAGATGCCCTTTGGATAGGCTGTACGAACTGTACAAAGGCAAGCATTCAGTTTCAAGAAAACCCCTGCCGGTAAGGCTGACCCTGAGCCTGGCCTCCGATCATCCCCCAAAAGTGCCAGACCAGGTCGGCTATGTCTCGTAGGAACAATGTTCGATAAGTGCCTCACTCGCCAAAGCCAAAAACTGCCTTCATCCCTCTCATACCGTAACCGACTTCTTACACACGGGAAAGAAACACACCTATGTTGTTCAACAGTGGTAATAGGCATTTGGAGAGCTAGAGTCGAAGGGAATAGCAGCTAAAGAGGTCTTTAGGGCCCCAAGTCCTCCGAAGACGACTGCAATTGAGTTGCCTAGACCGGCAACTGTCAACTTCAGATGTCCGGAGCTCCTAACTGCACTACTAAAACATGACAAACGGTGGATAACGCCATCAGCAAGAACGTTTGCTTTTGGGAAAAAACTAGGAGAACTGTGACAACGGCCAGCAGCATCCCTGCTTCGTGCTCATGCCTCCAGTGATATACGTAGACGCGGCAACTTCCAGACTGACAACTTTGATTCACTGATGACCAGGGGATCCACTCTCGGAAAAAAGGAATTGGCCAGCTTCAGTGGAAATGGCCTGGCAGCTTCAACTTTGCTCATTGCACTTTCAGTCTTAAATTAAGCACCTCACGTTGCAAGCAGCCTTTTCAGCTTTACTTGCAGAAATGTTAGGCGTCTTAGGGGTAGGGTGGTGGAGGTACGATCACTTCGTTTCTGCTCTACTCAGCCAATCGTAATCTCGGAAAAGACGACTATCGCCGGACGTTGCCGACACTGAAGAGGATTTGGACAAAGAAAAAGGGAAGAAGGGAGGGAAGTGCACTGTGAGGACGTTTCAATGGCCGGTTTGAAATTGCATGACTTATAGGTCCTGAACTGACGTGGATCCAAACCTCATTTGGTATAAATTCACTATAAGACACATTAGGCACATATTGAGGAAGGTCTGCAGGCCTCCTACCGGCAGCGAGGGGCGGGAGTGACCACCACTCCTGGTAGTGTCACTAGTGACAACAATGAGGTACATCGAGTTGACCATAGGGGGAATTTTGAAACTCCTGCCTCTCAGCTATCATTGGAGCGATTTCACCCTCGTCTTTGATGCACCAGGACAGACGGCTCACCTATGAAAAAATATCACTCGACAGCCCAATCACCTCAGTAGTGGGGTCCCTACCAGTTGACCACTCATGAGGACTAGTGACGGATATCACCTGGAGGATAATCTCTGAGAATGTCCCCGAAGCAGCGCCGACAGCTAAGAAGCGGACCCTACTGCAAAATGAGTCACTGACAGCCTCCTGAAAGCCAAGAGGACAGCATGGTGTGAACGAAGGCTCTCCAGCAAAAAGTCATCATAATGGATCTGTAACTCCAAGAAATCTATTTAACATCAAGATGTAGGGGAAAGCATGCCGTTCCAACTGGTTTCTGCATATAAGCTTGAGGTGAACCTTAAAGACCTCTGTGGACTGGAGGATGCCGAAATTTTTGGCACCAGTTCGATGCACAACTGATCATACTATCACTCGATAAAAATTGCCAATTGCGTCATCGGCCCTTAACATTGCCCAATGTCGTAGAGGTGCATAGCAAACGAGTAATCTTTGTAGTGTTTCTCAAAAAACTGTCAGCTTCGAATAAAAAGTCGGAAGGGTGCCATCATACTAGGCCACCTGCTTTCAAACTGTGTACAAGTCCCTTACGCTGCTAACTGTGGTGCTATCCTTTCTCCGATACTCACAGAAGGAGATAGGGTGAACATGAAACGTTTTTGATTTATAGCACTCCCTCCAGTGTTGTCAAAAGTGACGGAAAGCCTGATAGACGACCACGTCATCGGCCATCTAAACGAACAGAGAGCATTGGGCGGTTCTCAGTATGTCCTCTGAAATTGTAGGCCCTAAGCCTCAAAACCTCTGGCAATCTGCGGTATCTGGACTATATGCTGAGGCCCGCAGATCCCTGCTCAGGTGATTTTCCTGCACTTTGTCGAGGTCTTAAACACAACTCAGCACACCGTTCTCAAACACAAAGTAGGTCATTTAGGAATGAGCGGCCTGATGTTATCCTGGATTGCGGACAATTGAGACGGCTGGGAATTCTGCACTAACGCCAACAGGCTTTGCTCAAAGTGGATGGCACCACTGAGAGCAGCGACATCCAGAAGAGTATCGGGTGCACTAGGAAGTAACCCTAGAATGAACGAAGAACAGGACTAGTAGGCGACCTAGATAAGTTTCAAGCCATGTTTACATGCAGTCTCGGCTTGAATAAGGCGCCCTGCAGTCTCTGTGGTGCGTGATTTTCTCACAGGAC